CATCCTCGCCATCCTCGCCATCCTCGCCATCCTCGCCATCCTCGCCATCCTCGCCATCCTCGCCATCCTTACTGATTGGTATTCCCTTCTTCTCGAGGAGATTCACGAATGCCGTGAGCTCCTCTTCGGCAGGCGCCCGGTCTCCAAGGAAAAAATCATCCTGGCGATAATTCTTGAAGATATCCATGATGTCTGCAGGGTCATATTCCACCGGGGCAATACTGGAGCTTGCCAAAATGTCCATGATTTCGACGGTGCCGCACAACGCTGCTGCTTTCAGGACGTCGTTCCAATACTGCAAGGTTGTGTCCCATGACGACTTTGCCCCAAGTGAACATACGATATGGACGGCTTCAGGGTTTTCCAGAAAAATGGCTCGTTCTATTGAGGGCTCTTCGCCGTAATCCAGCGCATCGATGTTTGCGCCAAGCTTAGCGAATGCTTTGAGTGCTGTTGCATGTCCATTCGCTGCGGCAATAGACAGAGGAGTATATCCGTCTTTATCCCGAGCTTCGATGTCGGCGCCGTGACTGACTAAGGTTGTAATTAGACGCTCGATTTCGGACTCCGTCGCTAATCCACTGAAGGCAACAAGATGGAGCGCGCTTCTTCCGGAGATATTTTGGCGGTTCGGGTTAGCATCCGCATCTAGCAGAGCTTGGACGCATGGCAGAGAGCGCGCGTTCGAAGCGAAGTGAAGAGCGGTTCTTCCCTCCACGTCGATACGGTTCGGATCGGCATTGTGCGCAATTAGAGTTCGGAGATGGGTCAGGTTGCTTTGAACGGCTGACCACATTATGGGCGTTCTTCCCATCCAGTCCTTGTCATTTATACGGCCTGGATCCATCTCGATCTGTGTAGCAAGATCGGCACTCGAAAGCCCTGTGACTATCTGATGCAGTGGGCTTAGATGCAAATCGTATGGCTCCTCGGAACCGATAAGAGCCTTGAGCCGCATTGTCTCCGGGTCGGAAAGCCCTCTCGCCAGGATAAACATCCAGACGTAGTCAGCTGGTGACCTGTAGTGGTATGGCAGGTAAGCAGGTATGCCAGATAATTAGTAGAGACAGTATTACCTTCCTAGCCTATCTTTTAAATGCCAGTCCGCTCCCTCGGCTACTAGTAAAGTACATATGTCCAACTCCACTATATGTATTGCCCACTACATCAGTTAGTATTTGCTGAAGACTTAGAAGGTAAAGGACAGCTTTTGGATGGCTTACATGAAGTACTGACACGCCTTCGGGGTTGATGTCATACGGCGACATCTGCCCTCGACCTAGTAAATCTCGCACGGCTTGAATAGAGCCGCGCTGTATCCAATACCAGCATATCTCAGTCTCAGATATTTCGCGTGGCATCTTGATCATCCAAGTCGCATTCGCGCCACCTAATTTGCTCCACGTCCCATATACCATGGCGCAGCGCATAAACCACGTTGGGAAATAGTACGTGAAGCACGCGGACGAGGAAGGTTGAGACCGAAGACACTGTTTTATGTTACAAGGACGGACCTCGACTAAGGGCGTATGGGTTGAGGAATAGAACAGTGTTCCGACGGCAGCGGAAAGCCATGTTGGTGTGCGGATATGAGTCCTGACGTGGCACTGACACAGGCAGGTTCGATCGCAGGTTTTCAACGGTAGTCTCGTCGTTATGCGTAGCTCGGTGGTTGGGGTCGGGTTATCTACCACCGCTTTTGATAGCTCCTCGTTACCGCCACTTTCTGCGGTTTCTTCTGCTCGTTCTGGTCCGCCCTCGATCCTGGGGCTTTTGGGAGCTGGTCGCGTCAGACACACATGGGTCATGAGCTGCTCTAGGGTCGCAAAGGTCTTGGCGTGATGATTCTCTTGGACCATGGCTACCTCCTGGATAGCTGACAGAAGTATTGGCGTTTGTTGGCTCCATGAGTGTTAGCAGAACGATCGGATGCATAACCGGGGGATGGTTGGCGGTCTTACAGATTCGCCGACTGGAGAACAAGCTGTAAATTGCGGCGACTTTCTAGAATCCCGTCGCGGATACTGGCTAGGTCTCTTCTTTTTTTCTCGCTGATACCAAAACGAGGGGCTCCATTGCCGTTCCTGAGAAGTTCGCGACGGGCGAACTCGACCAGCCGGTCCACATTGACCTGCGCTTTCTCTATCCTTTCATGAAGACTTCCATAGCTCTCCCGTACATCTGGCAGCAAACTATTTCGAAGGGCTTCTTCGGCTTTCTGGACTACGACTAGCGTCGCTTGCAAATCCGTTACCTTCGAATCGTTAGTGCAAGCGTTCAAAAGTGTCGGAAAAGTGGCCTGACGGCATTGATGATTGCCAGAAGATCTGGGCTGGAGTCGCGACGCGCTTTCAGCCGCTCTAGTTGCTTTATGACGGCCCCTGCAGCCGTAGTTACGGCGATAATACTCGCGGTAATTGAAAGCGGGTCCATGGTGCGGATGCGGGGTGAAAGTGTTGCTGTCAGCTCGAAGAGAAGACGAGAGGCATTAGAGCGGGGAAGACGGCGCTGCCGCCTAGGTTCCTATCTGGAGTGAGGCTGTGTTCTAACGCACAGCTTCAGCCACTGGCGGCTATTCGCCCTCGATGTTGTACAACGAGAAGGCTGAGGCAGCTACAGCCTTACACCGCCTTCGGCTCAGCCGTGGCGCATTTCCGTCCTGCCTTGGGCTTACCGGAAGATATATCGGCTTCACCACGACGGACCAACACCTCCCCGAGCTTCGCCCACGGGCAGAACCGATGTTGATTGGTTGCGACCCCGGGGGTACAGCTCACCAGTGAAAAGGCACTCAGGCCCATGGGACGAAATGCACGCGAAACCTGCTCTCTTCCATTTCCCCAAACCCATCAAAAACCTTGGAAGATAGCAATGCCTCGAAAATTCTAAAGGCGGTTGTCTCCCCATTCGTCGTGCTTCGCATCCTCGCCGTCGGAGTACGCCGCCTCGGAGTCTGCGAGAAAATCAGGCGCTTTTCTTCCCGAACGCTCTTTCTCATAAACCACCTTTTCTTCGCTCTTCCTTTACGCGACTTGACCGGAAGAATTATCGCTTATGTTCGCAGCCAGTGGAGTGCACTATCCCTCATGCATGCCGCCCGATAGCGAAGCCACCGCCAAGGAGTACGTGGCCCTTTCACAACGTTGTGCAATCCATTGGGATCTTTCAACCTCCCCCTATAGTTTCAACCTCTCCATTGTCCAATGTACGTTTCAAGCCGCATTGTAGGTACCGAGATACACAGATCTCAACTTCCACTCATGGTCCAAGTCCGCGTCTCGTCCACGTGTTCTCCAAATCCGTGCTAAACCGAGCAAGCTGCGTAAATTTCGTCAAATTCCACCTCCGCTGGAGCTCCGTGCGGGTGAGGTTAACATCGTCGACGGTCCTCATAAAGAAGCCCAGGGTATAGACGGGCCAGTTTCCCATAAAGCAGCTCGCCCATCCATCGTCGTCTTTATAGCCTTGTAGAATCCGGATCGCCTTCCGTATCTGCCATCTGTCACTCGGTGCCATGCGAGGAGGTCCCGGTCGCGGTTCGTCGGTAGCGGGGTTGTGCGTTTCGGAGAGTTGGTCTAGGAGCAGGGAGATGATGAGGACGTATAAGTAGCTGGTGCTCTTGTAGTAGCTGTGCTGATGATTGAGCTGCTCGGTTGGAGACAGCATATCCATCTCCTGATCACACAGCACCATGGCTTCCCAAATCTCCACTTCGCCTCGCACCTGTTCTAAGGAGTCTTCACTCGGTGGTACCGCGTTTTGATACATTTGCTTCAGCGAAATCGCCAGCCTGAACAGCGGTACAGGCACCCCCAGTACCGGGCTGTTCAAGCTATTCGACTGCCCTGGGAACATCACCGACTGGTCCAGCAGCCTCTCCGCACGCAGCCAGAAGTCGGCGTCGAAATCGTAGTCTAGCGGTATTTCATCGGACCACAAACCAGTGGCAACGAGAAATATTTGGTAGAGGACGCTTTCGACGGCGAGTCTGTCGAAGGGGCGGCCAATACTGAGGGGGGTTTGGAAGAGACGCATAGTGAGCACGCGGGAAGCGGCATTGAGGTGGCGCGGGATGTCAAGGTAGGTTCCTCTGCCCATGCACTAGCAGATATCAGCACGCGCTCGCTAGAGGCCTTCAATGAGCGATGTGGTTGCGTACCCCGTGCAGATACAGCAGCATCACGGACATCAAGATCCCATTGTGGTTCTCCAGCTGCCCAGCTCTTGCGAGCAGAGTCGAGAGGCCCCTCAGTGCTTTTGAGTAGTAAGTCAGTGCGAGCTCCTGCATCTGGTTGGAAGCCTCGATGAAGTGGAGATGCGACGCGGCGTTAGCGAGAACCGAGTAGTGGAGGCTCTTGTGCTCCACCATAAGCACTTGGATCTCGTTGATCCAGCCATGGTAGAAGTCCGGATGGCAATTAGGAAGGAGTAGAAGGCCGTAGTACTGATCTATGAAGTGGCGCGAAATGACAAACTCCAGGTCTCCGGTGATCACACGATGCGCAGTGGCTTCGGATAGTAGGCATATTTCGCTTCCTGTTGAAGCCGGGCAGGATTCGCCTTCGTTGCTCTCTGACGTCTTCGGCTGTCGTGACTTGTGGGATGTATAGCGACGATCGAGCATTTCCGCCGAAGTGGGCCATTGGCATCGGCGTCCCGAGAGAGCGCATCTCCCGCACATCGGCGCTTGCTCGTCGCATTTTTTTCGTCGGTTCCTGCCTGCGGCTGCTTAAGCGAATGCATTGAAAGATGTATTGACATGCCCTTACAGGTGAGGCATCCCGTCTTTGTACGAAGTCTTTGACGCTGTGACTGGCTGTTCATATCTCCGGCTCGGATGCTTGCAGATCTTGTCATAAGTGGCGTTGGGCTGTGTATCGCGGATTGTGGTGTAGCAAGCCGATTCTCATGGGTAACAAGAGCAGGTCGTGCATATTGGGGTAAGGCACATGAGCCGGATGGGTGGGTATATCTCGAGGAGTGAGGTGGGGGAGAAAACGGTGGCTCTTGAAATGCGGAGACAAGCCCAAGCCCCACCCTAGTCTAGCGGCCAGTCTAGCGGCCATTCTAGTCGCATCGGTTGACAAGAACTACGACGATAAGGCTAACTGAATATCTACAAGCTTCCCAGCACTTTTTGATAGGCGCACGCACGCATCATCGGATCGGGCGTCCGACCCTGAAAAGCACGCCGGGGTTCGGCTCATGCCACGTCTGAGCAGGCGCACGCTTCTGTGGCGCCAAGGATTTTACATCTCAGCCTTGTCTGCTTTCACAAGGCTCCAGTACCTGCTGCTACTCCGAACACGGAGTCTCTTGCCGAACTTGATCATGACCAGGAAAACAGCCGATGCACTCATTCCAACCATCGCCGCGGAGACGAAGCAGTTCTGATAGCCCAGGTTCGTCAACCAGGGAGTAATACTACGCAGCTATCAGTACGATCCGGACGCGAAAGATTGGGGGTACGTACCTATAGCTGATCGCAAACGACATCGTGTTTCGCACGATGATGACAGCCACAATTGCATCGCCACTGATATCGTGATAGCTGTCGATGAGATAGTTGACGCTCAGCGTAATGCCGATGCACATGGTGAACGCCAGACACCCCATTGCGAAAAGAAGGCCGAACCAGTGGACCTGGTGCGCTGCGCCAACGCCCCACAGGGCCAAGCTCGCCGGAACCATAATCACGCAAATCGTGAAAGGCCACAAGCGCTGCTCCGCTTCCATGATACCGTTGTTGCGACGAGCGAGCTTGATGGTCAACCAGTCACTCAGTCGGCCCGAGATGAGCGATCCGAGGATGACGCCGACGCAGCAGGCGAGGTAACTGAGTCCAACCATGGAAGCGCTGAAGTTATACGGTTCACCGCCGAGAATTATGGACGCTGTGGCGTTCAGGACGTTGAACCAGATGAGGTACGAGCCGTAGGAGAAGCCAGCGTAAAAGATGACAGGCCAGCCGAGGTACTTCAAGCTTTGAATAGCGCGTGGAAGCATACTCATGCCTGGCGAAGGCTGCCATATGGAGAGTTTCTGGACGAATGTCTTTGGTGCCGCGAACACTTCGCCGCTAGATGTCGAAGGGGATGGCGCGGTCACCGCGGGAGCCTTCTCATGTTCAGCTGCATCAGTGATACTCGGCGGCGGCGAATCGGGTGCCGTCACGACTCCAGTTGTCTTGCGGTTATAGTTGGTCTCTTCCATGAAGAAGAAGAGGAAGATGAAGGTAGCCGCGTTGAAAATGGCAGGCCAGAAGAACACCCAGCGCCAGCCCTGGCGTTCGGCGATGAAGCCGCAGATGACGGGCGCAAAGTAATTGCTGCCGGCCAAGGTAAAAGCATATGTAGCCATACCAGCGCCTCGCTGATGTGTGAAGTACTGTCGCGTTGTCAGCAGCTTCTTCTTAGCGTGTGAGCGTGCAATCATACTACGTCAGTGACGGAGATCTCGGGGAGGGCCTCGATCGGCGCGATGAAGAAACCCATCACGATGCATCTTGCTATCCATTCGCCGTTGGTCGTCACGTAGGCACTCCAGATACTCGTACCCTATGTCCTCATTAGCTCAATTCTCGCTTGTTCCTTTCGAGGGGCTCCGACATACGATGGCCCCAAGCACGGAGATCAAATAAGCCAGCCGCTTTCCATACCGCAGAGCAAAAGGCTGCCAGAATAGAAGGCCCCAGCCAAGAAACAAGAACATATACCCAGTCCCTTCATTCAGCGTCGAAATTGAGACGCCAGTGGCATCGGAGAGCGGTACGAGCACGGAGTAGACAGTGGACACAGCAATACCGGTAAACCACGTATATCTGCCCAATGTCAGCGTTGACTTTCCGAGCTTGATATAGGTGTACCTACGCGTTGGAGCATATCATGGAAAGCAGCTTCCTTCGCGGGGACCAGTTAAGCGGATCGTCGGGATCATTGGAGGGTGTGGGATCCAGGACAATATCTCCGCCACCAGCATGGCGAGTGTGCATGGTGTGGTCTAAATCGACAAGGTGGACGGTGCCGGGCACAGCATCCGTTGTGTGTTCCAGCGAGCCAGCCATGTTGGAATGAGATAAATATTCGTAGCAACAATGACTAGAGTACAACAAACAGAAAATTGCGGAAGAATGGCGAGCTCTTTATACCTGGAGGATTATAAAGGGGTACAACCCTCGAGTCCGTCGGAGCTTGCTATCATAATGCCAACATGCCAACATGAGTCGGAATGGGTCTGATAAGGCGAAAGGTCGTTATCTCTGCGCGAGGCAACCATCATTCCGAGAACGAAAGTATCTTCCTTTGGGAGAGTCTTGGTCGTATACTGCGATATGCCTCGTCGCTATATTCTAGTCGGAGATGGGAGCGGGCTTGCGACGAAGGCGGTGAATCAGGCCGCGTTAATGCCTATGACTGGACCGAGCATCGAGTGAGTAGCACAGACGCTAAGCCTCCGGCGTCTTAGGCCGAACCGACGACCATGACTATGCAGCCACGGCACCAAGCGAAGCGCAAATAGCTGCGATTGGCGAGTGTTGATGATAGTCGCGTCTCCGCACTTTGCGTCCCTTTCGGCCATCCTTATCAGACCATCCACAACCATTTGCGCATCGGGACGTGGTCATCGGATCATCCTCGTGATCACTTATCGGCATCGAGTCGTCGCTGTTCGGCCGCCATCGTTGCTATTATCGGTGGTTCTCGCTGAAAGCGTTTGTCATAGTTTAGAAACCCCATTCTTGGGTTCAAAACCATAAGAATCTTGAAAGGGATCTTAACGGAGTGCCCATATCTTCCCCTCGTCTTCGAGCTTCTTCCCGTCGTCACATATTGTCCCTACAACATGGTCGGAGTCGTCCAGGTCCAAAGCATCCCCAAGGGTACGCGCGAATTCGAAGAGAAACGCGCTGCCATCTCTCGCGCTTTCAGTGAAAAAGTCCCAAAGGAATACTCCCTCCCCGAAGACCTCATCACCAACCCTCCCACCGATGTGTCCAAGATCCCCAGCACCTGCGGGATCCTGACTCCTGGGGAGCTTGAGATAACCGAGAACTACGACGCCGTTGGCCTCGCCGAAGCGATTGCAAACCAGACATACACCGCCGTCGCAGTAGCTACTGCCTTTGCAAAGCGTGCCATTATTGCGCACCAACTGACTTGCTGCTTGACGCAATGGTACATGAAAGAGGCGATTGAGCAGGCGAAGCAGCTCGACGAGTACCTGGCGAAGAACGGCAAGACGATCGGACCTCTCCATGGCGTCCCGGTTAGCATCAAGGAGCATATGCCTATCAAGGGTACATACTCTTCCCAGGGGTGCTTCAGCAGCACCGTTAAGGATGAGAAAGATAGCCAAATGGTGGCTATCCTACGCAGTCTTGGAGCAGTGTTCTACTGCAAGACGAATCAGCCACAGTCCATCATGCATCTGGAGACGACTGGACACTATGGCCGAACGCTGAACCCATTTAACATCACTCTTTCCGCTGGCGGCTCAACGGGCGGTGAGGCAGCCTTGATCGCCATGAAAGGCTCCGTCCTAGGCGTAGGCACGGACATTGGCGGGAGTATTCGAGGGCCTTCAGCGTTCTGCGGCATTTATGGCTTCAAGCCTACCACGTACACCCTTCCCATGAAAGACTTCCTTCCGACACCCTTTTCGGCAGAACTAAACGTCCTTTGTTCGACCGGGCCCATGTGCCGTAGCCTGAGGGACATGAACCTCTTCATGAGCGGTATCGTGGGTGCAAAGCCGCACCTATTGGATCCGCGGCTCATCCCGATCCCCTGGACAGGACTTCAAACACCCGTAAGCAAGCCGCTCAAGGTTGGCATCATCAACAACGACGGGTTCATTGAACCCCAACCGCCAGTGAAACGAGCCATCGCGTGGGCCAAGGAGCGCCTCTCGGACCCCAAATATGTGGAATTCCTCCAAATTAAGGACTTCAAGCCTTACGCAGCTGCCGAAGCTTGGTCCAAGATTCGGCGTATGTACTGGCCGGACGGAGGCAAAATGACAAAAGACGCCATCACTTCTTCCGGTGAACCAGTTCTCCCGCTTACGGAATGGATCATGAAAGACGCTGAGCCCCTGGGCATGCTGACGGCCGAAGACGTCAATCAAGCGCGCCGGGGGCGCGATAACTTCCGATGCGCCTTTGCGGAAAGCTGGCAGGAGCAGGATGTCGACGTCGTGATCGGTCCGGCGTTCGTAGGGCCTGCTTGCGCACATGAGACGGCATTTTACTGGACGTATACGTCCCTGTATAACTTTGTCGACTACCCGGGTGCGGTTTTCCCCACCCCGATCAAAGCCGAAGCGAAGGAGGAGTATGCGGCGGGTTATGTTCCCTTAAGCGATGCGTGTAAGCACGTCAAAGAGTTGTGGGAGGTTTCGAATTTTGAAGGAGCGCCGATCGATCTTCAAATCAACGCCAGGAAGTATCATGATAACGAGTTATTTGGTGCATTGGAACTTTTGAAGGGTGTCTTGAATTTGGGATGAGGGCGACTCAGCTCACATGAACCACAAATAGGGGGAGCGCCTATCGCCGGGACGTTTCATGCGCAGCCGCAACTGATGAGGCTCGCCCTAATTGAATCATTCTTGTTCATATTCTTGAAGGCCCCACGTTTCTTCGAGCTCATTGCAGTCGGTCGCTTGTATTCTCCCTCAGGCGAAGGATCGGGAGTATGGAGCGCGCGACAGAAGGTTGCGGGCTGATGCGGGGCAGCTTTCTCCAGCAGCCTTTTCGGACGCTCACATGGAGCGAAGAGGACGTACTCGACGATCCGATCACGCGTTTTCGACGAAGGGTAGAGAGAAAAGCCATTACGTCAACGTGGTTACGATGGAAAGTGGGTGAGTTGCGGGTGGGGCTGACGCGTTCGCTAGGGTGGCGCTGACTCAACTTACACGTGACCTGCACTCGCTCTTTCTAGGCAAGGTGGGATAGGGGCTTAAAAATGCGAGGCAAATGCATACGGATGGAGGGACGGTCTCCAGCGCTTTCTTCTGCACTAATCAAGTTCCACTTCGTGCAACAATGGAGTAGAGCGCGCTCATGGTGTCCACTCAGGGGGACCCCACATCAGAGGGAACCCTCAGTTCTGAATTACGTTTTCTCTACCTAGTTTCTCTCCTGCGCAACCTGATCTCTACTATGAAGTTACCTCAGGCCATCCGCTCGAGAAGTCGATATAATTGAACCCAAACAAGAACTGATCATACGCATACCCGACCTTCGGATTGGCTAAGGTTGATCGTCAGCAACATCCATTTCATCCAAGGAAGCATGGCTCACCATAATGATAGTACAGCACATTCCGATCTGAGTCTGGATCATGAATTACACCCTGTCCCCCTGGCGCATACACATTCTCGCCATGGCTCCCCAGCACTAGCGTTCCTCCATTCTCTGTCAAGCAGTCTTTTCCGGCCTGATCTTTAAACGGTCCGGTGGGTGACTCTGCTCTGCATACCATGATCTTGTACTCGTCGCCTGGGTTTTCCAGGTCGTTTGCCGCGTTACAGCAGGCACCGGAGGAGAAGAAGAGGTAGTAGTACTTCGTGCTGTTGACCTCCCACCAAAACAAGAAAGACCCTTTGGTGATCGAGGGATAGTCCTGGGGTTTCGATGGATATGTAGAGTTGTACAGCATCTGTCTGGGGTCCTCTCCGCTCCAGGTCAGGTAGTCGGAGTTCAGTGTGGTCTGGTAGACGTCGTTCCATGCAGAGCCGAAGTTGAAGTAGGGTGTACACGTCGGGCATTCGATGAAGAAGTTCGCATCGATACGGTTGTAGTCGCTCGACAGGGGTAGACCAACGGATCCGTGATCCGTCCAGGTCCCAGGCATCGCATCAGTTGACGTCGCGACACCGATATCTGAGTCCTGCCGACCTGATAGTGAGACGCTGTAGTATGCGCGGAAGGTGCTGTCGCTGAAGAACACGTCCGGTGCCCATATCTGCTGACCGTCCACGACATGAATCTTCGAGCCTTGGGGAAGCATCGCACCCACGTATTCCCATGGCCCGGTGAGCGCCGTTGCCGTCGCGATCGCGATGTTACCGTTTGTCGAGAACCGAAACCATGTCCCGTCGCTTCTTCGAACAAGGCTCGGATCGTGGATAAATGTGCAGTTGCCCTGGCAGGGCTCTGGATCTGGCCATGATGCTGCGGTATGAAATATGCTGAGTAGCGATGCAAGAACTGTAACAACTTTTCGAATAGACATTATCGGATGAAGAACTTCAAGGATGGTAATCCGAAATTGCCGATGACCTTGACGTTAAGTATAGATCTGAATTACAGTAAGGCCAACCGTTATTTCCTCGCCCTGTTAGAGCGCTGGGAACCGCTGCTACTCCTACGTAAGGCTGTGCTTGGAAACATGACGATGCCTTCCTCTTTCCCACCTTTACATTGCCTATTTCGGTAAATAGGAGAGCGACTAAGTGTAGAGACGGAAAGGTCGCGGTGATCGCTGGGGAAGGATTACGGATGGCGATCCTTCGTCATTTTATCTGAAACTGGAGTGGCTGTGCTGGGCACGTGATGTGAATCTGTCCGGATGCCTTACCATTTAAAGCAGTGTATAGTGCGAAACGCTATTAACAGTTTAAAAATGGAAGACATTTACAGCGTCCTGCAAGTGCGAAATCGTATTGGAAGAGAGGTGCCAGTCCAAATAAGCAGCTTTCAGGAATCCAAACCCCAGAAACCCCTGGCTATTCGCTGATACCTTCGCTCTTATACCCTAATCGCGACGCCCAGTTGAGTAGCCCGATTCCACCTCTTCGTCGGGGTCGCATCGCACAACCACCGCTTGTCGTCATCGTCCCCGGATAGAAATTTCCAACATCTATTGCGTCAGGGGTTTGTCATTCGTGGGCGCGGTGGTGGCACGGAAGTAGTCCGGTTATCGTCGGAATGGCTGCAACATCTCCACCATTGCTATCAGCTCCGGATCGGGGTGCGGTGCCCACGGGATGAAGGCTCGTAGCATAGCGCCGAAAATTGTGCCATCTGGTGCAGAGGAAGCCATAGTGGATGTCCAACCCGGCCCGCCCTTGCGGTTGAAGAGGTCGGAGGCAAAGTTAGCGTCTGAACACGATAGGTAAGAGAGCCCGTCAGGAAGTGCTAGAATGAATGCGTCACTCTCCCACCTGCGATCACGACCATCAACTTCTCAGATACGACACAGACCTCATAATAAATCGTTCTTTCGCAATCCTATACTCAAATAGCGCTTGAATCTCGTCCTTTTCTATAGTGCCACACACGGCATTGCAATCTCGCCTGCCCCTTAACAGCTGCCTACGAACCGACGAAAACCCGGTCTCATCCTTCTCCGAGTAATAGTAGAAGAGCCATGTCTATTAAGGCATACAGTTCCGTAAACATAAATCAATAGTTTGCATAACACCGAAGGGCAAGACCGCGTGAATGCTATACATATACAAACGTATGGCGAATCGATCGCAGATCGCCATACACACACATAAGATCGACTTAGTGCAGTACCATGTACTAGAAGCCCGGAAGCCCCCGGAGCACTTGGATTGGGCAGTGAAATCCGGAGGTTTGATGTTGAGTCGATGGCATAGTAAAGTCCGGCGGGCGCCAGATCGGACTTGCGGTCACGCTAGCCCGATTGGGTGGGGCCTCAGTGCGGCGGCCTATCTTCATGTTTCGACTTACGGACTTTCTATGTGGATGCTAAGGAAAGGTAGCGTGCATATAATGACCTCAGGGTGTTGTGTCGGAAATTGACGAGTCACGTACCGATGCTTGACAGTGACGAGTCGCATGACCGGGCGTGAAGACGATGTTGATTGAATCGACACGCGACACCTTCATCTCACGAGTGAGGAGTATTAGGCAGACTTTTCTATTCCAAATTTCGCAGCGCGGCCGACGAAGAGCGCGAGCGTCGTGGTATATATACAATAAGAACAGCAACGGCAACGGCAATTTAAACGAACGACCAAACCGACTCAGGAAAGGGATTATCCTCGCGCCACGGTCTACTGAACAGCAACAGCAGAAGCGCCGGTTCCATAAGCGATGTTCGTAACCGGGAGACCGGAGAGCGGATTCTGCGCGCCCAGCATGTGCGGGCACGAGGGCTGGTTGCTGACAGCCAGGTCGAGCGTGCACACTTCGTTGTATCCGAGAGTACAAGCCGAGTTCTGGATGTTGTACAAAGCGGAGTTGTCGTGGAGCCAGCTGCCAGCCGGGCAGCTAACATATGTGTTGATGCTGTTAGCAGCCATCAGCGGCAGCTTGCCATCGGGAGTCTTAATCAGATCCGCGCACGCGCTCATGGGCGCATCTTCCCACTCAGCAGGAATCCCGCCGCCCATAGTAGGCTGCTCGGTGGCCGAGGCGCCGACATTAAGGAAGTTCCACGCGTCGTAGCTGATGTCGTAGGCGCCTCCGGAGGTGTCAATTTGCAGGAGGTGGACGGTGCGACCGTTGGCGGTGACCTTCTTGCATAGGTTGTTGCAGTCGGGCTGCATAGGCCAGTAGGCGACGCGGTTCGTGTCGATGTGGCAGCCCAGCACGCCAATGCTGGAGCTGAACATGTCATGCGGCGTGATGGAGACGCCGGTTGCGATGGCGGCGGAGGCCATGGCGAGAGTGGTGGCGGCGATCTTGGACAACATTTTGATAGCGATAGTATGAAGATATCAAATCTCTTGGTAGAATACGAAGTGGTAGGTGGGTATCGAAAGATCGAAATGCGCAGGTGAAGACTCAGCTCCCCGTAGATATAGTTATGGTTTGGAGAATTGGATGCCGATGTCAACAAAGGCCTTGTTGTGATGAGTGAGGGGTCGTCCTTGTGCTAGACAAAGGATGTCACGTGGGAGTCAAAGAGCCGGCGGCGTCTCGCAGAGAATGGCTTTGTATGGGAGAAAGGACTGAATGGTCTTGCGCGAGAAGACTTGGAAGGGAATGGACGAAATCTCAAAGAGAGATACTGAGGTAGAAAGGAATGACTGGAGTAGAGGAGAGAAGGCTGTCTGATGAGTTCTGGAGCGGGACCAAGGAAACACTTTATACGTGCCTACATGCATGCCATGCTATTAGGGCGGCCTCTACCCGAGTGACCCACATGTTCGATGCGTAAGGGCAATTTCCGGTGTTTACGGAGTCGAGCACAACTGGAGTGACACGCAGTCTGGATGGTACATTTGGAGGGACATCGGAACTTAGGCCGGACACGAATCGGCGATTTCTTTTCGTCATTCTCCAGTTTTCTGCCCGCTGCTCGCATCCGACTGGCAGGCACATGGAGAAGAGAAAACCCTTCATCCATGGCAGTTCTGCATCGGTGGAACCGCCTCCACATACGTTCATGTCCTCCACGTGGGACTGCCGAGCCTGCAGGGATCCTTGGTCACAAAGTGGGAGCGATCTTCAGGTACGGCTTGCGAATCGATAAGGAAATTGTGGGCCTAGGCGTTCCTATCGGAGATTGTTTTCCTGTTTTACGGCACCAGCAACTCCTGGACAGGTGCGGACGGAGGGCTAATGGCGTAAGCAGATCGGCGAGGGAGGCGAGCCGGGATTGGACGGACTTGAATTCTAATCGGACTAGGCAACGCGAGCAAATCAGCGGCAGCCGTTTCATCTGCCGGGCACAAGTCCGGCTCGCTGCTATGACAGCCGTCTATCGATAAGTTTGAAGGGACGCCGTCGGTGGTGGTTGCCGAGGTTCGAAGAGACCGACCTTGCAAATTTTCATGGTCGGCCCAGCACCAAGTCTACTCCGCTTTTGGACTAGCGCGCATCTTAGCGACATGCGTCATCTGGGCAAGCCGATCTCCCGTTATCGTACCTGACGCTCACTTTCCGTGCGATCTACTGTGATGGTTAGCAGGCCTCCGGACGTTGCATGTTCAGCCCCGGAGATAGACACGAGCACTTTTCAACGCTTCCAAACCATGGCTTTTTGGCACCATGAGGTGACAGGCAAACCAGCATATCTTGCTATCGAACAGAGCGGGAATAAAAGAGAGGTGGCGACAAGAAAGCCGGGTGGGGAGTTTGCAGGTAAAAGATTTTTTCGGTGGAAATTCGTGCTCCGTAGTCTTATTCGCAGTGTCCGGCCAACGCAATTACAGATTCCAGCTCTTATCCAATACACTTGGTAAAGGAACTAACCGTGACCCTACTGTACCACCAGGGATCATAGTCTTTGGGCTGGGCTCTACCAAATCCTTCTCAAGCGAGAACGTGATGCCCGACGCTTCGAAGAAGCCGCCTAGCCCTTTAGTCTGCTCGATCTCCTTGCGGTATTGAGGCTTGGTCCTCCACGCCACTCCGATAGTGACCTTTTTAAGCTGCGGAAAGTCTCGCGGGGCAGCCGAGGCGAGGGCGCTCAAGGATAGGGCCATGCCCCGGAATAAGTATGAGATGCGTAGATGTCGTATCGTGCGGGGGAGAAACTGGGTGAGTCGATATGGCCGATCTGTATCTGCTTCCAGGTATATGGAACGACAGTCGATGGCCAGGTCCTCCAACTTTTCGAAGTCAGAGAGAGACTCGATAGGAGGATAATCCACCTTTGGTGCTTCGTACCAATGCAGAGTATAATCTGGGTCCATCTCACTGTCAGAATCAGGCAAACCGCAAGCCCAAGTAGGTAGAAAGGAGATACAGAGCCGCCTCAGTGTTGTCTTCACGGGCTCTAGGTAGGCGAACAGATCGATTAATTCCAGTTCGTAGCCATTCCAGTAGAACTCCAAGTCTTCGAGTTGGGGCACACAGGGGAGCAGCGAGCCTAGATTGGATGGTATAAGGTCGCCTATCGCAAGCCGGCGGACATTTTGTAGGTCAAGGCCGTATTCCTGGCCTCGCTCGAAGCTGCTAAGGTTTGCCAGGCCATAGGTATGATCAGACCAGCCGGCTGCATCGCACGCGTAGATGGTCTCGAGGTTCGGAGCGGCGGAGTACAAAGCCTTAGGCTCAGTGATGTGATAGTCGTTGTTGTGGCAGATAAGCCCCAATGTTCGCAAACACGGAAGCTTCACATCCGGGGATTGCTCAAGGTAATCCATGTGTGCCCAACCGTCAATGGCCAGGAGCAGACTCCGAAGTTTTGGTGTGAGAGCAAGTGCAAGCGTAATGAGCCATCTGTGCGGCCATGAATAGGTACCAGTCTTTCCCCACTCCGAAACGTCATCGTCGCGACCTAGAGGTATGCCATTTGCCGCGCCGGCTTCCTTGAGTGATTTGATGGTCTGCACATCGGCGCGGTAGTCGGCAGGTGGGATGGGATCAGTCACCAGCTGCATTGTCACAACGCGCGACGCCAGGTCTGGGCGTTGAGCAACAGTGCGCAGAAACTGCGGCAGGAAATCAGGCTCTTCCGGGGCCTCCGCCCTCTTGTGAATCCAGGCCCCTTGGTAGCAGTTCGTTATTTTCGGAAGATTGCCAGTCGCATAGTAGTGGTAGAGAATAGGTTGCGCGACTGCACAGAGGGCTTTAGACGTCCGGCAGAGGTGCGCAAGCGTCCGTTTGTTAGTAAGAACATCGGGCGAGTCAGCGTTGGGGAAGGATCCAGGGTGCCGGCAATGGAAGCAGAAGAGGCCGAACATTTGGATGAGAATATCTTCTGGTAGCGATTCCATGGTGGATTGCTCCTTGATGACGCTGGATGGCCGGAATCAAGAGTTGCAGAATCTTGGGGCATTAGAGCCTTCGAGCGCCGGGCCGCTCTGCTTAAGTACCTGCGCCATTCCAGGCTCTGGGTAAATTCAAATTATCCCAGATGCAATAGCGTAGGCGAATAAAATCAACGGTACGAAAGGGGTGACCGAACGGCACATGTACAGCGGTACGTCAGGAGGAAAGTTCTGCCAAGAATCTAGTTCCACGCTAATTCCAATCTGTCCGTAGCGCCGGAGTGACGTCGTCCCGAATCCCTCCTGACGCTTCAACCACGATACCCACCACTACTCGGCCCGCAAGCTACCTACTAGATACAATCGGAATATCAACGAAAGGGCCCGCAAGCCCATCCCAACCTAGCCGTGCCCCTTACCGCTTACACATCTTCACGATGGTCTGCACCATGTTATCCTGCTTCACGAACTTTTCCCCAAGCGTCGCAATGTCATCAGCCTTCATAAATGTCCGGAACTTCACAGCGTCGAGATAGTCCTTTGGCGCCTTCAGACGGCCGGCCGTCAGCAGCTCCATGATCGCGAATGGAGCCATCTCCGGGTTCTGGATGACTTCCTGCAATGCCAACCCAGCGTTTGCTCCCGCGCCGATCAGCGCGATCACTCTCGCCATGGTCGCTGCACCCGCTGCGATCGCAGCTGCCTCGCCTAAAAACGGTACTACCAGAAATACAAGCGACAGAATCAGCAAGAGCTTGTTCTTCGCTTCATCTTCCTCTGCATCCTCGCCCAGCTCCTTAGCGTCCTCCATGCCGTCGATGGCATTCTCGATCAGGAAGACCGGGATGGAAAGTGCCGTGACGGCATCTGTGTTCCCACCCAGCCACAGGCCCATGCCTACGTCAAAGATGCGCGCGATCATTTGCTTCCGGAGGTTGCCCGAGTTGCCCATTGCCTTGCTGACGATGTCCTTCGGGTTCGGAATGGTGTAGTCCTTCTTGAGGTAGGGCATGCCGTTGACGGTCAGGAAGAGCTTGTTGCAGGGTTGAGGGTTGCACTGCGTCTCCTCCTCGTATGTGCGGAACTCGATCCAATCCTCCAGGATTCCAGTCTTGTTATTCAGGTCCTTGTAGAAGCCATCATGGTCTCGCAAGGTCATATTAATCGTCCATACGCCGATGAGAAGGCTGCCCCGGACGTCCCGAGGCACGGGACATGCGCCTTTCCAGTCCTTGCCATTGCCGTGGAAGGAGCAGTCGAAGTACTTCTGCCCTGGTCCAATCAGCCAGTCGGCATATTGTCGGAGGGACTCTGGAAGTCCCTTCTTCATGTACTTAATGTACGACTGGAATTTAGAGTCGTAGCCGTCATTGACCTGGTTGTACTTGTTCATGGCGTTGTTGAGCATAATGTTCAGGACACGAAGGGTATACACCTGGGCGCAGTCAGCAGCGGCCCAGCAATCGATACCTGGGGAACAATACCTGAGCGCAAGTGGGGTCTAGGCCTGTGTCGCCCGAGATCTTTTCGAGCGTGTCGTAGTTCTTCGCCTGGTCGCACTTGGGGCCCCCGCCCATTTCAACGTCACTGGGATCGATGTTACCCACACCGTCCTCGCTGTAGTCATGGTCGAGATCCACCGCCCAATCCGAGGTCCCGCCAAAGTTGAGGCCCTGGACCCAATCGGTCCTTGTTTGCTTGGTCGTATCACTCATCCATGCGACCCATTCCTCGTCATTGTAGACGAGAAGATCCGAGTTCGACGCTCCGTCGTGCCACGACTTCACCGAGTAGCCGATACCTCCGTTACCAGCTGCGAGAATGTCGCGGATCTCGGCATTTGAGATATAACCGCTCGTTTCGGTGCACTTGCCGGGCATTGCGTCACTTTCCGTAGAGGACCCGGTGAACCTACACATAGGACCATCGCAGCCCGGCTTAGCCATATGGAAACTCCGGCCGTAGCTCGCCACGCCGACGACGACCTTGTGCGAGACAACCCCGGCTTTCGTCACCTGAGGGCGGAAGTATAAAATCAGTACAACTCTCCAAGTGTATAAGGGTACGTTCATATCTTACATACCATAGCTAGTGAGTTCGTGGTCTCGGTGATATTGATGTGGGAGCGCAGGCAGTCGCCTTCGTCGCAGCCAGAGCTGGACCACTTGTTGCCATAATCCCACTGGCCGTGGAGATCGTACGTCATGTACACGATGTAGTCGACGATCTTGGAGATATCCGCAATCGGGAAGCCCTTCAGATACCAATAAGAGGCCGGTGCAGCAATAGCCACCGACTTGTTCGGAAGTCTGCGCTTAACGAGCTTCAGGAATTCGAGGTACTGCTTCCCAGCCTCGATAGCGCCGGCCGGAATGCCCGGGATGTCTGGTGCCGCGGGATACTCCCAGTCGAAGTCGACGCCGTCCAACCCGTTATCTGTGACGAACTTCGCGACATTATTAGCCAGCGTAGCGCGATTCGCATCCGTCACACCATCTCGGAAGATGGTGTACGTCGGTGCCTCAGTCGAGAACGCCCAACCACCGAACGACACGATGCGCTTAATGCCGCTCATGTCTTTAAACTTATCGAACTGGTCCTTCTGGCCGGTGATGTTGACATTGAAGTCATGGGTAATTTCCGGGAAGGCGAAGTGGATATGGGAGAATTTGTCCTTCGGCACGTCGGTCACGTCCATGTGGAGACCTAACATGGCGGCACGATCAGCAGGCATCCACGATTTATACTACCGGATTGGGCTTACATGGACGCTTGTGGTTCCAGGCCTCGAAGTAGGCGATCTTGCGGAACTCGGTGGGGCCTTGGGCGTTGTTGGTAATGTTCATACCGCAGCTCGAGACGCACGAATTCTTTCCAGGCTGGGTTGTGCTGCGAACACGGTACACATTAGCGGATATCCTGAGCTACGGCCCGAGGGCCTCGCGACTTCCGTTTTGGCCCGTACTTGATCCGCAGAAGCCCTTCAGGGCTGACATTACCGGGTCAAAACGAAGGTATGCTTACGTACCCAGGTGCTTTTGTATCGGCCGGATTGTATATGCAAAAGTCGTCTGTCGTGCCACACTGGCCCCAGACGTTGCAGCAGACGTTGAGTGGACACGGATTGAGGTCCTTGATATCGGTATCGTTCGTCGGCCGCTGTGTACCAGGCACTTGAGGACCGCACATGGCGTTAGGGCGTGATGCTGGCATCGGCGGATCGCCCTTGGATAAGCAGAGCTTGTCGCCGGGTTGGATCGCGCTGCATCCGCCCCAACCCCACGTTTTCTTGTTGTATTCGTCGATCTTGTCGGTGGTGATCTGGTGCGCCTCCGCGATGTCGAAGCATATATCCTTCGGTTGAACGATGTACGTAGCGCAAGACCCATCAGGATTGGGCTTGGGCCCCCTGTGGTAGCGGTACGGTTAGTATATGTCTCAGTTTGGTAGGCGTACCGCGAGGTTGACTTACACTGGGAAGGGTTAGAGGTGTATCAAATGGAAGGGGGACGAAGCACTCACTATCTGGCAGGTCTCCCTTCGAACAGCAGACCCACTGCTTCGGCCTGACACCCTTTACCGGATCACAGAGGTCGGCGATGGGGTTGTAGCTCTCGAACTCCTTCTGCGTGACGCCGCATCGTTGGGAGAGGGAGTAGCAGCCATCGTTGTTAGCCACCTATTGACGTGGCAGGGCACATTAGCGAATGTCTCGAACGCGCCGCGTTTAAGCGATTGAAGGCCACAAGCAGTAGCTTTCCACAAGCGAAAGCTAAGACCCGCTGGGATAAGGACCATGATATGCGTACCTGGATGGCCTTGCATTCGGCACGAGGAACCAGCGCTCGCTTGGACATCGGCTCGACTGGGTCATTGATCTGCTCCAAGCCCGAGTATAATCCCGTTCGGATCGGAACGCCAGTAGCCAGGACAAAGGTGATATCCATCTTCTGGTAAGAGTCTGCGTAGTCGGCGCCGCTAAGGCATTTGCCTTCCGCCCACGTCCGAATAGATTCTTGCGTCGCTGAGATATTTCCGCGGAAGTCGGCATCGACTCCCACTGTCCACGTTGAAGGTGTTTTGTCCTGGCACACCTGCGCAGAGAGTCTCGAAACGTCATCGCCTCCTTGGACTGCGGATATAAAATTCTCCATCACCGAAACAGCGCTCGACGTCAAGACTTCGTCGCCCGCATACAGCCCCACGACCGCATCTCCGTGCCGGGCCATCATGATGGTCGAAACGCAGTCCTCCTGGGTGGAGAGATAGTTCTTCAGCGCTTCAGCAGCTGAGAGGATCGCTCCCTTACCGTCCCCCACGGAACTCTCTTGGTCCGCGTTCCATCGCAGGAAGCTCACCGCCGTCTTGTTTGTATACGTTTCGGCGCCGGTGACGCACCCACGCAGTGATGTGCTGTTGGTGGTGTTGTTGGCTCTCCGCTGAAGAGGCGAGCCGAAGGTAAAGGGCGCAGGATTGTATTCGACTGCTTGGGTTGTGTTCGACTCGGAAGCCGTGCATGTTCGCAGCGTGAGAGGGGAGTTGGGATCATCAATGGGAGTGAAGATCGCGGTATCGAAAAGTACGGGTTCCTTGCACCGCTTGAGGGCTGGTATACCGTGGAGATCAGTCCAATTGGTGGGGTTGTGGCCGGCTACACTGCATGCAGCGGGGCATGGCTTTCCAGGACTCTGCTGTGCAATGGTAAGAGAGAGAAGGAATAAAAGCGAGAGGACGGCACGTCCTAGGATGCGCCTCATCGTCGCAAAGGAGTGTAGGAAAAAATTGAATGAGTGTAAGGAGCGAAAGAACAGGTGGTTGTCCGATTCCAACGAGGTTGAAGCTTCCAAGAAATAAGACAGAACCGAGCTCAGCAAGGCATCGAGGGGTAGCCGAGGAGGTAGTCAGACCTCTCCAGTGCCGTATGCCGACCGTACGCGCAGGAACAGGCGAAGCTGCAGGAACGCCTTGGCGAATGTTGGGTGGCGACTACATCAACTCGAATCCCGGAGCCTAGCCGCCACAAAGTGGATTTAAACCGTATTTCTAGATTGTTCGCTCTTTCATGCGAGCACACCGTAGCATTCTCGCAAAACATGCAGTCAGCCTCGCAAGAGGCGTATCGAAACCCGACTTGGAGCTGGTCCGTGCCATCCTCGATCCCATCGGATACGATCGCCAAGCGGGCGTTCCCTTAAGAACCTTAATATTATGCTTACTGGTCGCGGACCACTACAACGGGTAGCCGAGACACAGGCTAATCTACATGGCTTGGTCACCGGCCGTATAATATGGTAACACTTATTAGAGAATCCTTCGGAAAGTCACTAGTACCCTTTTTACTGACCCATACTCCGTGAGCGAGGCTGACTTCGTAATTTCGAGAAGTTCTGCAGTCGCTTTCTCGTGCGATACCGGCACTTGATCGGTTCACGCGTCCGAAGTGCTCGCGACGGATGGACCCTGATGGCAATGAGACTGGCGGCCAAGCAATCTGGAATCCTGCGCACCGGGAGGGGCCTTCAGGGGTGGGATGTTCGGCCGGCCAGAGATAGTCGGTCATCGTGCTCTCCCCTCCATCCGCTCTTCGACGTTTTCCCGACTACTTCGTGGCCTTCTCTCCATTCCCTGAAGGCCTCCAGGCTCACGTTTGCAAGCATCTCTTGCGTCGTCTTTCTCGTCGTTCGTTAACACACTCCTTTTTATTTCATCGCCACCCTGCACCAAACCGGCAAGCCGAGCATCACGGTCTCGTTGGGTCCATACAATCTTTCGTCACTCTGAACTGCTTTGTATTCAACTATGAAGCTTCTCAGCCTCCTCCTCGTTTCTTTGGCGGCCGTTGGAGTACTCGGGTCGAAGTCTGCAGGCGGCTGGGAAGCAACCATGCACGTACCTAAGATATAAACTTACTACCTAGGTACTAGCCCACACTTTGAGAACTACGCTGACTTTGTGCCCTTGTTCTAGGTACTACTACATGTACCGAATGGACTACGACAGTCACGGCGCCGGAGACCGCACGATTGCAGCAAAGTGCGAAGGCAGCCATAGCGGAGGCGGCTGCAATTTTGCACAATTCATCGATTTTATTCAGAAGAAGCGCATAAATAGTAAGGCCAAGGATGCGCAAGGCAGGTGGATATTCGTCGGCAACTTCGATCCAAGCAAGGTACCAGCGGATCTTGATCTCGAGAATCCAGACATCAACAAAGCGAGTGAAATCATGGACTGGTATGTCACACCGAGTTGTGGACCTAGTTCAGTGCGTCTTGCTAACATGATACCTCCGTATTCAGGGACAGTAGGACGAACCCCAGCAAGAGACCAGGCGATCCACCGTATCTCAAATACGACGGAGGGTATGAGGCGAGTAACCTCCTGGGCGCGAAGGCAGCTGGAAGAAGCAACCACGGCGCCATCTTGGATGGACTGGCCGAGGTAGTTCAAGACTCCAGGAAGAAGGCCGGCGACGAGAAAGTCAAAGACCAGCTTGAGAACGTTCGAAAGTGTCTGAACAACGTCGTCCTTAATCGCATCAAAGACAACGCAGCGAACCTTGTCCGAGACTTTCAGATCGTGTAAGTAACCGCGATCGCCGACAATATTCGATATACCCGGCGTTATGACGAACAGCGCTAACGCGATACTCACCCTAGGGTGCTCGATAAATACAACAACGGCATCCAGGACGAAGCTAAGAAGCTCAAGTCGCCAGAGATGGATTACACAGACCCCGACTCCGGCGAGACCTATAAAGTCTGGGACAGCAACAAGATGGCCAACGATATCATCGACCATCCAGACCTCAAGGAGAGCAGGAAGAATGAGCTATTAGACAAAATCATCGAATATTCAACCGAGTACGAGACGAAGAAGAGCCTGTCCGAGAAGCCCAATTCAAGCGGCGCGACGCATTATCGTGATATCACGGCTGCGCAGGCGATTGCAAGTAGGCTCAAGGGTCCTCCGGATGCATGCTCTTGAGGTGGGAGATCGACGGAGTGAAGACTTAGGATGTGGGCCCATACTTTGGGGTTGAGAATGGGTTGTAGTTTTGTGTTTGTAGCCTAGGATATATGGCGTAGCGCATTAGAAGTTGAAGTGCCATGTCACTTTGTATGAAAACGGGCAGCCTGAGTGACCTCACCGCGGCCAGAATGTGAAGTTCGGGCCGAGGATAGAGCCATGAGGCCCTTCATCCTCCATTTTCCAAACCTCTAGAAGACATAATCCCACTCCGATTCGGCGACACTGAGGGTCGTACGGGCGTGCTGCAGAATACGCACATGCTGAGGAATTCCTTCTCCTTTTCGCCCCGGATCCAGCAGTGGCACGCGACACATCGTAATATGAAAATTTTCTTTTAGTTCTCGCGCGGACGATTGACCCTAGTATCTATGCACCCATTCCTGAAGGATTTCGGCCATGTATACTCTCCTAGTCTAGACACGATGCTAAGGGAATACCAAGCCGGCAAAACAGTCGATCTAGCCGGCCACGCGAGAGGCAAACCCCCCGAGCACCCAGATCTCTGGTACGCGGGGGCCGAAACCCCTGAATATATATTCGAATGCAGAAGGTAATCATGTCATAGGATTTAACGCAAGGCAACAACGAGAGGCCGGCACCTTAGCGAACTCCGGTCCAACACTCGGCTGTTTGAGCAGTCGACTAAATGGTCCACTCTGACCTACTAAGGGCTCGGGCCAATGGCACCTGTTGGCTTGTCAGCCTTCCTAGGTTGGTAAGTTGGGATTTCGTCGGGACCTGGGTACTGCGGAAAATTATTCGAGCAGAGGAACATGAAGCAAGAGGTGTCCTCGCTACACCCTTGTCAAATTTATATTGAATTATGTCTTTCACGGTGGAGTCGGCCGACTAACAGACCAAGGGTAAATACGAGAAGGCTGCGGTCGAGTCGAAATGCACGTGGTATCCAGCTGCCAGCTCATCTCATCACCTCGTGCGATATAAAACCCAGAAACAGGCTGCTCTACAAGCCTTCTATACGGTTTTCTAGTAACACAGGATAGGCGCGCCGGGAAGTTTCTCCTCTGCTTTCTTTATTCCGTTACCCAACCCTTATTAATACACATTTTCAAGATGCCGATACACGCTGGCTTGTTGCTCGCCGTAGCACTCTCGTGCTTCATCCCCGTTGATGCTATGCCGAAGCATCTCACAGGGAGGGATGCTTGGCCGAATCTTCCTTCTGATCCAAATGCGTCCCCTTACTGCACGTGGTGGATTGATTATCAAGGAGAAGGAACATGTCAGGATCTCCTCACGAATAATTTCGTTGAGCTTGCTGATTTCAGGCGCTGGGTAAGTCACTTCCGAGATAGTCTCACGGCGTTTGCTACGTTCAAATTATGTGTGTTTCCGCTTGAAGGCTGATACGGTGCCTAAATAGAATCCAACCATTGGACCCGATTGCTCTGGCCTAAAAGCCGGCAACTCGTACTGTGTTGAAGCGCTGCTCGAGCCCACAGGGGTAACATCGACTGCCACGCCCAAGACTTCATCCTCCTCCACATCCTACGCCTCATCCACTCCAACTCTGAAAGCTTCATCCGTATCCACCACCAAGTCCTCTACGTCAACAGCCAGGCCTTCGTCTACAATTCCGCCTACATCGAAGCCAACCTCATCTCCTATGCCCACACCCACGCCAAAATCGACAACTCCAAAGCCTCCCGTGCCATCCACAACTACCAAGCCCGGCAACGGAATCGAGACACCACTGCCAACCCAGCCGCAAATAGTAGACAATTGCGACAAATTTTACTTCGTCAACGAAGGCGATAGCTGCGCCGCCATCGCCACCAAATTCGGCATTACCCTGGAGAAGTTCTTGAAATGGAATCCCGCGGCTGGAAGCAACTGTGGAGGGTTGTGGAAAGACGCATACGCCTGCGTCTCCATCGTCGGGGAAGAAGGTAGCACTCCCACACCAACACCCACGAAGCCTGGAAATGGGATAAGTACCCCTCAGCCCACGCAGCCGAATATGGTTAGCAACTGCGACCAGTTCCACTTCGTAAAGACGGGCGTGGATAATTGCCAGAGCATTGCGACGCGGTACCGCATCACGCTCGATCAGTTCCTCGCTTGGAATCCGTCCGCTGGGAAGAACTGCGCTGGGCTCTGGGGCGACGCCTACGCTTGCGTTAGCACTACCGACCACACACCCAGCCCCACGAATCCTGGAAATGGCGTTACCACTCCGACTCCAATCCAGTAAGTTATAAACGTTCCACATCTTCTCCTAAGACGCTATGCTGACTCAAACACCACAGGCCTGGTATGGTGAATAACTGTAAGAAGTTTGACTTTGTGAAGACGGGCGAAGGGTGTGATGTGATTACGAAGAGGAACAGCATCACCTTGGCGAACTTTGTCAAGTGGAACCCAGGGGTTGGATCGGACTGCAAGAGCATGTGGGCTGAGAGCTATGTGTGCGTTGGTGCCTAGTTTAGAAGTAAACTCGATACTATTTATTTTTTTTCTGAGTTCCGTGCTGCTGTGTTTGCTTTAAGTGTACTTTTGTCTCACGGCAACTGCGGGGAAAAAGGATATCCTCACAGATAAGTAGACGAGTTCTGTTCTGGCGATGCATAAATCAAAGAGAATCTTGATACCCAGGGAATTCTTGAGCGATTCGATATGGTTGTCGAGTTTCCGAGCGTCAGGATACTGAGGTTCGAGCAAGTCGCCAGAATTAGAGGCTAGGCCAACTGCGCAGCTGCCACGGAAGAGCTCACAATGCGGCGCGCCGAGTGGACGCAAGAGTCGAGATTCTGGAACGCGGCAAGGGGGACTCGAGTCGGTAACGGTCCAGAGGAGTAGTGACAAGTGATAATAGGGGTCGGTGTTAGATAAGCCCGTGAGAGAAGCTCTGAGGCTTGCTTCGTGAGCCCATGACTGTCCTCGATAGTGATTTACTTAGGCTTTTATGTTCCAGGCAATGCTTCGCGTAGTGCAACATAGAATGCCGGAATAACAATGCAGTGGCTAAGTAAGCCAGAAAAGTGGATCTTGGAATCGGTTCTCGCCCAAGGTGAATCTCGCATCTTGAAGTCCACACGTGCAGCTCGAAGTCCTCAAATGGTCCAGCTTCTTTCATCTTGCTTGCTGATTACAGACTAAGGCAACGTGGTGGCGCAACTTGCCTTCACTTCCTCTCAGTCGCACGCGGACCAGATACTACGGCAACGCGGGCAGACAATTCATCCTCACTACACCTCCACGCCACTCCCCTCGCCCACAGAAGTATATAGGTCAAGTCCCTGTTCTTTCCTTACGCACTCTACGCACTCTACGCTCCCTCACCCTACCAGACGCCGATCCTCAAGCAACTCTCTACCGGTCAAAGGCTGCCCAAACCCCATCATCATGAAGATCGTCGCCTGCATAATCGCTGTCGTCAGCATCCTCTCTGTCGCTGTCGCAGCTCCGCATCCCATCGACAACAACGCGGTCGCTCCGACGGAGTCCGCTCCAGCTTCAGTAAGTGTTCATTCGCCAACTAGTCTCCGCATGTTCACATCCTCCAGGACCCCGCAGAAGGCGGAACCAACATCGCCTCCAACATCTGTACCTTCCCCTGCGGCCTGGACTGCCAATGCACGTTCCGCCCGCCCTTGGAGCAATGCACTACCATGGGATGCGAGATTCTCCCTCCGCCACCGATCGTTGTGACTTGAGACTTTAACTCATTGAATTGACCTGGCTCTAAGAGCTATGCAATTATTCCACAAATTCTTTCCTGCAGAGCAGATGAAGGAAAACCATGCGAAGTGATGAAAAACCTCGCTCTCCGATCGTTGTGAGCCGGCAATCCTGCGCCACTGCGGGTCCGAAGTATTGCTCGGGCACTCATGGGAAGTGCAAGGGCTGCGATATGTCCGAGCTGTGTAAGCGAAATGGTTTTACATATTGGTGCTAGAAACTAGGTGGTATGGTTCCGCTTGGTGAGTGAGCGATCGAGATAGTATTTTCAGGGCGCTCAAAGCGAATTGAGGATAGATTTCGGCATTTACGAGGAGCCTTCACTATGGCCTTGCGGCACCGGAGTCGGTTGGGAACATCAGCCTCGCTTTGCGCATGAGGTAAGGTGATACAATGGTCTAGCAGGAAGGGAACCCTGGATTTGGCCGGAATGCGACGGGGAACTTTACACTGGTTTAGTTTGAACCTCCGGGAGATGAGCAGCAACTCATCATCCCAGCAATGTCAAGTTCCAATATTTGATAGTCTCGTTATAGTGCTTCAATCCAGCGGTGAATGCGGAAGCGGGAGCGGACACTGCGTGCGTACTTGCGACGTCGCCTTTCCCCGGCGAGTTGGCCATGGCGTGACGCGTTTTTAGCCTCCGTGCCAGCCCTATCTTGGTCTACTTTCCCTCGGCCTTAAATTACTTCCGCGTCTCTCCTCACGTTATATCCTTAAGCAAATGTCCCTCCATTAACTGCGGCTGTTAGGTCGGCGACGTACTGAAGAAGAAAGTGGATGCTTTCTGAACGATTCTCATGCTCTTACACAAGCGCAGCAACGAGTTGCGGCATGCAAAGAAGAGGAGAAGCCCTTCCCGCATCCATGTCTGGCGCATACATTGCATTCACATCAGCACGGTCCAGGTACTCCTTAAGCATAGCAGCACCGTGTGCAGCCATCGGGTAACATAGTTGCACGTCTTTGGAGCCAGCTTCGGGTGAAGAATATGTTGCTTTGTTGGAATTTGCACCCGTTCTTAGAGAGACGAAGGCCCGCTACGGCTATTCGTTTCGCTACCGGTAGAGACGGTCGCCCGCGGATACGGTCGGACGCTTACACGCTCGACGGCACAAGGTCTAAGGGAGCAACCTAGGTATCCCAACGGCTCGCGAAACTTAGATATATAATCCTGTATATCTATTAGCCCCGGTTTTACATTAGTATGAAGTGCTAGATTTACCAGCAGACTCTTCAGCGTGATCTCTTTCGCCGTCCAGAGTTTATACGTTGCCCGATATGGTGGTATCCTCACCTGGCTTCATGGGGTCCTATATCCATTGATATAGCCTTTTTCTCCGCAGTTCCTACAGTCAACTCATGTCTCCATACTTGCCTATTCACTGATATATAGGTGGCATTAGTTAGACCATAAAGCTTTCCGCGATCCGCTTCGCTAGAATGTTAGGAATGTTGAAGTAGGAAATTGAGGAATACAGTATATTGGAGTGAGGTGTATTGTATTGAGTGTATATAGCTCCGAGAAATCGAAGAAATCTCTGTGGCGCTAGTGCCCGATTAAGAATAGCTAGGCGATTGAACTCCAACAAGGAAACTATCACAGCATCCTTAATGCACGTTTCGATATCCTCTTTGACGCATCGAAGCTCTTTCCTCGGCTCTTCCCTCAGCTCTTAGGCCTGCTGCTCCGTTCCTGTTCCCCCCTAACCCGGAAACGATTGATCTCCTCGCGAGCGGTCTCATGCTCTTGAAGCGCATCACTTGACGAGGCTTCAAAGGCCTCTATGACGTCCGTTCGGAGTACGACGACTGGTTCTTGCGTCATTAATTGCATACGGCGTTGCAGCTGCTGGCTGAACATATTCAGTCGCCCTGTAGTTCTTAACCGCCTGTACGGCTCAAATCGGCTTCAGTACTTGGTGGAAACTCTTTCATTTCCTGAACGGCCCCTTACCTCCAGCTTCCCTTATCCGGTCTCGCTTTCCTATGCGATTGCGATGCATTTCTCGAGGATGTAGTACAAGTCCGGCCAAATCCGACCTCGAGATGTCCAGATCGCTCCGTAACTTGTTGGAAAGCCGAGATATGTCCGCGGTGACAAGGCTGAGACAGTTGTGCGCAATTGTGAGACTTTGAAACGAGCTTGCCGGCGAGATTGGTGAATTGCCCCGCCTTTTAGACTCTCTAACTTAAGAAGGCTGTTAGTGGAGAGGAAGGTATTTGCTCATCAATTTTGCCTCCAGATGCGCCGCGGCTAAGTCTTTCAGCCTTGTGTGAATGTGTGATGAGGTTTTCAGCCTGCAGACGCCATCGACGCGTGTGATCCTCGGCCTTCCAATAAGCCTCTCAGCATCTTCGCATACGAATAAAGGACGACAAGCGGAGTCCTTGGGATAAAAGAGCGCATGCGCCCAGAGCCGTGATGTTGGGTGCCCACGCAAGCGCGAGCGGTCAGACGGCATCTCCTTCCCTCGCGCCTCGTCGCTTCATCTTCATCCACATTCGACCACTAGTCCTGCGAGCCGCAGCTTCTATGGTTTCATGAAGCAGAATCCCCTTCTTAGCGTCGTGATCACATCCAAGGGGATTCCCCGTGTCGTAGAAACATCGCCTGCGTGATTGGTCAGCCTGCCCTACCCTCGACACAGCCACGCTAACCGGCGTGCATGCATGGCTAAGCACTTCTCATCCTTCCGGGGAAATAAATTCCAGATACAGCCTTTCTAAAGCCGGCCCTCCTTCTCATATCAACGCCAGCCTCGCTTCTCCGTTATTCTCGCATCCCACGTCGAGATTTTTCGAGCCCAGCAGCGCTTCAAGCCCCATAATCCCCGCCATGACGGGAAAGCGCAAGTCTAGCGCCAACGCTAATGTTGACACCTCCATCGCGAAGCGCCTAAAACTTCGGAAGCGCGCAGTAGCCCCTCACCTATCGGGCCCAGAGACTCCTAGAAGAAGCACAGCTCCAAGTGCAACGAACGACAGTGGTAAATCGGCCTTCATCCCTTTCCGGGCTACCGAGAACGACACTCAGAACTACCACGCCTTGAGTCCTAGTTCTAGAGAGATCCGCTACATTTCACTTGAGCCGAGCGACGACAATGCCGAGGACTCCAAGATAGTATGCTTTCTGGGCTACATATCCCTGGACAACAAGAAAAGAATACCATACGAAGCACTGTCATACTGCTGGGGCGACGTGTCCGATACTGTCCCAATAACGCTTCTACACCCGGTTGTAAAGCCTCCAGTTCACTCCAATGGCCCCTAGGATACTGCAATCGCCTGTAAACACGTCTCTCAGCGGTACGAAGTGACCAAAAATCTCGCCGCTGCGTTACGGAACCTTCGATACAAGGACAAACATCGCGTGCTCTGGGTTGACGCCATTTGTATCAATCAAGAGGACCCTATCGAGAGAAGCGAGCAAGTTAGAGATATGAGTCAGGTCTATTCACAAGCCGAGCGAGTATTGATCTGGCTCGGTGAAGAGAATCTGTCCTGCCAACTTGCTGTGAAGTACATGGACTTATTGGCAGTCGCTCATGGTAATGATGGTGATGAGGAGGAGGAGGAGGAGGAGGAGGAGGAGGAAGATGCTATAGGAGACGTTCAAGGCGACATTGGAGAAGATAGTGGAGACGGCAGCAAATTCCACATTGCCTTGAAGGGACTATATCGGCTCGAAAAGGAACACGAGCGCATTTCTATCAAGTCCCTGACGGAAGACTTGTCTGACGAATTCTTTGAAGTCATTGTGCATACGCTAGGTGATCTCCTGTCGAGGCCATGGTTCAGACGTGTTTGGGTTGTTCGAGAAGTCCTCTGCACCCGCACCGATCTCGAAGATGCGTATCAAAATGGTAGAATCATCGTCAACATTGGGAGAATGCGCATCCCCTGGGGCATGTTCTTCATGTCCATTGATCGTATAGTACACTATCAATGGGACCGACTCTGGCACTTCCTGCATACGCCGGTCAGGAGGCAGGCATACCATTGCCTAATGTTCTATGAAAGTTGGTTAGAACTATGGAGATCCGTCGAACCAGAAATAGTAGACCTCTTGGTTGTCACGCACGGTTTCCAGGCAAGTGACCCGCGGGACAGATTGTTCGCACTTCTAGGTCTCGCAATCGATTCCAAAGATTCGGACAGTCACTTAATCCGCCCCGATTACACCAAATCTCTTGTTCAGGTATTAACAGACTTCGCTCGATGGCATATCGAAACCACGCGTTCATTATACATTCTCGCTTCTTGTGGTGAAAGCTGGGGAGTCAGTGTACCAAGCTGGGTTCCTCGTTCCTTTTCCGACATCGAACGCAATGCTCTCCGTAGACTATCTAAATTCATCTCGCACGGATATCTACAAGGCCTTCACGTCGAAAGTGAGACAATGGAAGGACACGATACCGACAACGGCCTGAACCTTCTATTTGAATTCTAAGGCTCATCACTTCGAGTCCATGGAGTGAAGCTTGCGCGCATTCAAATCGTGATGGAGCAATCCGTGGCATACGGTTTTCCCCAAGATCGATATTCCGTACGCCCAGTGTCTCAGCATCAAGAAGAAGAAGAAGAGCTTTTCTCATGGCTACTACAGAGCTGTTGGGATCCGCTCAAGGAGCCTAGCGATGCACGCTTCTTGAATAATTGCTTGCGGATGTTCGGCATGGGCGAAGGCAATGATAGCCCGGATGTCTGGTCGAAGGGATTCATGTCATATCTGGAATACTATGGAACATCGACGCAAATACGCGACACTGGGTTTTTCTCAGACTGTGGACCAGAGAGCATCCGGTACGTGGAAGAAAGAAGGCTTTTTTTCTGTAGCCCTGAAAATTAGAGTGTCATGCCGCTTCTTCAACACAAAATCAGGAGAGCTTGGGTATGGGGACCTGGTAGAGGAGGGAGATGTTGTGGTCGCGCTTCAAACGGCGAAATTTCCCTCCGTGATTCGGCCCTGTCAAGAACCCGAATTGGAAGGGAAGTTTCGTTTCGTCGTGCCCTGCTTGTTCTACGGCCAACAGCCCATGAACCACGAGATGTATTTACCCACGGCGGAGAGGCCTCTGGAAGTTTTTGAGTTGGTTTAGAGAAAACCAGATGTTCTTCGATTGGTCCTGTGGACTGCAAAGTTCAGGCGTTGTTTCTGCAGATTCGGCACGCAGGAATGAGGAGACTTAGCTCCGTATCATTGCGTGAAAATTTATTAACGTACTACTTCAGGGGTGTACCAAGAAGCCAGCAACCAAACATATACTTCTAACTCCTGCAGGTGGATAGATCTTAACACAGACTTCGACATTCATTCCTACCAAGCGACGGATTTACCCAGAGGCAGGGGCATATTGAGCCTGGAAACCACCAGGGAGCGCATCAAGCCCTAAAAGCATTAGCAAGTGCTAATAGAAACACGCAAGAAAACGTTCCCGACTTACATCCATCAATATCCTCATCCACCACCACCTTCTGCGTGCACTTATTCATATCCGCAACCGACTGAAACTTCGCCCCCGACTCCGAGCAATTCGTCGTAAAATGGCACGGGTAATCCAATATCTCTTGCAGCGCATTCCCCTTCCAGCCAAACACATAATCCGCATGGTTCGCATAGCCCGTTGCATCACCGAACGACCACACGAAAGGCTGGCTTCCATCCTCAGGCCATTCCAGGTCATTGAACGGCTTCGTGTCCCAGACGACTTCGAACATGACTTGCGCGGTGCGCACGGGGTGCGTTGACGGGCAGGGTCCGGCGCTCTCGAAGGTGCCTGTCTCGGGATAGCTCATGTGAGACATGTGATCGGGGCTGTCGAGGTTCTTGCCGTCCCAGCAGGTGGGGAAGCGGAGAGAGGTCATGATTCCTTCTTTGCATTTGCGGTTGGGGAGGGCGATGAGCTCGGGGGAGCGCGTGACGAAGGTGTCTAAGCAGGTGTAGGTCAGTTGGCGGAAGCGGGCGGCTTCCGCTAAGGTTCGGGCCTGGACATCGCCAATGAACATTCGGAAACCCTGTCTCTCGTCAATATCCGGTATTGGAAGTGTCTCGGGCGAGCTTCTGGTCGAGCAACTTACCGGCTGGAAAGCTGTCACCTTTGACTTCTGTTGTTGGTCGTAGATGGCGTCCTGCATGTAGTAGACGGTGAGGCCACCGTTGGCGTTTCTGAATTGGTTGTTTCCGAGTTGGGGAACGCGCTTGTAGGTACCGTTCCGCGCGCGGAAATAGAGGACTGCAGTCCAGTAGTTGGAGAAGTCATCACTGAACTGGCAGGTTGTGCACGTCGATTCGCCTGGCATATCTTTTTCGGGCTCCATGGTAGCGTTGAAGGAGTTCTGTTAATAGCCATTAGGAATCGATATAACATGAAGGCTGTTTACGTACTCCGCCGACTATCTGGTGGACATGAACGGACGGAACCATGCCAGGGTTCACCAAAGGGTCTAGTCTTTGGGTGACCAGCTGCGAGCAGTGGAATCGAACCAACGCACTGCCAGGTGCAGCGAGTGCCAGAAGGAGTACAGGCCACTGCATTTTGTCGTACTAACTCGCGCTTTGTGAACAGCAAAAAAGCAGGAATCAATATGACAAAACGACGGCGAGTGTACAGAACCCTGCGAAGGAACGAAGACTGTGTTGTTCTTTTCAATAAGTCTCGCCTGGCGCCCGAGTACTGGGATAATCGATATGAAAGCCCCTAGATTAACCGCCCGAAAGTCGAAAACCGGAGTGCCTGGGATGGTTAGAGCGTGGTAGGTCATCCTGTGACTCCCCTGACGTTTTAACGGGTACTGCAGATATTGGAAGCACCCAGCGCAGATCGAGTGCCTTAGCGACCGTACCAGCGACTCTATTGCTGACCGTGAGACAGAATTGGGCGTTCAGCAATCTCAAGCATCCACTGCCGATGTAGCTACAAACAATGGGTAAGCAAGCTTGGAGAAATGAGGTCGCTCCGTTCTGGGAGTGTTAAGCGAGAAAAGGGCCGGCTATTAGTCTAACTTCAATCTACACCATATAGTACCCAGCCAGTCGCAGATATCTCAGCCTGACGTATATTGACTCAACACCCACACGGTGTGGGGTGCGAGTGGAGTGTTAAGTGCCGAGGTGGGGCGGACGGGTGGACGAACGGACAGTTCAATACCACTAATTTACCAACAAAGAAATGGACAAGGTACAGATCTCCGGAATGGATTAAACTGGGTGGAGATATATACAAACTTACGGAAGGTAGACAACCTCGTGAGTCGTTAGCCTCGACTTTCAGACACCATCCCCAAAGACGAAAACAAAAACTTGCCGACGATGCGCTTCGCGATCAACCTGATAGCTCTATGTTTCGCGCTCGTGGGCGTGAACACCGAAGCAGTGCAAGACGGATGTCCCAAGGAGGACTACGCATGTCTGGATGTAATCAACTCCAGCCAGTGCATCGAGCAACTCGTCATCGAACACCAGGCGCCCGTCACTAAGGAGGCGATGGTGAAATGTGTGGAGTATGAAGGCACTGCGACCAACATGCCAGGAGCATCGAAGGTAAGCTGAAGGACTTTGAGAAAAGCCGATAATATCCGGAAAGTCAAGACCAACGGGCTAACGAAAGTCCAAAAATAGTTATGTCGATGTCCGGGCTGCCATTCTGCGCCTATAAACGCTGCTATTGCGGAACTGTTCCCACCACCGTGTGCGTGAAGATGGACCGGCGAACTCGAGGCATTTCCATCGGCGAAGGACCGAAGTTGGGGCTATATGATAGGGCGTATTATAAGCCTTTGGAATGAGGAGAATATGTCATGGTTTATCATGGTCGAAGTTGTCGTGCTTGATACAATTACGTTCGTCCAGGAGGGTCCGGTTCCAACTGTGTGGGTTGGAAGAAGGGGATGGAATGGAACTAGCCCCCACGCAACGTTCGAAAGAGGGACATACAAGGTGAACAATCTGAAATGGAGTTTTCGATTTTTCGATTCCCGGGACACATCCCCATGTGTATATTTGCACCTTGCCCGCCAAACCTAGTTCTCCCCATAGCAGGCCTTCTTTACGCGAGGGGGAAGAAAGCAGCCGAATGCAAATGCTGCACGTCCCGCGCCATGTAACTCTTATACGGCATCGCTGTCGCCAGAACCAGTACAGTTCCGTGAACCGCCCGCGAAAGCTCCGGTCGGCCTGGTACAGTCTTTGGTATACCGTAACTTTCCACCTATGTCAAGACCGTAACGATCATGGATCAGGTAAGAAACCCAGAGTGTCGGATCGTCCACGAAACCGTGGATGCTTTGCATAGGTGCCGTTGCAGCCATGTCAGTCTCCTTGGCTTCCAATGCTCGTATTGGATGGATCCGCTGCGGACGGCGTCGACGTGGTGGACAAAGAGAGGTCTTGGATATGATCGGGCTGTGGCGAGAGCCGCTCTCAAATACTCCGGAGAGGGCTGGTGTCATTACCTGGTGAAGAACCGCGGGCGTAGCTTTCCGCAACAAGGACAAGACCGGGTAGTATGCGTTCGGGCGATGTACGATGCTAACTACTGGCGACGGCGAAATAGACCTGCGTTGTTTGACTAGTATCTTCATTGGGGATCATTAATAGCAATAGCTGGGTATACTCAATGCAAAAGGCTCCCCAGCGCCTGACATGTCAAGCATCCTTTTTGCACTCCAGTCATCTTATCATTAGCACCTTTCCTCTTCTCCATCTTCCCTATGTATTCCCCCCTCGCTGTGCAACCCCCTGATGCTCCTTCCTCAGCACCTCAGCATCCATATTCTCGAAGTTGAAACTCCATATCTTCTCCGCGACACTCATCCCATGCTTACTCGCCGGCCCGAAATCATCCACCTTACTGCTCTTCCTCCCCACATGCTGAACAACGCTGGGTGTCATCGCCCACCTGAGCTCCCCTCTTTCGTTCGCATAGTCTTCGATTAGGACATCGGGGAAACCGAGACGACGGTCTCGGAAGTAGGTGGCGAGTTCGAGGGCCTTTGAGCGCGGGAAGACGAAGGCTTGGCTGCAGCAGCCGTATTGCGGCATTAGGGAGATGCCAGGGGAGAGGGGAAGGACGGTTACGCGGCCGAGGGCGAAGAAGAGGGCGATGAGGATTGTTATTAGGAGGCCGACGGAGGCCAGGATGCGGTTGGTGACGAACCGGTTTACGGTGGGGTTGCGCTCGCGGAAATAGTATAGAAGGCCCATGGGGAGGGAGAAGAAGAAGAGACTACACATGAGATATGTTTGCCAGTCTTCGGAGTTCCAGCCCAGGAATTCCTCAGTGTAGAAAAGTCGCAGGTAGAGGAACTCGGTCGATGCGTGTCGGATCGCAGACAGTTTCTCAGCCTCCTCGATCGCAGCAAGTGTGCGGTGGTACCATCCATCCATGGCCACAATATCGTCTTCAAATATTGCAATGTACGGCGTCTGCTGCGTGGTGCAATACTTCAGCAAGTACCGATAATCGTACAATCCCTTCTCGCGGAACAATCCACCTTCTTCCTCCATCGCCTTAATATGCCCCATCTCCTCCGCCGGCACATCGTACGTAAGCACGCTATCCGTCAGCACAGGCAGCCAAGCCTCACCATACGCCGGATGCACCGTCGGATCGCTATGCGGGATAAACACGGTGAAAAAGATGTCTGCCCGTTCCTGCTCCGTCAATCCGTCCAGCAACGAGCCCACCGAATCGCGCAAATACCTAGCCCCCTTGCGCGCTATCGATGGTATGCCGACGCAGAGCTTCCTTGTCCCGGAGTGCGCTTTCGGCGCGCTGTATTCCGACGCGTTGGCCGATGCGATCAAGTCCTCGGCTTGGTGTGTGCGGATCGTGGAGTAGGCAGGCGCGTAGGCGGTGCGCGGGTTGAAGAAGACAGACGTCGGGTCGCGCGAGGCGGCGGCGTGGATGCGGTAAATTATCCAGAAGGACGTGAGGGCGAATACGATCGTGAAAAGCCGTGTCGAGAAGGGCATGGTGACCGTTGAGCGAGTGACGCGCGCATTAGACTGCTCCGAGGACGAAATGACGCCAATTAGGAAAAGGTATGTCCGAGGAGTTGATCTATATCATGGTAAAGATGGGGGTTTGGGTGATGGATGGAAAAGAAAAGGGATGGGGGAGGAAATGCCGGTGTTGGTCGACAAGATGCGCAGGTACGGGATGATTGGTCGGGGCTTGGCATGGGTACATGGGCACGTGATCGGTGCTTTTCAGGTCCATGGGTCTAGATGCCCTTTGCATGTGGTCCCCAGTAGATAGATCTCCAGGACGTCAAGGAGAGGAAATGGCAGTGTTTCGACATCCAGCACAGCGGCGCAGCATATTAGACATTGCAAAAAATAATGTGCCACTGGGTATATCCTAAACATCGCGAAATGAGGAGCAAAGATAGTGCTTGCCGCCTACTAACGGCTCAGCCCTCAGCTGGAGCAGTGATGATGGAATACTGTCCTCCGGCACCGGCCCAGTTGGCTTTCGCGTTTCGCAATGCGGTGTTATCGATCAGCGTCGCAATCTCAATATCGTCATCCACGCCCTGCCCAAGTTGGAACGTGGCATTGAAGCCCCATGAGTACGCCTTGCCATCGGTAGTGATGGCAATGGTGTGGTCGCTGCCAGCTGCGGCCATAGTAGCCTTGATTCCTAGAAATTGTCAGCTCATGCCCATGGTGGGAGTGCGTAAGGGTGTCTCTTACCAGGTACAGCCGTGGGTATAGAGAGGATGCGAATATTCCCTCGGCTGTCCTTAACCACATTCTCATCTGCAAGACTGCGTACGTCAATGCCGCACTGTCCACCATCTGTACGTCCCCAGACTAAGCAATCGCCATCAGTGGTTACGGCCACTGAGTGATGGGCTCCGCCTTGAACGCTTTTCACTTTCTTCCCTGTAATACTCTCAACCCTCTGCGGTGGATGGACGATCTGCCTAGGCTCCTCATCCTGGCTAATGGGGATGCCTGCCTCACCGTAGCTGTTCAGACCCCAGGCCCACAGGCTGCCATCACTATCGATAGCGAAAGAGTGATACGAGCCGCAGCCGACCGCAATGGCCCTTTTGGGAATTGAAACGCCACTAGGAACAACGGTTGCAGTCTTAGTCCGCTCAAAGACACGACGACCAAGCTGACTTTGCTGGCCATTGCCCCAGGAATGAATGCGGCCCGACTTGTCTAGGGCGAGGGCGTGATCAGCGCCGCAAGCTATCTGAGTAATGTTTTTAAGATTCGGGAGTAGAACCGGTGTTCGTTGTTCCTCGACCAGCTCGCCACGCTTATCGAACATGAAGGCCGATTTTCCTTCGTTGTTCTGGGCCTTGTTAGCTGGAAACCGGGCATTGATTAACTGACTTACTCTAAAGGTGCCCCATCCATAAACACGGCCACCATCCGTAACCGCAAAGCTTGCGCTGCCGCCAGCTGCGACTTGTGTAAAGATAGTATTTTGGGGGAAACTATCCTCTGGGATTGCGGTTGGCGTTGACTCTAATGGGTTCATCCCACCGTCACTGTCATCAGACTTGGCATCCGCATCGGCATCAGCAATATCCACCAGCCTTCCTTCCCAGTCAGTATTGCGTCCAAGGGCGCCCAGATCATTCACACCCCAGGACAGGATCTTGTTATCGTGCGTAAGAGCAAGAGCATGCATACCACCAGTAGCAACCTGGACCACACCGATGGAATCGGGCAGTAAATTCGGGTTGAGGCGCGGTCGCTTCACCTTTTTCACGTCCGGACCGAGACCAATCTCGCCGGCGCTAACGTCTCCGCAAACATAGACGTTGAGCTTCTGGTTCGGGGCTCGATTGATGATGCCTCTCTTCTCGAGCTTTGGTCGCTTTCGCAATCCAGCGGCCTTGGGCTGTTTAGGCGCGTCGTCCGTGACAGCTTCTTGCTTGCGCTTGGGAGGACGTCCGACGGCTTCCGTAGGAGCACCGACTGGAACACGAATAGTCAGCAGCAGACAAAACACGCTAAAGGTATCGTACCATCCGCAGCCTTTTCCTTCGTTGCTTTTTGCTTTGTTGGCGTTTTCTTTACAGCCGCTGCTAGCCCTTTGGCCTCAGAGTTTGCCGCCTGGTCTTGCGGCATCCTTTGTTTGAATGCCTTCTTCCCCATCGTCGGCGACCTTATCGCTATCGCTCCTGCTATCGCCGCTAAAGTGGTCGCACCTCTCCCCGGTGTTATTGAAAAATGCAATGTTTGGCTTCCAAAGTTTGTTGTCTCCGTGGCGCGTTTTAGGAACGCGTTTTTTTCGTTGCCGGGCGACGCAATCGTGTCACGTGCGAGCAAGACTTACTAATCAACTACTACATATAAGGTGCTGGGCTTATAGCTATGTAATTTGATAGCCTTTTACGGACGAGGGAAATGTGTGTAACATGCGACAGCGATAGTAACAGCAGCGCCGTTAGGGAGAGCAACGGTAAGAAAAGCAGCATAAATGCAGGGAGAATTAGAGAAGCGTCTACCCGGGGACGGATCGAGGCGCGGTTAAGTGGAGCTGAAAACTAGTTAATCGTGTCCAGGTGAAGAGACAGAATCGGAAACAAACAGAAGAACGATATCATACATACGCAGAACGGAGGAACCGCGAAGCCGACGTCGGGGCAGTCCGCTTTGTGAAAATCCCTTTATGTGTTAGATTATCCTAAGAGCACCTCGAGGAGAATGCACAGCGAGACAAAGTGATGGTATGTTCCATGGCTGTAGTTTGGCTGCAGCTCTTTGTTCCTTGTGGCTCATATGCGCTTCACGAGAGCATCATGCGTGCGGAAAGATCAAACCCAAGCCTCACAAGGCAATTGCCTCAGCGCACTTTCTTTGTTATTGCGACTGGTGGCGTCGGGTACCTTACTGGCTTGTCTTTATTGATTGTCTTACGTCTCCTGTTTCTTTGTCTGTCTTCGTGCATATAATTGCCTTTCAAGTCGTCTTCAATATCCACAACAGATTCTCGCATATCCTAACCTAAACATCCCGATTCTTCATTGCACAGCAAATCAGTCTGAAATGACCACCACTATGAGCTCTACGTCCACTGCGAGCGATCCTACCACAGGCACTCTCGCAAAACAACTCAACAAATCTCTCCAGCTGCAATCGCCTTCTTCAGCGGACGACAAAGGGCCATCAGAAGACATGTCCTGTGAAGTCTTCACCGGCGTATTCGAAGAGGGTCCCGCCTCTACCCCAGCCCTTTTCGTCGACCTAAAGGGAAGGGCACCGCCAGGCTCCGCTGATTACTGGCGATTTCATCTTGTACAAACAAGTCTTTACGCGCGGCTACAGGGTGCGGCTTCCGGCCCCCATTCCCAGTCCCCTAGAGGATATGTCCCTCATTCTCAGCTGCACGCCTTCACGCATATCGCCCGCACAACCCACCCAGAACCAGAGGATGATACGTTCGCAAAATTTCGACAATGGGTTGATAGTCTCCTCCGTAAGGCCGCCAATACCAACCCACCGGCGTTCGTGCCGTACAACCAGTGAATGGATGGCACATAGGAGGTAGCTAAGCATGGGAGGTGGCGGGATTGGATGGTGGTGATGAGAGGATTCTTTGCGGCTTGTCTTGCGTGCTAATTGACTTGGGATTCATGCAATAGAAGGTTAATACTCTAGAGAGCTAGTTATCCCAGAACATCGTCCAGCAAGTTCATAATTTACTATTGAAGACTCCATTGCACAATAAACGAGAAACAAATCGGACACAAGTTTAGCATGGCAACGCGCGAGGTCGAACAAAGTGCATAAAGATTAGAGTACTCATGGGGTGTTGAAGGACTTCCACGTAAGGCTAACGCCGGAAATGACATCCCAAACAAGAGAATGAAGTCCCACTCGCGCTTTAAACAATAATATCTTTTGGCCAGATGGATCCTACAGTAGATTACACAAAGTGCATTGTAGAAGAGATTCGTAAAGCAAAGGATTCCCCACTGCCAGTACAATGAACCACGTATCAAAGAAGGAGAACGCACATAGCAGAGTACCACTTGGCCTCTCGAGCATAAATACTGCCCATCCGTCCCCTAGAAACATGCTTGATATATAAACCTAACCGATACAAATCACGCTGCACTTCGGACTCCTTATTACTATCATCTTACCTTAACACAATGGAATTATCCATGTCAGATCTTCGAATGAAATACTATGGCACAGCAGACTGGTCAGAGATGTCCGACATCATGAGCAAACGACAGAAAGAGGAATGGAACAACAATGCAGCAGATCCTGCAAAGAACATTGCAAAGAATTGGGTTAAGACAGAGTTCCCATATTATGTTCCTGAAAACGAACTTCCTTGTCCGCTGCCTACCGTGGCCGAAATCGAGGCGGCAGGAGATACCGGTAATCTGTACCGCGGCGGAATCAATTCAGTATATAGGGTCTGTGACGTGTACGCCGTAAAGTTCTCTTACGATCCTATTATCTTTCAGGTAACGTTGTGGCCTATTAATTTATAAAACTAAGATCAATGCTAACAAAATCCAGGAAGCCGAAAATCTTCTATTCCTAGCAGAGAACACCCAAATCAGACTCCCCAAAGTCTACGCCGTCTTTGACCATCAAGGCGGAGATCCAAGAGGGCTAATCCGTGATCCTAAGCAACGGTCTTTCACTGACCGTTCTTCTTTGCCCCGCTACTACTATCTTGTTATGGAGTATATTCCTGGAAGAATTTGCAGTCGCGAGTTCTATCGCAGTCTCTCAAAGCAGGCCCAAGAGAATATAATTCGAAATATTGCGGGGCAAATGCGCCTTCTCCGCGATGTGCCAACACCATCACCAGAATATTATGGACGAATATACCACCAAGGCTGGCATCCAAATATGCTCCAGCTACAATATGCTGGTCCACGGGGCTGTCTAAGGGGCCCATACGACTCCCACGAGGACTTTATCAACGCGGTATATAAGACGCAGGAGTACACCAACTTAATGCAATACTGCGACGACTTCGACTCACTAGCGAAACTGTACTTCCAATCCTTTCCACAAATCATGTCACGCGCTGTTGGGAGAAAGCCTGTTCTTAATCACCTCGATTTTAAGATGGACCAAGTAATGATCTTGGAGAACGAGGACAAAGATAATCCCGATGTTGTCATTCTAGACTGGTCATATATGGGATGGGTGCCAGCGTACATGGATACCGCACTCTCACTCCACACCGGCTATAACGAGTACTACGGTCACATTTATAACTGGGAAATGGGTAAGGACGTAGAGCCGGCACATCTTGATACTGCCCTCTACTTCCAAAAGTTTCTTCAAGTTTGATATGGAGAAAAAAAGGTGATCGCACATTCTGTATGACGAGGTCTACCGAAATCTGAAGGCGTGCAAAGCAACGGGCGAGGGTTGGGCTTTTTGGACTTGCTAATATGTAATCTACTAAACTACACTGCGAACGGGTCGAACAGTGAGACTGAAATAAAGCTATTTTGAGTATAGCATAAATGTGACAACTATATATGGTTCATGTGAAGTAAGCATATGGCGAGCTATGGGTCAGTCTCGCCGTGGATGCCACCCGAGATCTGATATTAGGCGAAGACCGTGCTCGGAATCTATTGGCGTCTACTACACTACCCCCGGTATATGCTCGACACAAGCATTGTATAATACAGTCTGTTAGATTTCACGGATTGGGCACGGAAGTACTGCGAAGCCGACGTCGGCTTGGCGGTCAGTCGTAGAACAGCGGTGGACGGTTTGCTCGTTCTCAACTACAATGTGCTCTGAAGGCCTTCTGGAAGATCGTATCCCCGAGTTGGTCTCTTCAGTGCACGAGTACACCTTCAAACCGTAGCGCGCTCCTCCTCCCACGGAAGCACTGATTTCATAACCCCATTCTCGTCAAACTCATCCCCGGGATCAATCATATAATCCATGCCTCCGCGGTACAAAATCCCACCTACAGACCACCATACGCGATCAGTCCTAAGACGCAACTCAACCCATACATCCTTCGTCTTGGCCTCCTCCTCACACTCCCAGTGCCTCAATTTCTCCTTCCCCTCTTCATCCACCAGCCCGTCAGGCCCTTTGACCACAGGCTCGCCAATATGCCCGAGCAACAACTCGAGATCGTCGTTTGTAGCCTCAAATGTGGAATACCGCGCAATCGCTTCATCAAGCTTCGTCGGATCACGCCGCCATTCGACGCGGACCTTTGCTTCATCAATCGGGCTGACCAGATCATCGACAGCGAAGAGTATCGTATCATCCTCCTTCGTCCGCTCATCAATGACGCCGAAAACCTCACAGGCAATGTAATCAGTGCCAGGCGCGCTACCTTGCCCCATCTTACCCTCTCCGAAATTCTCCTTGACGAATCTGCCAAGGTCCTCGACTGTAGCGCCAATGAAGTCACTCTTGAAGTCGGCATCTACGAGAGTCGCAGGCCGTGGGAAGGAGGTCTGGGAGCGGGCATGGATAAGCGCCCAGCGGTTGTCCCAGGGGCCTTCTTCCTGTTCGGATTTAGGGTGTTTTTCTCGCTCCTGTATTGATTTGACGAGGACGTCGTTGATTTTCTGGATGGCGGAGTCAGATATTGCGGCGATCCTATTAGTGAGGTTCGGAATTACTTCGACAGGCACGTCTGAGGTTACGAAAAGTGGGTACCATTGTGCTATGGTGGGCGCAGCCATTGTGCTTGTCAAGTTGCAGGGTAGTAAGAAAGAACGGTTTGAGGTAAGTCAAGGAGATAGCAGTGAAGGGTAGTGGATAGAGACCAGTGTGACTATAGGCCGCATCACAATACGGGATTGCATTAAAGAGACCCAGTTTGGGACTGCAATCCTATAAAATCGCCGGAGTGAGAAAGGTCTAGGTACCGGAAAGTTCTGAGGATGCGAGAGCGCCACACACGCGCGGAGAAGGTGGCGCCTCGCCGAATAATGACGATTGCCGCAGTCGCTCTCCGTCTTCAACCAAAGTCTCTACTCACGCCTTCCTTAATTGTGCTGCTATACTTTTGATTCCCAGAGTCACCGATCTCATATCCGTGTCCGAACCAACGTTCCGTTGCCTCGCTTCCGCTACCTAAGCATTGACTCATCCTGATCGCACTTACACCTTGCTTAACTCCGCAGCACCCTCTACTTCACACCAGGAGGACCCCAACGTCTTCCTGATACCTCCCGCCTCCGCCTCTTGGGGGCCGCTCTTCCTTCCTTAATACGCAGACTATGCCGAAGAAGCACCAGCCCTCCTACGCATCGATAAAACCCACCGCCGCCCCCCAACCCCCGCGATCCTCCTCATCAACGATCCCCACGCCTCCCACCCCACAAACCGTAAACGAGCGCATCCAGCAGCTGCGCCGCGAGCAAGCACCCCGCGCGACACCAGGCCGCAGGGATGAAGTCACAGAGGTAGTAACCCAGCGCACCGTGCCGCCAGAGCTGCGGCGCATTCTGCACATGGCGGAGGTTGACGTGCCGAAACCAAAGCCAGGCACACAACGGACGACGCCGAGAACACTGCTACGGCCGGGCGGGCAGCGACCGCCACCGGGCCCCGCCGCGCCGACCAGCTGGCTGCAGTCCAGCAGACATGCGCCGGCGCATGTGCGGAATCTGAAGAGGAAGTATGGCAGGGAGGGACCCAGCAGGTTCTGTAAGCTGGCGCGGGTGCACGATGCGGAGTACAAGGTATGTGATGATATGCATCTGCTGGCTCTTTCATGAATGGCTTGTTATGTTAAAGACGGAACGAAGGCTCAGACATCTCACTCTCGCAGCGTCTCCCGTCGAATCGCAGTCTAGCGCATCAGTGTCTGCGCACGCTCGCTGTGCACTGGGAAGAACTGGCCGAGTACGAACAGCATTACCTGCCGACGCTACCTATACCGCTCAAGGAAGCTCTTTTGAGCTATCTCTCGCTCTACGGGAATAAGGGGTGCATGGACTTGAAGGCTTTCAAGATACTGTTCCAGAACGAGAAGGAGGCAGAAGACGCTACGGGGTCGGAGGACGTCCTCTTCCTGGATTTGACCGGTCTATTGGACAAAGAGTATACATTGAAGGACTTGGGAAAGAGTCTTCAGTACTCATTCCCCAATGCCGCAGTGACAGTAACAAGCGGCATGGCCGACCTCTCGCTAACATCACCGAAACGGAAACACAAAGCGCCTGTCGAAGTCGCCGAATCCTGGGAAGAGGAGGCAGAAGAGGTCAATGCAGACGCTCTGCCCGCGACACTCAGCATCCCCATCTTCCCCAACCTCACGCGCCTGTCGCTCGCACACCCGGGCGCCTCCGCCTCGTGGGCCGATCTGCTGGCGATATCTCCGAATCTGAAGACCCTCACCCACCTTTCACTAGCGTACTGGCCGCGCCCGTCGACAACGCCCAATGCGGCAACCGCATCAATGGTCTCGCGGCACGCGACAGTCAACCTCGGCGGCTCGCACTTCTACTCAGACCTCGACGACGACTGGCACGAAGCCGCGAACATCTTGCGCCGCCTCTCGCTCAACACATACTGTCTGAAGTGGCTCGACCTCGAAGGCTGCACCTGGCTCAAAGCACTAACCTGGGACCTTCCCTCCAACCCCTCCCCGACCTCCAACCTCATCCAGTCCGGCGCCGACGAATGGGTGCGCCCATCTTCCTCTCCCGGCCCCGACTGGAACGCCGCATGGCGCCAAATCGAGTACATCAACCTCTTCCAGGGCTGGATTCCCAAGGATCGCCAGAGCCTGCAGAATATGCCGGCCGGCGTGGTGCCCGTGCAGCTGATGCGCTGGCTGAGGGAGAACGCGAAGAGAGAGGATGTCAAAGACGTGCTGGGGACGGAGACGGGGTGGGCGGTTGCCGAGTGGGTGGAGAAGGAGATGGTGGCGCGGAGCGTGGGGTTTGAGATTCTGAGCTTCAGGAGGGCGGGCGAGGGGAAGTGGTGCAAGGTTGATTTTGGCTGGGGGCCCCCCGAGAAATGGTGCGTCGTTGGGGGTTAGTCTTCCATGTCATGTGTAGCCCCCCGATTTGATATCGTGATTGAGCACGTCAAGCTTATTTACGAACTTTGGGGAAGCTGGCGGGCATACAAAGTGCTGACGGGCTGAGCATGGCTCGGACACTCCTCGAAGACAGAGGAGAGGAGAGGACGCAAGTCGCGTGACGTAGCTAGCGGTTGATTGTTATGCTCTGATCTACAACAGGCCAGCAAGCAAAGCAGCAGCTAAGAATATCGCATACCCGCATCTCATCTTCTCACATGTTGATATCCGAATCCGGCCGCCTCGCCGCGAACGGAGGCGAGCGGCCGTAAAGTCTGACGACTGTCGTGGATGTAAATAGTCTAGCATCAAGGAGGGCATAGGTATTCGTATCTGCTATAAGATGGAAAGACTATCGTATCGTATATCCGAGACCCCGAGTACCAGATGCGGAGACTTCGTATACGCTACCGGGTCACGAATGCCGGTTGGTGGTTCGACCTCGCTCTCACGAGAATACATATTGGGTACTGCACGTCATTTCGCTCGTATTTCGAGATCTAATACCGAGATGAAGCCCGGGGCGGTGTAGCGTGCATATGGTTCCTTGATGCAGACATGGCAAGAGCTGCCCGGCATTCCTGACGCCGAAGAATATCTTCATCGCTCCACGTAGCTTCCCACGCGCGATTAAGTTAAGTCCCTCGCTCTGCGAGACTATTGAGAAGATTCGATATTCTCAGTCAGCATGCGCGATGCTCGTATAGCGGCCTCGCTTAAGGAGAATATCCTTGTTACACGAGGTTCGAGCAGGTTACACGAAGGAGATCGCAGGGAAGCTTATCGTGACTTTGCCGTTGGTTCCGCGGAGGCGAAGAAAGGGAGGCGAGAAGTGGAAGGGCGCGGATAGCGCGTTTGTTGTGTGGCAAGGAGTGTAAGGGGTGCGGAAGGACACAGCAAAGAAATGAGAGCAAAACCAAGGAACGAATTGACAGTTGGGACGGAGTACGGAGATACTTATTCTGGGTCGTAGCATAGGGGTGGTGGACGGAGCGATATCGTGACGAACGCAAGTGAGCTCTTGAGAGACAGGCCGCGCAAGGGAAGTAGAGGGTCGAAAATGGCGAGATGACCTCGCACAAGCTGTTGTTGAGGGTGTTCTCATGCGATAGCCCGTCGATTATAGAGTCCCAACGGGGTCTAGCCCTCCTGCCGTGCTGCCTATGTGGTTCCCCAACGGTACCAGCGTTGTCCACAGGCGCTACATTGTGGGTTGCGCAAGATATCGCAGGAACCCGGTAGAGTGCATAACCTCCCTTTCGACGATATGGCCGTTAGTTGGTGTTACGGAGAGGATGTACTGGTTAACGTAGTCCCGTTCCCGCGCAACCGGTTGACCTCTGCCATTCAGCGAAGTGAAGCCACAGTCATCCGGACTGCTGCACGTCGTTCCGGAAGAGGGCCTACACCCGCAGTGACGTCGGGCAAGACTTGAACCGAGTGTTGACAACGATAACTGAAAACTTCTGCGGCCGCAGGCTCAAACAGTGACGTGGAAGCGGAATAGCCTGAGGTTTTCCCGCGAAGGAAGCCGTGTCTGGGCACCCAAACGAAAGGCTTGGTAGAACAAGACGTCCAAGCGGACAGAATCCGGGTCGCTGGCTCGCCTGAGTCGCTTGGTGGAGTCGGGGTCGATGTGAGACAGCAGAAGTCTTGGGGAACAACGTTTGCCTGAAGGGCCTGGGGCAGTCTTGAAACGTCGAAACTGACGTGACGGTGCCTGAGAGGCTAGGCTGCGACGATACGTGAAGACAAGCCTGGGGACAAGAGAAGACACGTCAGTCGACTGATAGTCGGGGTGGAGGTTGTCGAGCGGAACGGAGGCCCGCATGAAGGTGTGCCGATATGGAAGATTGAAGGCTGTCGAAGAGGCGCAAGTGACAGCTGCAGTCGTCTGCACCAGGTAAATAGAGAAGCGCAGTCGTCTGCATCAGGCAAATAGTGAAGGGCAGTCGCACGCATCTTCATGCGATAATTGGCGATTTGGCATTCGCTGGCATGCCGTTGTACTAACCATGGTGTGAAGACGGAGGGCAGTGGTGGTACGACGGGGCTAGGAATACCGGGCCAGGCTGCCTCAATTCTCGCTTCCCGAGCTGCCCGTTCATGCAGTTCTGGCCTGCACGAGAGACGATCATTCATATGGAGAGAGCTTGGTGGAAGGGCGGGAGCTGGCTGGGTGATATAAGGGTCGGACAATTAGCAGCCGGTAGATGAGGGATGGGATTGTTGTATGCAGATCAGACCTAAGATTGGCGATCCTTGGCTTGTTGGGCGATGGCGATATTGCTCGTCTCAGCGGGCGCCTGCAGAGGGTTCTTCTCAGCGATTTGGAAGAGGCACTGTACGCGGTAGGCGGGTGTCGCAGAGCAGGGTGGCGGCGGAAGGAAGCTCGCAGGCCTGAAAGCTTGGTGCGCCACGCCTCATGCTTCGAGAAAACGGCGAGCTGGTGCTGACGGGGCTCTGTCCGCTGATAAGAGCCGGCGCGATGAATGCGAGATACCTTTGTACTGTAGCCCGTGGCGTTCAATGGCATTCTGCTCCGCCGCCATCAGCCGGACCACGGCGCGCGCTATCAGCACTTGGATGCTTGATATATTTTTGGGCTTTGTCGACGAATAATGGCCGGGCGCGGGATGATAGCCGCAAATGGTCTAAAAATTGCGCCGCGCTCGCTTTGTTTCAGCCTGCCGAACCTCTTCTGCAGCCGCGCGGACAGCCCTGCCCTGGAGCCCTGGAGCCCTGGAGCTGCCCGCGCCCTGTGACGCCAGCAGCAAGGGCGCGTCTGGTTGACGGGAGTGCAGAGTCCGTGGGGAGGCGCTGCTGCGGAGAGTACAGTAGCTGGTGATGGCGCGGGTCTCGCTATCGCCGTGCTTCTGTGGGTCGCTCGGGTCGACGACGCAGACCGTGGCGTCTCGTACTGGCAAACGCGTGGCCATCTCAGCTAGCCCAGCTCGGAGCCGCTGGAATGCGTCGAGAATATGTAGATATGAGCAGCCGGCCAGTCGCTTTCGGCGTCGCACTCCTCCCGCGCAAGGCTCCATTGCACCAAGGCGGCGCGCTACCGATCGACGACGGCTCTGCTGCTTAGCGCATTTTCTGAAACGGCTCCCCAAGGGCTTCAAAAAGTCGCGGCCTCCTGTCCCCAACAAAAGCTGCAACCACACCGCACCGCCGGCCTCTCCTTTCGTCCCATCACGCTCGCTTTTCTTCTCCGCTTTCCGCCGCACTCGCTCCACACGACGCCCGCCTCGACTGCGCGCGCCAATTTCCACATTCGACTCGCAATCGCCTGAAACAGCTTGGCTTGTGCGACCGGGGGGCCGCTGTTGATAAGGTACAGTACTGTGCAGCGTGCACCGCGCCCCTAGGAGCAGGAACCTCCAAGCCGCGCACCGGCCACCCATTCGCTCTCGTACTGACGGCAGGGGCCTGCAGACACCTACATATCCATATTCACCCGCACTTCCTGCTGCTGCTCCATCCGCACTCATCTATATCCCCCGCCTCGCGCCTCCGGTCAGGCCTCTCCCTCTCGCGCGCCGTCCCTCACCTCCCTCCGCGCCGCCTCCTGGCCAGCGCCCGGCCACGATGCTCACCTTCAAGAAGGCCCTGGTGCTCTCCCTCGCCGTCCTCACCCTCTTCTTCATGTTCAAGACGCACCACTCGAGCAGCCAGCCCGTGCCCATCCGCAACGCCAACGACCTGCCCAAGCCCGCCTCGCTGACGAAGCCGAAACCGGGCTCGCAGCAGCCCGCGAAACAGGAAACCACCGACGCGCCGAAGCCGCACAGGACGGACAAACCCTTCGCGACGCCCGACGTTCCCAAGAAGCCGAAGACGCAGGTCAGCTTGGACGAGCTGAGGAAGCGCCCGCTCAAGCAGCAGCTCGAGTACCAGTTCCCCTACGACGTTGACAGCAAGTTCCCGGCATACATCTGGCAGACGTGGAAGTTCACCCCGGCCCAGGGCGAGTTCGCCGAGGAGTTCCGTGAGGCAGAAGCCAGCTGGACCATCCACCACCCTACCTTCGTGCACGAGGTCATCACCGACAACGTCGCCGTACACCTGATCCGACATCTCTTCGCCTCAGTCCCCGAGGTCCTAGACGCCTACAATGCGCTCCCCTTGCCCGTCCTCAAAGCCGACTTCTTCCGCTACCTCATCCTGCTCGCCAGGGGAGGAATCTACTCTGACATTGACACGGCTGCATTGAAGAGCGCCGCCGACTGGATTCCCTCAGACGTCCCGAGCAACACCTACGGCATGGTTGTTGGCATTGAGGCTGACCCGGATCGTGCGGACTGGGCCGACTGGTACTCGCGCCGCATCCAGTTCTGCCAGTGGACCATCCAGTCGAAGCCTGGCCACCCCGTCCTTGTCGATGTGGTCGCCAACATTACGCAGGAGACGCTGAAACGCAAGGCCGAAGGCAGGCTCAGCAAGGACCACAAAGGCATCATCGAGTTTACTGGCCCGGCTCTCTGGACCGACTCCATCTTCTCCTTCTTCAACAACCCAGACTACTTCGACATGAGCACCAGCAAGGGCAACATCACCTGGGAGCACTTCACGGGCATGAAGAGCCCCAAGAAAGTCGGCGATGTCATTGTACTCCCCATCACGAGCTTCAGTCCTGGCGTCAAGACGATGGGCGCGGGCGAGGAGGACGACCCGATGGCGTTTGTGAAGCATAACTTCGAAGGTACGTGAACACAATACTTCTTTGTGCGCCGACATACGTGGGATGTGTTACTCTGTACCTGCCTTGCGTTGTGCTGTGTCTGTGCCCCTTGCCACAGGACATCCAGCCGCGCGGAACCGACGTTGTTCACGCAGTCGAGTCTCGGGAATGTCCGTCTCATCAATACTGACTGGCGCACAGGCACTTGGAAGCCCGAGTCCGAGCGCCATATTGGCGAAGTCTTCAACTGAGCCTCGTTTTCGCATACCGCACACATATCGGCCGTCCGACGATCCGGATCTCCGGCCCCTTTCTTGTACATGATTAAGCTTTTCATCGGCGAAAACGGGACACGCATAGACTAGACATAAGGGATGGACCACCGCCATCGGTACCGGACACACCGGGCATTACGCAAGCGCAGGGGAGGGGCGCGGTTTCTTATCCCCGGGTCAGGCGTCGCACGCCGCTCCCGGACGACACCGCCGCCTCCTTTCACGAGACACGCAAGCCGTGTCGCGGAGACCTTCCCTAGGCGGGCCGAATACACATGGGGGCACACACACAAAAGCTGGCACGGCGTTCGTTGTCTTTATTCTCCTCCAACTACACTAACTTCAAGCGCTGAAGTTTGGGACGGCATCACTCTTTTGGGCGTCATCGGCGTTTTCGATTCGGAACGGTCCTGTAACAATATAGACGGATGACTGTTTGGCTTTGAAGCAACATGAGCTAGCATGCATGGCACAAGCGAGCATGGATCTCTTTTTCTTTTCCCCGTCGGTAACGTCGGTGTTTGTGGGTGCGCTTGGGCGGCAACAGCGCGTCGATTCTATCTACACCTGGTAGCAAAAAGTTGAGCGAGAGCAACCAAAATAGAGATGAATGCGCTCGCAATCGTCCCTGAGTCTATATGCAAAGTGAAATGAGAATGAGATCAGATCAGATCAGATCGAATTGAATTTGCTCAGATGTTGAGCGAGCAGATTACGGAGGGGTATCTATATCTTATCAAAACATGCTGATGCTTCTTCCACCAGCCCGCGCATAGTAATCAATCGTATGGGTCTTGCCCCCAATTCTCCCCATATGCGTCCGTCCATGTCCATGGATGCATGCAATCAGTCGGTCGGTCGGTCGGTGGGGCGTTTCCCAGAACACCCAATCCAACCCAAACCAATCCAGATGAAATGTATCTGTATCAGATGCAAAGCCAAGCTCGGCCCGACGCTTCCGCGTCCAAAGGCGCTCTCATCTCATCTCATCTCAGCAGTCCTCTTCATTGACTCTGCTCTCGAAGTAGATATCTTAATCCAAAGACGGTCAAATCTTGCCTCGCACGTCCGTCCGCCTGGCGCCTCAGTTGTTTCTCCTCCTTAGCCGTACCCGCAGCCGTACCCGCATATCATCGCTCGCTCGCTCGCTCACGTCCCGCCAGTTTACTTCCGCCGCCCCGTCAGCGCCCCCCACAGCGTCTCCCACACCAGCAGCAGCGTGTCGCCGAAACTCGGGCGGTGCTCGAGCTCCAGATCGCGGCGCTCGTTGTACGGGGCGCGCTCGGAGCCGTAGCGCGTCACGCCGTCCCACTGGTCGTTGTCCGCGGCGCGGTGGTGCGGCGAGTGGGAGTGGGAGTAGTCGGAGGAGTGGCGCGGAGACGAGTGGTGTGCTGGCTGGACGGGGACGGGGATGAGGGCGCCGTGGTGGGAGTGGTGGCGCGGCGGCGAGACGGGGATGAGTTGCGCGTGGGAGTGGTGCGGGGAGTGCGAGGTGTAGGAGGAGGAGCGGCGGTGGGAGGGGGACGGGGACGGGGAGGGGGGGAGGTGGTGGTGCGAAGTGTGGTGCGTGTAGGTGGACATTGTTTGTTGGAGTTGGAGGTGGAGGGGTTGGATTCGCTTTCGCTTTCGCTTTTCGCTTTCGCGCGCTCTCTTCGGTGTGTGTAGAGGAGGTTGGTTGTTGCGAGAAAGAGAAAAGAAGAGGCTGTTATATATCGGAGTAGTGTGACAGCAGCCTTGCGTCTTCCGCCCTCTCAAAGCGTTGAGATGCGGTGTGATGTATTGATCGCTGTTTGTGGGCGTTCCGCCTCGTCGCTCGCGTAGTACGGTATATGCAGGTGTTGCCTGATCTGTCGATGTGTCGCAGGAGGTGAAGGTATTCGCAGGTAATTCGCAAGTAAGTCTTCGCAGTTTGCTTTGCGTATCTATCGTTAGAGGATCCAGGGTCGCGTGCAATATATATCACCCCCGCTCCAAAGAAGCCTTGGACCTTTCCAGCATCCCCTGATGTATAATCACCCTAGCCCACCGGTTCGTCGCCATCACGAGCGAGCGCTGCACATCACATGCAGCCTGCTCAGCCTCACGCCGAACCGCCTTACATCACGCTATCGTAAACTTACCCCACCGCCGGCCCCACCAATCGCGCGAGTCAGGCAGCGTCTGACCGGTTCGGAGCGGCTAGTCGAAATACGTGCCGATAAGTAATAATGAGATGCGTTCAGCGATCATTGTTCGGTGAGGGAAGTAGGAAGGCAGATGAGCGGCGAAAAGCGAGCCAAGCGACAGGGATGGTGACGTACGAGGGGTGATAGGGTGCTTGGCACGGTGAACTTTGTGGGGAAGGATTGGCGGGTGGGAAGGCGGTGCCTGGCGTTAGTGTGCGGGTGTGGTAGTTCGGAGGGTGTATGGTGGTTGGATAGTGGGCAATAGGGGGTTCGCAAAGGCTGAGGGATGGACCGGTGAGATGGGAGGGTTTATATGGTGTGAGGGGGGATCTAAGGAAAGAAGAAAAGGAAGTGGAAGGAAGTAGAGGATAGCTCAGCAAGATGCTGGAATCGAAAGGTGATGGCTTCATGTGTTGGAGGAATGGTTAGTAAGCTTAGTAAGCCGGGAGGGTGACACGAACCTCATACCAATCCTCCCCCAGCCGCAGCGCGAAAATTCCTTTGTATCTACACAAAGATCCAGCAACCTAAGTTGACCTCTCTTATTTGATGGCTTAGCTGAGTGCATCCAGCCTGGGCTTTTGAGAGCTTACACGACTTCATCCGCTCCCATCGTTGTCACTGCGACCTTTACGTCGGCCACGCCCATCGCGCCCATCACGCCCGTCGCGCCCGTCGCGCCCATCCCGAGCGTCATGACCTGGAGCACCCTGTCGGCCATCGCGGCCTTCTGGCCCGGTACTTCCGCGGCGGCCTTGAGGACCTGGAGCACCTGCGGGCCCTGGAGCACCTGGGGGACCTGGAGCACCTGCAAGCCCTGGAGCTCCTGCGGGCCCTGAAGCACCTGGGGGACCTGGAGCACCTAAGGGGCCTCGAGCACCCGTGAGACCTTGAGGACCTGGGAGACCTTGAGGACCTGGGAGACCTTGAGGACCTGGGAGACCTTGAGGACCTGGAGCGCCTGGAGCACCGGGAGCGCCTGGAGCACCACGAGCACCATCGCGACCATCGCGACCATCGCGACCATCACGACCTGGAGGACCTGGAGGACCTGGACCACCTGGATCACCTGGAGGGCCTGGAGCACCGGGCGCACCGGGAGCACCAGGAACACCATCACGACCTGGAGGGCCTGGAGCACCATCGCGACCCGGAGTGCCTGGCTCGCCCCGTGGACCTTGGGGACCTGGAGGGCCTGGTCTTCTACAGATGCAGCATGAGATGGCAAAGAGCAAAGCCAACACGCTTAACACCACTCCAACCACCCACACGTCGGAGTCGGAGTCGGAGCTCCCTGTAGTAGATGCCGAAGATGGAGCATAATCCGTTGATGCTTCTACTGGCGGAGCAGAGCGCATCAAGGTAAGCGTTGTTGTATAGGTTGTGTAGGGCTTGGTAATCTGAAGAGTAATGATGCGAATATTTTCTTCGCGAGCCCCATGGATTGCCCATGTGTTCAAGGACGGAGCCATGTAGCGTGTGTGATACGCTGTTCTTTTGGTGGATTTTTGGTTCCCTCCCGATGATGGCTGCTGCTTTCGGCTTCAATACTAGCTTACCCTTAAAGTCTTTTGTAGCGGGAGGGACCCACGGCGGCCACTAATGCATTCCATGCATGAACTGGATGCAATCCATGTAAGCGTGCGCTTACCTCCGTACATGATATGCTTGAAGCAGGCTGGTTCTTGGCAAACGTGGCAGAGCACAAGTGGGCGGTTATTCCGCCAATCTGTAAGATGGGAAGCAGAAGCATGCGGTTGGAATTCATTCCATGCCAAGCGCGCTCCGTGGCTCCCCGACCAGTACCATGCTAGTACGTGTACGGCGGATACCTGGATCCAGACAGAGCGTCTCGGGCGCGTGTTGTGTGCGCCCTGGCATGCAGGTATGGTAAAATTCATTGGCTCGAACAGGAGGATGTGTCTCCGGATTTTGAGCCGCGCATAGCGGGCTGATATGCCTTTCGTGGTGGTCGGGGTATAGCGCTCGTCCTCGGTCAATGCATATCCACCGTCTTTCATTTGCAGTAGGGAGCGCTACGTTTAAGAACATAGTAATCCCTCTTCAGCTCAAAAAGGCGGGGAATATCGTAGGGGCTGGGCGAAGTCGACGCTGCCTACGTTTCTTGGAGGATCGCGGCTGTCGTGGTGATTCGTCGCCTTGTTATATGCGCGATTCGTCCTGCCATGCGTTGCAGGTCCGCCACCGCCAGGGAGGGGGTCGATGCGTTGGGCCTCGTGGGGGCAGGACGGTCCCCCACGAACGTGTAGGGGTTCGAATGTCTTCATCGGTGTTTGCATTATGGAATTGACGCACCAGTATAGCGATTGGCCTACGTCTACTCTCCTGCCGTGGGATCGGGTGACAGCGGGCAGACACGAAGAGTGAGCCTTTTCCCCGGCGTGCCATACGCTTCTTGAGAGCAGCTCGCAATCGTCCTCCGATACAGCTGTCGTTTAGCGGCCGAAAAGCGTTGCGTTGCATCCCGCACAGCACTGGATCGTCATCATAAAGTTCCGGAAACGGTTGCAGGAGGGCACCCGGAGGCGCTCGCTATGCATATGCACCCCAACTTGGCCTTCTGCATGGACCGCAAGACTGCTTACTCCTCTCCCAGCGCCGCTTGGCGGAATGCTCGATAGCGTCACACGGCTGAATGGGGGCATAATATCCCCTTGAGAGAGACAAACGGGATGATGCAATAACAAGTGAAGCCATAGAACAAGTTCAGAAGCTCGTCGAAGAACGAGAAGCGGCCGACGGACGGCAAACTAAGGACGTTGACGAGGTACCAGTGGCGGCTGGGAATCCGCACATCGCATGGTTGAGTAGGCACTACGCTGGATTCCCTGAAATCTAAGGAGGAAAGATTTTGTGTGGAGAGAGCTTAGACGCTGAAAGAGGAAAGTGGAGAGGAGGAAGACGAAGACCCTGCCTAGGGTGCAGAATGTGGAGAGGTTGATTCGGGAGGTGAGGGCTAAGCAGGAGAAGCTGAAAAGTGAGGCGAGCTTACTTGTTATCGGTGTTGGTACGCAGATTGGAAAGGGGAAGACAGTGATGCCGCGTGTGCACGGCCGCGGGAGTTTCCTAGGTATCGAAACCGGTCAAGTGACTTTTTATTGTCTATCCTGGGCACCAAGCAAGATATGTTCCGGAAGCGTGAAAGGGCTTCGTACGTGGGTACAGCTCAATGAATCCATTTAGAGATGCCGTAGACTCCAATCCGCCTATCCGATCCAGATCCGAATAAGGCCGTTGTCCAAGGGGTATCAAGATATGCCATAACGCCAAAGGTACCGCCAACGCCCTTGATTCGATGCTGCACGATTACCACGTCCTTCTCCACCTCGCTCGTCCATGCCTCTAGCATTTTCCTTATTTCAGACCTCATCGAGCACCTAGACTTGTGTCATGATGGTCTCCAAGCCCATCTCATCATTGATCGCTCCGCGTTGCTGGCCCGGGACCGGAGCGGTGAGGATATCAGGCGTATGCGTCTCGACCGCCTCCTCCGTGAGAGCCACCCCGCCACTGACTTCGACCTCACTACCCTCCGATGCACACGAGTAGACGGTAAAGTCGGAGCTGCTGCTGCTGTCATCCTCTTCGTCGCCGCCAACATGCACAGAGTAGGTACGTTTCAGGCCCGCCGGTGCGGTCACGCCTTCGAAACCGCCGTCGCACGTGCCATGCCTCAGGTCATTGCGCTCCTTCTGCCTCCTGACGCGACGCAAGGCGCCCATGTCAAACTCCCCCATTCCATCACTAAGGTTGGCGTCGCGTACGCGGCCTGTGCAAGGCATGGGAAGCGTAATGTTGGAGCCGTCCGAGCTGGAGTCGCGTGATGAGCGGAAGATACCTTGGATTGCGGTTTTGAGGCCTTGGCGACAGAAGAGCGGGAGACGAGACAGATCGCGAGCGATATCACCGGAGGAGCGCTGACCGATCTTGTAGAAGCGGCGGCGGTGACGGCGGGTCTGGTCTAGCTCGTCCATGTCTGTTTGCGTGGTTTTGAAGGTCACAACACTGGATGTCGAGGACGCGGCAGCGATATCTGAGTTCAAGTAGAGAGAGGTCAGGAGAGTGGAAGGAGTGGTGTCGGTTATGCTTGGGTGCGGGCTCGGGAGAAGGCCAATGTGGCGCATGATTTGAGCACACTTGGTAGGAAGAACCGCTGCATCTGACCGCGATAGAGGAGTGAAACAGTCCGAGAAGACGGAATTGAAGGAGATGTAGATGCGGTCTTTGTAGTAGGGACGGCAAGTGTGGCATGCGCGGAAGCAGCAAGGCGGGTTACACTGAGAGCCATTAGCCGTCTGATGTGCTTTAGGACAGAAGTACAGCGCGCGGCGCGGAAGTCGGCTGCTAACACGATGTTTCAGCCGGGCCAACGTACCATCTCGTATGCTGCGGTGCTGTTGGAAGCACCGTCGTTGTTTGACGGCTCCTCTGCGGCCGCCGCTAACTGAGCTACCGCACGATTGAGCTGGATCCCTTGGATAGAGTCTGAGATGACCTGCTTCAGCTCGAGCTTCTGCGTCTTGAGTTTCTCCAATTGCGCTCCCGAGTATTCGCCATGCTCCGCGGCGCGAATCACGCTCTCGCTCAAGCCAGTCTCTTCCAGGTCCCGGCGGAGGTCCGACTTGGTGACCGCCTCGTAGCTGTTGCCCTGGGCGGGGGCGTTGGAGAGAGGAGACACTGAGTCGCAATCCTGGCGGCATTCGTAGAGAAAGCCGATCGAGGGCAGGCGTCCGCAAACAAAGCAATGGTCGTCGCGCGTGTAGATGCGCTCCATGGTGACATGAGTGCAATTAGGTGTGCGGGCGCGCTTCGGCGCCGTGCGAGGCTGCAGCTGGTTAACGCAGTCGGTGACTCGGACGTTGAAGGAACCTACTCTCATGGTGCGCAGCGTTGGAGCGGACCGGCGCTATGTTTGGCGCGACAATAAGGATGGAGAGCCGGTCTCGGTGGTCGCGGGCCCTTGCAGGGCCTGCACGACAAAGCGTGAAGGCAGTTGATGTTGGTAATGGCGCGGCGGCCCGGTACGTGCGGGAGAATGAGGAAGGTGAGAGGGGCAGGGCCTATTTGGCAGACCCGCTCTCCATGCGGCGGCGGGAAGGATAAGGTGAAGCTAAGGCGAAGCTGTAGGATGCAAGGTGGACGTATGCTGCGCAGGGAGAAATGTTGTGTAGTGGCTACCAAGGTCGTCGAGAGTTCGCATGTCTTGGCACCAGGCAAACGGAAGCCCGCCGCGATCGCTCCTATGACTATCTCTTTACCATGGCAACTGTGTTATTCGAGCGAGGGTGAAGGCCGGGTGGATTGACCGTTGTGGAAGTGTTTACTTAGCAGGACGTCCTTCGATACGGAAGTCTGTAGACATTAGGAGGGGGAGGGCATTCGCGACAGACATGAGGCGGGCCAGCCTGCCAGCCCAACGCCTCGAAGTAGCACAAATCGCGGGTCTACGCGTCTTGCTGCGACCCATCCTATCCCGCGCAAGTCTGGAGTTGCATCTATACATCATGGCCGAGGCGGAGGAGAGCAGATGGGTACGTCCATGTTCAGGAAGACTCACTTGCTGGCTGCCAGATCGACGACGAGGGCCCCATGAGCAGTGAGCATTCCGTAGGCCACGATCCCATGCACATCATGCCTCCTTTTTCTTGCGGCTACCTATCGCGATCCAGCAAAGCCCATGGCGACTTATCTCGAGCGCGATCACCCTGCGGGCACCCACTACTGCGCGGCGGATGCCGACGTCCTGCTGCCGCCCAACCCGCGTCGAGTGCATCGATCCTGCGCGCCGCCACCGAGATCTTCTATCCCATCATCTTCGACGGCCTCTTACTTGCAAAAAATCAGCGCAAACAGACGGAGGGTCCACAGCTTCTCGTCGTGTTGCGGGGTGTCGTGTCGTCGCGTCTCTGCTGCCGCGCCGCCCAATCTGCCGACGCCCGCTAGCCCGTTTCGGCGCACCCTCGGGTCGGCGAGTCGACAACAAACACCTCCCCAGCCATCGTCAGCTCCGCAATCCACCCCCATCTCCCCCCCCCCAAACAACACCCGTCCGCTGCACCACCTCGCCTCACGCGCCTACCCGCCGTCTGCGCCCGTTGCTACCACGTCGGAGTGCGCCCGCCATGTCGGTGAAGTTCGAGAAGGAGACGGTCAAGACGACGTCCGAGGCCATGGCGAACGCGGCCGGCGTCGCGGCCAAGGGCAAGGGCAAGGACGACCTGCTGCACGACGTCGGCGAGGCCCTCACCAAGGGCGGCGGCGTCAACGGATACCTCGCGGTGAGTGGCGCGCAATTGGCCGCCGTCGAGTGCGCAAACGTGCTGACCGGTGCTCCCGCCAGGCCTATCTCAAGCAGCTGCAGGAGAACCCGCTGCGCACCAAAATGCTCACGTCCGGCACCCTGTCCGGCCTGCAGGAGTTCCTCGCTTCGTGGATCGCGCATGATCGGAGCAAGCACGGCCACTACTTCACGTCTCGAGTCCCCAAGATGGCCCTCTACGGCGCCTTCATTAGCGCCCCGCTCGGCCACTTCCTCATCAGCATTCTGCAGAAGGTCTTCCGTGGACGGAAAAGCCTCAAGGCCAAGATCATGCAGATCCTCGTTAGCAACCTCATTGTACGCCTCCATGCGCCGCAATTGCACGCCCAAATCATGCTGACTTGCACAGATCTCGCCCATCCAGAACTCCATTTACCTCGTTTCCATGGCCGTCATTGCGGGCGCGCGCACTTTCCACCAGGTGCGCGCGACAGTCAAGGCTGGTTTCATGCCCGTCATGAAGGTCAGCTGGATCGTCTCCCCCATCTCGCTGGCTTTTGCCCAGCAGTTCCTGCCCGAGCACACGTGGGTGCCCTTCTTCAACATCATCGGCTTCATCATCGGCACATATATCAATGCGCACACCAAGAAGAAGAGGCTTGCGGCGCTGAGGCGGAAGCACTACGGCGATGGCAGTGGGAGGAGCCAAGCGGGTGGAAGGCCAGGTGACGAGTACCCGCGACGGGACTATTAGACAGCGAAGCATCAGCGACGAGACCCTGACTATTTTCAATAAATCACAGCATGCGTCAAGTATGCTTGACGTGGGCTCAACACTGACGATCAGGCACCATTTGACCTGTCTTCCCCACGGGAATGACAAACGTAAGAGACGGGAGCGAGCGGACATTCTGGCGCGCATTCTGCACCTAGAACGCGCATCGTCACCTAGCACCACAGCGGTGCTGCGCCACCAGTGACGACTTGTATATTTCTTGCGTTCTGATCCGATAATCTGGAGGCTACCCTATTGTTTATCCTGGCCTTGCGAAATACATATCCTATCTTGCACTCTTATTTTTCCCTCTTACATTTCTTTCTTTTCTATTTCTTTGCCTGTCTTCTCTTCCCAAGCTTCCCGTCTTCGTTCGCGTGACTACCCCTGCCAAGACGCAGCATTGCTCTCGTGCCCTTACAATGACGGCACCCGACGGTTGTCCGTGAGGTTATGCCACTCTCGGCTTTGCGTTACTATCGTGGCCTCGCTTCGAGGCCGGACGAACTTCCTAGTTCGTGTTCTCGTATCATGATCGCAAACCGGGAGAGCACCACAGGCCACATCCTTCGTCGCCCTTCTATTCTGCCCCCCAGCTACAAGGAATTACCCTGACGGGCCAGTGACGTCGGAGTCCCTAAAGCTTGGTGGGAATTCGCGGGACCAAACAGATCGCTTGCTGAGGCATGACAAACAACTAGCACCCACAACGTGTTCACATGAGCATCCTCCAACGCTCATACTATGGCCTACTGACTGTAGTTAGGACGGCAAACTAGGTTACTGACTGCGGACCATGGCCGAGACGAGTGGGCAAAGAACAACGTCAATTCCTCTAGCCAGCCTAACTATATAAACGCACCGTCGCTGATTATCAGGAGACATCTTAAAATTTACGTCTATGGCTACTCCACCTGCCGTAGCTGCAGCCCACCGACCCAGCCCTCATGACATCTGGTTCCACACGCCTCACGCCGTATGCTGACCGCAATTCGGTCGCACTCAGGTACCCTCACTACCATCCGTACCATCCAGACTCAGAGCCGGACTCGTACTACCGCCAGCATCCTTCACGTATCTCGCGTCCATTGTCCGCTGCAGCTCTCAGGCTGAAGGATCCACGCGTGAGGTGTGAAAAGAATCTCGGGTGGAGCATCGATTGGGCTGTTGCTTTCATCGTCGACCATCTTGGTGGAGGGAAGTCTTCGGACGCTGCTGATACGCTGAAGAATATCCGCATTCGGTCAGCAGGTTTTGAAAGAGAAGGCCATTCCAAGGAGATACCCTACCGTGTCTTCAACAAGCTTGACGAGACGCTTTTTGCTGGCCATCTAAAGAACGCCGTTTACCTGGACATCGGCAGCTTAGGCTCGGATGTCTCTGGCGCAACGCACTCCCAGGGCTGGGGCCTCAACCCCAACGTCAAGCGCATCTCCATCATCCTCAACAGCGACGTGCTCCAGCATGCCAGCTCGCGTGACATCGTCGCCGTGCTCATCCATCACATGATCCACGCCTACTTCCTTGTGGCCTGCGGTCCTCAGCAAGAGAAAGAAGTCGAATACGGCCGCCTTACACATGGCCTGCACTTCGGCAAGATCATGATGACAATCAAGAAGCTGTCCTCGGCGCACAGAAAGCCCCTTACCTCGTTGGACTTCGGTCACTCGCTCAACAACCGCCGGTACTGGTATGACGAATATGAGCATCCTAGGCGCAGGTCTTATCATCGCGCACCGATAAAGGAGAAATGGTACTGTAGCCATTGCCCCTCCGAGCTGGATGGCATCCCCGATCGTGACATCGAAGACTGGTATTCCGGCACGTGCAAGCCACTTTTCGAGCTGCCCGAGTCGCTCCGTGGCTCTACCGTGCAAATCTACAACGACCGCCGCCACTTGCTTGAAGAGGTTCCGCGCGCAGAGGCGCCGCCATCGACCGACTCGAACGAATTCATCTTTGGCGACCGCTCCATCCTGGTCCCCGCTTCCAAAATCGATAATTTCTTCAGCATCAGGCGTGCGTTCGAAAAGGTTGGGTCCCGGTACATGGAGCTCCACGAAGACATCGACAAAGACACTTTTGAGCGCTTTCTCGAGCTCCTGCACACAGGCGCGTACGGGCCCGACCCTAAACACATCCACGCCATGGGCCGCAAAGGCCCGCCCGTCATCAAGCCCCCCTCAGGCTCGGAACCCTATCTCCTCACCGATCTGAAGATCTTCAAAATGGGCGTCGTGATGGGCTTCGACGAGCTCAAGGGCATCGCCCTCGACCGCATGTACCGGCACAGCATCACGCACGAGGACCCCGTCGCCATCCTCGCCGCTGTCTATGACGGCGCTGAACCGGATGCCGATCTGAAGGCCTGGGCGCGCAAGTTCCTCACGCGCACGCCGACCGCGGCAGATGGAGAATGGGCCGGCTACGGACGAGGCGGCGCCGCAGAGCCTTCCAACCTCGCAAAGCTCGAGTGCGATATGCTGGGCTACAAAATGCGCTTCTACGACTTACTCCAGGCGAGCACGGCGCTGAAATACGAAGTCGGCAAGGCGAGGAGGGAGCTCATGGCTCAGGGCCTGTATGGCGTGCCGGCCATGTATGGGGGCTTGGGGATGGGAGCGGGGATGGGTATGGGGATGGGGATGACGAGGGGCGTGAGTCCGCCGCTGGGCCTGGGCATGGGTCTGCCGCCCCCGATGGGTTTGCCGTGGGCGGGCGTGGGCATGCCGCAGGAGATGGACGCGTGGAGGGCGGCGGCGTCCGCCGCCGGGGATCCGTACTATGCGCGCGGACTGGGGTACGGGGACGGCTATGGGGTTGGGGAGGAGGCCTGGCTGTGAGGGGTTGAGCCGTGTCGGGTCGGGTCGGGCGATGAGCGAGCGAGCAGGTGGAAAGGATCTAGCGCGGACAGTACAGTGTAAGTATATGCGTTGCGTTCTCAAGTGTTGTCTTATATTCTCCTCCTCTAGTGTCGATTCCCCCCTTCCCTTATATGAGCACAGCCTTACTTCTTTCTTCTTTGTATTTTGAACCAGCGAGCGCGTTGATTTTAGTTTTGGTTACGAAGTCACGACCTACTTTACTTACTTGCTGTACGAGCACATGAGCACATGAAGCAAAGCACTAGCGCTTTTATTTGTTTTGTATATGCAACCAGCGTTCTGTCTGCTATCTATCTACTTTACAATTCGAGCTTTGTGCTTCTCAGCAACGCAACGTGTATCAGCAATATAAATTTCGATTCTGCGCGCTCCCTCCTTAGTACGTATCGATATGCACGCACTCACTCGTTCCTGCATCGATCTATCAGCACGAAAATTGCTCGACTTCGCGAATTGCATCACGGGATCCTGAAACGTTAACGGTACAAGTCGATATTATCCTATCCGGAACGCTAACGTGCTATGTAACGGTCTAGAAGCCCCTAGCCCTACAGAGCATCATGACCACCACTCCGTCCTATAATAGTACAAAAATCCCAGTATGCACACCAACCATCTCATCTTACACTTCACCACCATCCCATTCTCCTCTCCGAGCCTATACGCCTCTTCATCTCCTCCCCAGCTTCCACCTCGCAATCCTCGTCTGAATATCATCCCACGTGAAATCCTTCCTCCTCAGCCCCTCCTGCTCACCCTCCTGCAGCACCACGGTCGGCGCGCCGCTACCCCCTCCGGGATTCTGCACCTCGCCGCCAAACACATGTCGCGCTACTCTGCGCAGGTCCTTGACGGTGACAGCTTCGATCTTGGCGCACATTTCTTTGACGCCCACTTTGCGGCCGTGGACTTGCACTTGCCGACCTAGATCTTCCAGCTCGACCATACGGGATTCGAGGTTCATGAGCAGCGAGGAGCGGAGTTGATTTTTCGCGCGCTGGACTTCGCCTTCCTTGAGGACGGCGTAGCCAGTTTCCTGGCCGAGAGCGTTCAGCTCGCGGCACATGACTTCGAGCATTTGGGATACTTGCGCGGGGGCGCATGACGCTGCGATGCCGAAGAGACCGGAATCGGTGTACGAGTGGTTGAACGCGATGCAGGATTCTACCCAGCCGTGCTGGTTGAGCACGTTGGTGTAGAGCCGTGAGTACATGCCCTTTCCGGGGCCGCCCGCACTAAAGGAGCCACCGCCGCCGAGCAGTGTTTGTAGGGTTGCGAGAGCGTAGATGTCCGGGGATGAGATGGGAAGAGCTTCGAATGCGAGATGGATGTGGGATAGTCGGGGGAGGGCGGGGTTCGGGGGCGGAGGGATCGGAGGGAGGGTAAGGAAGCCGCCGGTATAGTGTGACGATATTGAAGTATCAATGGGAGGAAAGTTAAGATCGAAGGACGTATTTACGGAGGCGTTGGAGGTAGCGGATGTGGAGAGGTTCTTGAAGAAGGGTATCTTAGAGAGGAGCTTCGAGGTTTGAGGAGGTGCGCCGGTAGGCGTAGGATGCGAGGCTGTGAAGATTTGTTGCGAGTGAGTGCTCGATATGGTGCTGTCTTCGCCGATGCCGACGAGCGATGGCCCCGTTTCTTTTTCCATGTCGCCAAAATATTTCTCTGCTAATCGGACAGCCTCGTTGTGCTCAACGCCAGCGAATGCCACCACCATCCTCTCTGGTTTGTAAAACTCTTTCCGATATGCCTCTACTACAGCGCGGTTGATGTACGGCAGTCGCTCCTTTGGACATAGTAATGGATTCCCCAGCGTGTTGTCTTTGTATGCGGCCATGTGAACCAGCTCCGGCAGAATCAATTCCGGCTTCGACCATATCTCGCCGATCTCGTAGTCGGCTGTTTCTAGTTGCTGTTGCACTTCCTCTTCCGTGATGAGCGGGTCTCGGATCGTTTCCGCGAGCAGTCCGACGGTTGTGGGAACTGCGGAATTGAAGGTTGCCGATTGATACATCAAGGATTCTCTTGACGAGGCGCATTGTATGTTCCCGCCTAACGATTCGATTTTCTCCACCATCTCATCTCCAGTTGTTGACGTTGTAGACTTGAAGGCCAATCGATCTATGATATGGCTCACCCCCCGCAGCGCATCGTTCTCATATCTCGAACCCGCATCGACGTACACGCCGATGCCGGAGAAATGGCCTGGGAGGGCCTCGGTCGCGACGCGGATGCCATTCGGGAGGGTCGTAATCTGGTCGAGTTCGACGGGATCCTGCATGCTGTCAGAACTGCCATCCATAGCTGCAGCTGGCGTAGGCAAACCTTCTCCTCGGCCACGACTGTCGCCAGCCCTCTTCTACCTGTGCATGTTGCGGACCGTGCGAGTGATGAAGCGACGTGACTTAGCCCTCGCGACAGCGGCCGGATAGATCGAGGCCTCAGCATATCCAGAATATAGCGAGGAGAAAAGATTAGGTATGGCACGGTCGAGGTCGCGTTCACGCCGAAATTTCCGAGAATGACATAATCAGGGCTTGGCGGAGCTATTCCGGATCCGGCTGTCAACGATCAGCGTCTCTCGACACCTGGGCAACGCGCATGAAGATTCGGGCTGATTGCGTGCGGAGGTGGAAACAAGAGCGTCTGCGCCCCCATACAGCAACGCAGTCGACCCCTTCAAACGGCCAGGCCGAACGTCCGGGCGAGCACTTGTCATGGTCCCAGCGGTAGCGGTGCAGCAGCGTCCTGTGGTTGAATGCGAACTGATAGTGCGTGACCCAAACGTCAACGCTGTGCTGGAGCGGGGGACAGTGCCTCAGGCCATTATCTGACATCTCAACTGCCTGTTTATTCACCGTCTGCGCTGCACGTGCGGCGCGGTGCACCGGCGCAGGCGGCATCGTTCACAGCATGAGGAGGGTTCCAGGCCGGCTGACGCTCCCCTCGTTTGCTTGGCTCCATCATCAATCGGCCCCATCCTGGCGATCCCCTCGACGTCGACTGCATCAGACCTTCACACGCCTCCGCAACGGGCTCGCCGTGCTGCCTGTCAAACGCCATTATTGCCGCATGCTCAGCCGCGGGAAAGAGGCCTGCAGCCCCGTCTCACCGGAACCCTATTTATCACTGCTGCGATACTGTTATGTTCGCCAGCCCAGCCCCAGCAGCGCCCCCAACCGTATCTGCCACCACTGTTTCGACGACCTCGCCCGCGCCGCGATCGACTGGCCTGCGTGGAGGCCTGAGCTTCCTGAGGAATTTGGGCGGGACCAACTACACGCACAGCCTGCACTCGCACCCGGCAGGCACTGCGCCAGGTCCACGTGAGGAGGCAAGGCCACCTGCTCCCCAGACGACCAAAAGCGACGGCCGTCCGCGCGCCGCAACAACAGCCCCGCCCATCTCGCTCCTCACTGCCAGCTCGACGCAGAACGCTGCTGCCGGGCCCAGCACCTTTTCTCGCACACAGTCGTCGCCCGAAGCAGACGCGCAATCGCAGCCGGGAGACCCTCTTGCCGCAGCAACAGCAACCATGACACGGAACCGTGCAGACACGGCCGCCCCGCAACTCATGGTGCGCAACCAGTCTGGCCCTACTCCGGCCTCTACACCGTCCGCGTCGAGTATGGGCAACCAAGGCACCCAGACAGACACCTCTTCTGCCACTAAGCACCTGCCGTCGATACGCTTTATCCCCCATCAGGACCCGCGAGCCGCGAGACCGTCGCTGCAGTTCGCTACCATCACCCGCACGCTCCCCGACGAGACGGCCATCATTCGCGTTGGGCGATATTCGGAGAGGGACAACATACCAGAGGTGCCTCCCAACGTACCTTCGGCGGCGGCGGTGGGTTTCAAGTCGAAGGTGGTCAGCCGGAAGCACTGCGAGTTGTGGTGCAAGGATGGGAACTGGTACATCAAGGACGTGAAGAGTTCGTCAGGGACGTTCTTGAATCACATCCGCTTGAGCCAGCCGAATTCAGAGTCGAAGCCCTTCCGGCTCAAGGATGGCGACATAATCCAGCTGGGCATCGATTTCCGGGGGGGCGAAGAGATGATTTTTAGATGTGTGAAGATTAGAATCGAGTGCAACCGGGGATGGCAGCAGGCGTTAAATACGTTCAAGTAGGTTTGGTACCTGGCATGTCAAATCGCGTATACTTACCGCTCCAGCAAACAAACGCATCAACGACTGCGGAACCTAGGCAAGGCTAAGAAGGAGGGTGACAACGCGTCCACCCATACATCCGAGTGCTCTATCTGCCTCATGTCTATTGCGGTAAGTGGTCACGAGATAACGTTCTTCGACTGGCACTCATGTCGTACAGCCCTGTCAATCGCTGTTCGTAGCACCCTGTTCGCACGTGTGGCATTACAAATGCATACGCCCCATCCTCAACGGACCGACCTGGCCAAACTTCCTGTGCCCGAACTGTAGAGCAGTGGCCGACTTGGAGGCGGACGTGGAAGATCCTGCCGAGTTTGAAGAATGGGACGACGATGTCGCACAAGCACTTGGTGAATCGAACCCTAACGGAGAGGGCTCGCAAGAAGACCGCCACGTCACACCTCGGGCTTCCTCGAACCAGTTGGGCACGCTGCCGGATGCGACCACACAGCTCAACAGCCAGATCAGTTTCGCTGACCTAGAAGCCGCCATCTCCAACATAAACATCTCGGATTCTCTTAATGGCATTGCAAATCAATCTGTTGGTGGCCCGGCAACTCCGCGGCGGAATATGACTCCCGTTGCATCGTCGTCGGTCACGCAGCGGGTAGCAATCAACATCACGGGAGCTAACGAAGTGTCCGGTTTATCGCCCATGTTTCCCACGGGAGTGGATGGTCGTCTCAGTCCTGATCGCAACACCGACTGTCCCATGACTCCACGAAACGACGCTGGTCCGTTTGTGCTTGACGGTAGCGGCAGCGCTGGGCGAGCGGCTGGCAATCGGCTGAGGGAAGGGGAATCGCCGGGCTCTGGGTCCACCAACGCACCTAGCCTACCGCCCCTAAATATGGACTAAGAAAATTTCTAGGAAAGAGAGACGGCACACATGTTGATATTCACCTCCGGCATTTTCAGGAGTACAGGGGCGTTCTTCTGTTATGGCACACGAAAGTCACGGTCGGTCATTACCATTGCATATAGGAAGAGGGCGGGTAGGAAGGTAATGTGTTATCTCTTTTTATGTCTTGTACATTGTACTTGTCCTTCATGTTTTTGGATTGCGACAGGTGGAGGCTGGTACTGGTGTTGGAGGCTCTTTCCTCGCAGGCAGTGTTAGCTGCTTGACTTTCTTGGAAAGTTGGTGGGAGAGGCTTCTTGTATAGGCTCGCTGCATTCTCATATAGCATCATGTCAAGAAGAGCAATCCAAGGGGTTACCGAGTCGATTGGCTTCAGTTTCTCCGTACTCCGCGGTGATGAATGTGGAGCTGCTCCTAGGTCCCCTGACTAAGCTGAGTAGATGTCGTCATGACTATCTCTACCTTGTGCAACTCAACAAATAGATCTTACTCCGCGGCTATGCAGGAACGTCCATGGATGACGCCAATTGACACCCGATCTGAAAGCAATTGAGGGGCAAGCAACGTCAGCAAGATCGCGCAGCGTCCTCGCTTCGACTTGCCTCTTCCTCCAACCGACACTTCTCCTCCCTTCCCCAACCCGCAATCCCCATTCTGATCACCTCCATAGGCTTCTTGCCTCCGAAGACTCTAGTCAAACATACCGCCCAGCGCCCTTCCCTCGCCCGTCGCCTTCCACTCTTCCAGCAATACCGTGACTTCCTGCCGCGTATCTTCGATGATGCCGTCCATCTTGATGTCGTTCTTGTCGTAGCCGAAGGGATCTTCCAGCTGCACACCGATGCCTTCGATGCCGTAGAGCGTGAAGGCGACGATTGCGACGATGGGGATGGACCACCAGCCGTAGTCGTCGACGATGGCGAAGGGGAGGACGCAGGTGAAGAGGGCGAGGACTTGTTTTTGGTGGATCCTGGAGAATACATGTTAGAAGGGGTGAGGACGTAGGGAGCAAGGATGAGCTTACAGGTGCGCTACCGGTATAGGAGTCGATCGAATGGTCTCCATCCTCCCGTATGCATCTACTAACGCGTTCAACTGCACAGTCATCTGGCTCGCCATCGGCCCATGGAACCAGCCTCTCTCATACCCCCTGCGTATAAACCCCTCGACCAGCACAGTCAACTGCAGCGGCAGCCCCAGCCCCTGGTCCTCATACCCCATCAGTCCGTCTGGTAGCAAGCTCGTGTACTCCGCCTTCGCCGTGTTTATCCCGTGCTGCTCGGTATCGATAGTGTCTGTGGGGCTATGATCCGAGTACGACGGGCGCCGCGAGATGGGGCGCGAGCGGCTGCCGAAAGGCGATGTCGGCGGGGGAAGGGAGGCCAGACTCGCGGGCGGGATGTTGAATTCGGCGCGCAGATTGTGCTTTATGGCGTAGAGGATCGCGACGAGGACTCTCAGTATCTTCTCCGTGTCTCTCTTCTCTTCTTCAGTCAACTTCTCGCCGTCCTTGCCCCGCGCATTACTCAGGCTTATCCGCGCCAGGTTCCGCACACTCGTGCCAATCGTCGTGAGGCAGTTTCTCCCGGTCCAGAAGCGGTCGTAGGAGGTCCCGTTGCGGAAGACGAGCATCAAGCCGACGACGATGGAGAGCGACGGGATGATGGTCGCGGGCAGGCCGAGGGAGGTCACGACGTACGTGTCGAGATAGACGACGAGAACGGTGAACAGCGAGTGGAGGAGCACGGGGAGGACGATTATGGAGTGGATTGCGCCCTTTGCGAAGCGTAGGACGAGGGGGAGACGGCGCGGTTTGTGGCGGAAGGAGTGCGCGAGAGGGTAGGTTGGGCGGCGGGTGGGGTGGGCCATGGTTGCTGGCGTCTAATGGGTGGTAATGACAGTGGGTGGGCAATTTGGTGTTTCTCTGCTTAGAGCATGGAGAGGGTGGACTTGGAAGAACGTGGACATTGGGATTGGGTTTAAGGAGTTGGTAGACGTGGGGCGCGGGGAAGGACGGATCTGCGGCGCGTCAGGGACACCTCTCGAAGTTTCACCTTCCGACTCTGAGTTAAGTTCTCTGTAGGACGAGCATCTTCCAAGGTTGTCCAGAATCAATTGGTGTTGATAGCCCTAGAATAGATCTGCACGTGAAAGACCCCGGTTTGCAGCTTCCCCGGAATTTTTGTCCAACCTCGGCCAAGCAGGCGCGTCACCGCTATCAGCCGACTCACACTCCAACAAACCACCACGACGATTCTTCCATAATACCGAACAACTCGTCTTTCTTCTCTGCAACATCGCAGCAATGGCATCAGAAGCTGAACCGCCGATCTCCACGACAATTCCCTCCGACCCCACTCCATCAGCACCCACACCGTCCTCTGAACCCTCCAAACTCCCAAGAACTCCAGCAAACCGCCCACTCCTCCGAAGATTGCGAGTATATCTGCTGAGGTATCTCACCCACCTCGCCCGGAGAACCGATTATAACCTGCTCCGCCTCTCGAAACTGCTCTCCTCCCCCACAAGCACCGATGCGCTACTCTGCACGATCAGCTACACCCTCGAGCTCGTCCATGCAGTGCTTGAGCGCCTCCTTGAGCGCCGCCTCACCGATATCGCGACCACGATTGCGGAGAAAGCAGAATATGTCCTGCTCCCCGGCGAAACGCTCATAGCGACGCTGCCCGCGCTGACCAGCACAAAGATCCTCGCGCAAACAGTCGGATCATCAAGAGCTCTCGCTGCCATAATCGGCGACTTCAGGATATTCGTGAGACTATGGGGACTCGTGGGAATCTACGCATGGGCGCGGGAAACATGGCATAGTCCGCTAGGGAAAGAGGCAGGCAGGAAGGAGAAGCTGGTTAGGAAAGTCGTGTGGGGGCAGATCGTGAGCTGTGCGCTGTTCCAGGTCCTGGAGAACGGCGCGTATCTGGCGAATAAGGGCGTGCTGACGACTGCGAGTTGGAGTGGGGAGATGGGGAAAGCCAGAGAGACCAAGTGGTGGATCTGGAGCTCGAGGTTTTGGGCTGCGCATGTGGTGCTGGAACTTGCCCGCTTATCGATTCTCCACTGCTACCGGAATGCCTCCTCGGGTGCTAAGGATGAGAAGGAGAAGGAAGTACTTGGAGATGGGGAAAAGGAGGAGAAGCTATTAAGAGAAGAGAATAAAAAAGATGACTGGCTTTGGTGGAGGGATCTGGTGAGCAATATCGCTTATATGCCGATGACACTACATTGGAGCGTAGACGAAGATAGGACGTTCTTACCGGATTGGAGTGTTGGGCTACTTGGTGCTGTGGCGGGTGGTTCGTTGTTGGCGGACGCTTGGAGGGCGACTGCGTAACGGGCTGTTCGAAAGAGCGATACAAGGACTGGCTGGAGAGCGTAAGGAATGATACCACTTTGAGCTTCTACCTCTACTATATCCTAGTCCTGTCTAATTCCATATGTAGCAAGTCTAGTCACCCCCTGTTTGGACAATTGACGGTGTTTATGATTGGAGGACTATAAACCCCGGATTTCAACCCGCATATAAATTAATCCACGGCGCACCCCAACATCACATCTCTATAGAGAACAACCGAGCATCAACCGATTGCTAATTGGAGGATCTCAAGACTCCACAGACTTGTAGGGCTAGGGTAATTAGATTTCAAAAGGTAAATATGCTGGAGGTATAACTTTCTTTTCATCCAGTTTATCTCTTTTCGCTTCTCCTTATCACCAAGTCCCATCAAAATGCTCGTCTTTACGCTCCTCTCCTTCCTCCTCTCTACGGCTTCCGCTCTCCTTGCCTTCCCCGGCGCCGAAGGCTTCGGCCGCAATGCGATCGGAGGACGCAAGGGCTCGGTGTACGTCGTCACCAACCTCAACGACAGCGGGACCGGCTCCCTGCGCGACGCCGTCAGCAAATCCGATCGCATCGTCGTCTTCGCCGTCGGCGGCCTGATCAAGATCACCGACCGCATGGTCGTCTCCAAACGCATCAGCATCCTAGGCCAGACCGCCCCGGGCGACGGCATCACCGTCTACGGCAACGGGTGGTCCTTCTCCAACGCCGACGACGCCATCGTGCGCTACATCCGCATCCGCATGGGAAAGGGTGGCACGAGCGGCAAAGACGCGCTCACCATCGCCGAAGGCGCAAACATGATCTTCGACCACGTCAGCGTGTCCTGGGGCCGCGACGAGACGTTCAGCATCTCCGGGTCGGAGGTCGGGAATATCACTATCCAGAACAGCATCATCGCGCAGGGTCTGGAAACGCACTCCTGCGGTGGCCTAATACAGACGAACCTGGGCAACGGGATCAGTCTGTTCCGGAACCTGTATATCGACAACAAAACGCGCAACCCCAAAGTCAAGGGCACTAATGAGTTTACGAATAATGTGGTGTACAACTGGGGCGGTGGCGGCGGCTACATAGCCGGCGATTCGGATGGCGCGAGCGAGGCGAATATCGTGGGGAACTACTTCATCTCTGGGCCGAGTACGAGCGTGACGGCGTTTACGAGGGGGAATGCGAATTTCAAGGGCTTTGTGCAGGGGAACTGGTATGATGCCGATAAGGACGGGAGCCTGAATGGAAAGGAACTCGGCGCCTCGTCGTCGAACTACGGCGGCATGGCGATTCAAACCGCGAAATACGCATTCCCAGCTCCAGCCAGGATTCTCAGTGCCGTCGACGCGCTCGCGTACGTCCAAAAGTACGCCGGGGCAAGCAAAGTCCGGGATGCCGTCGATGCGCGGCTCGTCGCTGAGTTAACGAGCTGGGGCAAGACGGGCGAACTCATCAGCGACGAGAATGCGAGCCCGATGTCCGGTCCGGGAACGATTGCTGGAGGGACAAAAGCTGTGGACACGGATGGAGATGGGATACCGGATGCGGTGGAGACGCAAATGGGGTTTGATCCGAGCAGGAACGATGCGATGGAGGATAAGGATGGGGATGGGTATACGAATGTGGAGGCGTGGGCGAATTCGCTTGTACCGGGGGTATATTAGTGGGGCTCTTTTGGGAGCGTATTAAGGACGGATGGGTGCATGATTTCGATTGGGGAGGAGGTGAGAGCGTGAGGATGTGGATGGCTGTCTTGCTTGGTTGCAGGCCTGTGTACGTCAAGGGGAGATTATTCAACTACGGGTCTGCGCCAGGTTGGTGGGCGTCGTGCAATGGGTCGATGGGTTTATGGTACTGTACGTAGGACAGTGCGAGGATGGTTGCGATGTGTTGACCATGGGTTTGACTACAGTATTGTGAAGATATGCTTATTTGGAAGAGAGAAAATAAATGAGATGTGGTGAGTTGTGAAGCGTATATTGTGGTGTCTATGTTGATGCACTCACTCATTTAGGAATATGATACATGGCTGCTCATCAACTGTGAAAAATTCGGAATCGAACATTCCAAAGTATCATGGTAAATAGGAGAAGTGGGTAAAGAAAATGTGGACCTTGTTAGTGTTTCGACATCAGTATCACATCGAGGTGTTGGGCTACTCCGACGCTCGCGGGAGGATTTAAAGGATTTCGATATATACACTGCACCTTGCCTCGCCGAGACGAATACTTCGAACGTTGGTTCGGGGATGCAGTATGAGTGGAGACATGGGAAGGGGATTGTCGCACGAGAGAGGGAGTGTGTGTCTTTCTCAAACTCGCGGTGGAGAAGATGACCGAATCGAGACGGGTTGCCGTAGAAAGCGCAACCCCATGAAGGGTCTTTGAATTCAGCTGAACGAGGTTTGGTAATTACCACCTATCCCTAAGCAGTGTCCGTGAGAACGCGAGCCTACTCGTCGCTTACCGGAAATAAGTCTCGGGAAGTACAGTATTCGCAGCCGGCTGCTGCTCCGAAGAGGAAACACTCAGAGAACGTGTGTATACTGATTGTACCATCAATGTCCCAATCCAATCTGGGGGTAAGACCGGATGTAACAGTGAATAGACAAGGGATATGAGAGCGACTGGAGCACACAACAGGGGCAAGCAACTTCACTTTGTATAAACGAGCGGGAAATACTTCAATACTCTTTCCCGGACCAAGGGCTGCATACTGCAAAGAAAGATATGGCAATAATAACTCGAAGACCACATTCACTACACCCGGCGCAAGCGACGTTGCGGGAGCAGTCGGCTCTCACACCGTACCCAGGACAGCGCGTAGCTGTTCGCACTCTGGCACTGAATGTGAAGCCGTCGAGAGCCTGACCCGCTCGCGTCCCAAGCGTGAGACCAGCTACGACGTCCCTCAGCAGGCGAAAGAGCAGTCCATATCCGACGTCTGTCATTCAGTCAGTAAGCGATCATGCCGCAAAAACCGTCCACACCCCAACTTACCCTGAACGCCCCCTCGCCCGCTGTTCCACAGTCCAAAGGTCCGCTCGTCCAATCTCCCCACCCGCACCCGGCGCACGTCTTAACCTCATCGCTCCACCAAGCACAGTCGCCACCCCCGTAGCTGTAGAACAACGTCCCCTTCTTGGGTCCCTTCCCAACATCCTGGTACCAAGAGATCTCTAATGGCTTATCCAGCTCGCCTTCCGTAGGCTCGATCACGTACGACTTGTCGCCGACGACGAAGGCGCTGCCGCCATTGGGCCGTAAAATAGTCCTGTGCGCGTTGTCGAGGATTTGAGGGATCGTGAGCTGGGTGACGAGCCCCTTGCTGGGACAGTATTGATAGAGCTGCGCGTGGAAGGAGCAGACTCCATGTTGCCACGCGGGGGCGATCGCGTTTGGATTGCTGTCACCGGCCGTCATCGGTTGTGCATTGCGATCGGGGGATGAGATAGCGAGGCCGAGGGCGAGCAAGCAGAGGGTGGTAAACAGCCTGCCGACCATTTTGTAACCTGAGAGGGGATCGGTAAGATTCGAGCTGGTGAGGAGTGATGATACGCTGGAGGTATTCAGGCTGCATATACAGATGAGGCGATAATTGGAGGCTCGTACACTGAAATAATTTAGGCTGCCTGATATAGATGCTTCACTGACGATACCTGCGTAAGAATTGACGGAGTGTGTTGTGGACGAGAGAGTCGGTAAGCGAGAAGCGGTAGGCGTGGGGGCGACGGCGGGAAAGAGCAATGAGTGGAGAATGCGGGCGAGATCGAAAGTAGAAGGGACGACGAGGTACAAAAGACGGAAGGCGAAACCGCAAGAAGCGGGACGTATCCGGCGTCGGGAGGTACTTCAATGCCATGTAGCACATCCGGAAATTTTTACCCAGTGGCCCATTCCAAAACAGTCTGTAGTACAGGGGGGAGGGGCCTACTGGAAACAAGGATATAATTCCAGAAGAAAATAGAGGGGAAGCTTCGCCGCCGAATCACCGGTCCAAAAAGTTAAGAGTTATGGAGACCGGTCCGCTTCTACTGCGGCCTGGGCGATCATCATACACCGAGGCACTTCAGGATTAGCTTTCGCAGACTGGTTTTAGTTCCGCGCCGATTCTTGCAAAGTCGCCTATGTGTACATTATGGTTACAATTCTCCTGTCGGGAGAATGGGTATTCATCCGAATATGGCCTCTGGTTATTCGAAACTGCTTCTGGGGTCAGGAGCGCAATAACCCCTTTTCAACAAGAAGCTCGATACTCGGTCCTCCACTCTCGCAAACTGCTGCCTCGTTAGCGGCTTCTCCAGGATGAAGGCCTCTGATGTAGCTATTCCGCATCACAACCGACGTGCTCAACCTGTTTAGAGCGAAGCGGTATCAGGACGGCAGAGGCCAGGCCTGGAAACGTGACTTACGAAGTTCTTCCGCTCAACGACACCATCCTTGACCCAGAACCCATAGCTTCCCATGAGATTAGCCATCATGACGTCGGTGAACAAACGGTCTCCAACTACGGCGATTTGAGATGGCGAAGTTACGCCGGAGTCCGGATGTTGCATAAAGTAGGAAAGGACCTCGTCTTTGCACCCTGGCTTCTTAGTTGAATGCCGGAGGACTGCTATGCCCGTGTTCTTTTCGATAATAGCTGCTTCAGCTTCATACTTTTCGGAAGCGGTTCCGGCCGTGTTGGAAACGATGAGGAGCTTAGAGCTAGGATAGGTGCGCCGAAGCTCTCGAAACTTGTCCTAGAACGATATCAGTAGACATCTATGTGAGAAGGCGGTATCCAGGACACAAGCAATCGTAGATGGAAAGGTTACGAAGAGGGGAATGTCAGGAAGAAAGTGCGAATCGGTCGCGGAAAGGATGAGTGAGAGTGCCTGTGAACACCATGACAACCTTACATTGTATGGTTTGTACACCTCATTAGCGTGCGGAACGGCAAAACAATTGTCCTTGTCTAGGACTACTGCTCTGATGTCCACCTCTTTCTCGCCATCCTTCTTTGGAAACGCTTTGGACAAGGGTATCGGCAGATGGTTGAATGTGGAGACTGTATGCTGCGGAAGACATAGAGCCGGGTCCCGGATCAGCCTGAAGACGTTAAGAGTCCCGGATATATTCATGGGTGTGGTGGAAAGAGCATGAGCTTTGAGGGAGGATTGCGGTTGTAGTTTAAAGTGCATCGCTGACATAAGTTGAAGCTAGCCGCACTAGCACGTGGTGGTCCAAGCTCCTCTCCGAATATCTTCAACTCCAGGGCTTTTGGAGTACATCGAAACCGCACATACGACCCGCGCGACCTCCATAACTCAGCCAACCAGCACACCTACGGCGGCTGTAAATCCTCGTCAAAGAGTACGTTTGTTGTACTGAATTTACCTGTTTTCAACCGCGACCGCGCACGCCGGCCAGGACGTCGCAACCTAATTCTACAGTCACCACCTCCGGCAATACGCGCAGTACTCGGAGTCGAATAAGTACTTACACTTAGTGTCCCAACAAACCGGTCCGAAGAAGATGACGAGCACGATCGGCGTCCCGATCAAGCTCTTAAACGAGGCAGCCGTACGTCTACCTACAACGGCCTCTGGGCGCATTGCTGACTTTGCGCAACAGGGACACATTGTCACGCTCGAAATTACGTCCGGAGAAGTGTACCGCGGAAAGCTTCTGGAAGGTCAGTACCTCCACCATGAAATACTATAGGGTTAGCTAACTCCGCCAGCCGAGGACAACATGAACGTCCAGCTCAAGGACATTACGGTCACCGCTCGCGACGGTCGCGTATCGCACCTTGAACAAGTCTATATTCGTGGCTCGCACGTTCGCTATTTCATTGTTCCAGACATGCTGAGGTACGGACGCAGACACACACTGGGGAAAATACTGATCTTTGCCGCAGGAATGCGCCCATGTTCCGGTCTCGAGGTACTAGGGGTAGGGGAGTGGGTCTCGCGCGCGGCCGTGCTACAGTCAATAGGGCAAGGGGGACCAGGAGCGGACGCTGAGCGTGGAGATTGCTCGATGAATATACGACAAAGACTATCCGGGCTACGGACTATGTATGAGCCATTACTGTCTGCGGCAGACAGTCGGCACGCGATCGGTATCGCAACGGGGAATTTGGACGGAGACTTAAACGGCGGGTAAAATTAGGATGCTTAAGGTAGGACAACCTTGAAGAGCAGGCCTTTGAGGATGCTGTCACATATTCGAAGTTCTTCCCTGATATCCTCTCGCAAAAGTTACAAGTCTCTCATGGCCTTTTCTTGAAGTGAAGAGATTATAGTCCAAAAATTTGAGTTTGAAAATCCCACAACAGATTGCTTGAACGTCATCCTCCAGCAACAACGCTGGTTGGACCCCACATGAATGAAAGGCCAAGACCTCCGAAACTCCGCAATCTTCATTTCTCCCACCACCCCCACCCCACCATGGAAATCAGACACCCACGACGAATTCTCGCTGTCGGAGCACCAGAATCAGGCGTTCTCAACCTACTCAGAGGTACTTATCCACAGACTCGCTCGCCCCGGTGTGCTGCTAATTCACAACTCCTGCAGATCTCACAGGTTCCGCACCCGAGCTCGTCTCCGACACCACCGCCGGCCTCTCCCACGAATGGCACCTTGAAACCAAGTACTACACCGCCAAGCTCCCCATCTGGATCGACGAGATACCCATCGTTTCCGAATGGCGCTCCGAATTTACGAAGCCCGAAGCTAGGGAAGTCGTGTCCGTGCTTGCCGCATGGATCTTCTGCTTCAGGAAACCCGTCACGAACAAAGACGTCGAGGTTGTGAAGGAGACACTGCAGGCGATTGCGGATGTGATTGAAAAGGCATGCGGATATAGCGGCGAGATGGTGTGTTTAGCGGTTGCCATGCCGCAGAGCACGACACCATATCTCGAGAAGAGCGCCGAGGAGTGGGAAGAGGTGTGTATGGAGTATGGATTTGAGTTTGTGGACAGCGAGGCGAAGGGGAAGAATGAGTTTGGGGAGGACATGGGGATCAAGAGAGTGGAGGAGGCGCTTAAGGCTAACGAGTGGGATGGTGATAGTGGAGCGGCGGACTTGGGATTCGATGAGGAAGAAGAGTTCGGAGAGGGGCTTGATGCGGAAGAGAGGGAAATGGGGATGGAGTTGTTTGGTATGAAGAATGCGGTCCATGGGTTGGAGGAGGATGAGGAGGCGCAAGTCGAAGAGCTGGAGAATTTGATGCGGCGCATGGTTGCTATTAAAGGTACGTCTTTCCTCCCATTCTTTTATGGTACATCTATTTGCTGACTTTGAAGCAGATATAGGCGAGGATATGCCGGAAGCCGACCGCAAACGCTTCGCCGCCAAAGCCGTCAACGATCTAATGAAGGACCTATGAACCCACTGCCACTTGCTCAACTTTTCTGCGCCAAACATATCAAGAATGGGAAGTCCATTTCCCGCGCGGGCTTTCCGTCCTCAGCCTCAACCTCCTTCCTTAGCACAAAGGCCTGCTCAACCCTGACCTCGTTGAACCCCACACCGTCGATGACATCTGCGATTTCGTCCTTCTTGATTCCATGCCTCTCAACACCCTCCCGCTTCTCAATCGGATGAAACGGCACCGCCTCCGGCCCAAAATCCTCATAATCAGTCAACGCAATCATACCACCATGCTTCAAACTCTTCCACAGCGTCGTCAACAGATCCCCCATATTCGGAATATGATGCAGCGTCAAATGGCTTATCACGAGGTCAAAGCGATACGGCGCATCGTGTCCGGATTCGCCGCGACGCGTGGCAAGGGCAGCAGCTGCGCCTTGAACATGTACGTCATCTGCTTCTTGGACGAGCACATTTACGGCGGCGAGATTGGCTTTTGAGGGGTCGGGAAGAGCGCCCACTTTGCCGTTGAACATGTCTATCATGCCCTGCGCGGTGTCGACGCCGACGAGAGAGCGGACGTGAGGTGCGATGAGGAAGGAGAGGAGGCCGGTGCCACAACCGATTTCGAGGACGTCGAGATCTGGGGATTATTAGCGTTCATGGGATGGAGGCAATTGGGGAGGATTGGGAGGAGTTTACTTTTCGAGCTCCCATCCGCGAATGCAGGGACATGGCGCTTAATCGCCTCGAACGCTTTCTCGCAGCTTTCTACCTGTTTCTTGTTCGAATCCCACTCCAATGCATCCTTGCTAAACCGGGCACTGATAATCTCTTGATTTGATAGTGTTTTGGCCGCCATCGTGGAATGCCGTTGCTGTGTTTCTGAGCTGTGAATTAAGCTTGAGAAATGACGGAATGTGAGAGCTATCACAGGGGTGGCGGCTCTCTTTCAATGGACGGCGGGGTTGCGGGGTCGTCTCGTGTTCTCATGCGATCGGCCCTTGGAGGACTTCTGGACCCGGCTATTGATGGTACGAGTGAGAAAGGACCTTTGTGCACCTCCTTTCTATCAAATGAATGCCGGTTCGTTATCCAACGCCTGTAACTGCCACTTTCAAGGCGACTGCAGCTCGAAAACCTGTCGACCGTTGACATGTCACGCAGGGTTCATCCCGAATAGGTTAGCAATCGATAAGGTTAAATCTATTATTGGGCAGTGAGGAATCCAGGAACGGCCGTTACACAGAGTTGGGGCGTGGTTGACTTCATCTCTCCGTGCCCTGTTCTCTCCTTTGCTCTTTTCATTTCTTCTCACCCACAGTCACTCGCTATCTCGACCCGCGCTCGCTTGCACATCGCTACACAGCGCCTTACAGCGCCTACTTCTCTCATTTGAGCCACCGTCTAACGCCCGTCGCTGATAGCCGTCATGTTTCCCCCGCTCCTCCTCGCATTCAGTCTCCTCCAGCACCGCGCATGCGCGAGCTCCTCAGTAACATGGCTCCAACCGCAGCGCAGCGCAATCGTCAAGCTCGACACCCCTGGCTACACTCTTTGGCAGATGGACAAGGCGACTGCGCCCATGCTCTACAAGAACGCCGAGAATTTCTACTGGGAGGGCGATGGACCGTCCGCCGTACTCCTCAATCTCACGATATCCCCGGATAGCAAGACCTTGTTTCTGAATCGGCAAGCGGTACTGCCGCTGGAAGACGGAAACGTACCCCCAAGAATTACGGCGTACCAAGTCCCCGCCAACATCACGGAAGACAAAGTCAGAGGGATGGCGGACACGGGTCTCCTGGGCAGCTGGCCGTACTGGGAAGATCTCACGCTCGGCTGGCGGCTTCTGGAACTGGATTACGATCGCATCCCGGATACACGGCCCAGCGAGGACCATGTAACGATGCTGAAATTCCGCGTCATGGGCATCGGCGCGCATAGCAGGAGCGACATGCTAGATGCTCGACAGCAGAAGGTCGTGCACATCACGCTTTCAGATAAGAGTCATGAATGTTCGGCCCCGGCGAAGCGCTCATACGCGATTACGAATATTCGGTTCGTAAGCGTTGCAGCGAGCTATGGGCGTGTGCCGGATCAAGAGCAGAAAGAGGAGACGTGCTCGCTGTGGTCGTGGAGATGCCCCGACCCCCCGGCATTCCCGGATAACGCGCCGTATTATCGATTCATTTGGCGGGCGCGGTTCGATGAGTTCGGGCGGATCGGGTCGCTAAGGCATGCGGTAGTCAGGAAGATGAGTCTCCTGAAGGTGGTTTGGGAGGATGCCGGGTCGGCTATGATGATGAGTTTTGGGATCTTGATGAGCTTGGCATTGGGGATCCTGGCTCTCTTCAAGGTCGTGAAATGGCGAGAGGCTAGAAAGGCCAGATTGGTGCGAGACCTGAGTGAGAGGGACAGCTTGCTTGGTATGGACGTTGGGGAGATGTATCAGGATGCTGAGGAGGGAGAGCATTGGGTTGCCCCTCCGCCCTTGATGGTAGATTTAGCGTCGAAGGAGGAGACCAGTGCTTGACGTATCTGCTATCTAATGAGCAAGTAGACTATTCGTCTCGTTCGGTTCCAAATAGAAGATTTTGAATGTGACGTCTCCTATTTAGTCTCTCTGGGCTTGTGTGAGTATCTGGAGTCCTCATCGCCCAATCTTTCCCTAGTGACACAAGCTTAGGGGAAACGAATTGCGCCATATTCCCCCGTCGTCATCGCCTGGTCTCGGGAAGCTTTCCTACTCTTCCATGGAGCCTAAAAGCGCTAGTTTATGACGTACGTACCTCGGAGGCAGACCCGTTGGAGGACCCTGAAAGTGGCGCAGCCGGGCCGGTGACCTGTGGCGTGCTCTGGCGCCAATCGCAATACAAGAGCCTCTTCGCACGAGGCAGTCACCTGCGGCACAAGCCAAGTCAACCCAGCTGCCATCGTCGACTCTAACGAATAGAGACGAGCGTGTGCGGCGTCTGCTCTGTCGGTGAGGGGATTGACCAAACGGCAGCGCGCCGGGCCTGCCAACTTCGGAAACGCTGAAGGCCCCGCAGTTCTCGTGATCGCGGCCGGCTGGAGCACCTCCAACATCAGCAAGACCAAGGGCAAGCTCGCGACGGGCGCGGCAAGGAGTCATAGTCGGCCGGCTCGAAGCCTTCTCGTACTGTCTTTGGCTGCTTGCGACCATTCGACCATTCCTGCGACCTTACTGCGCCTAGCCACCCCGACCTCGCTCGTTATTGAGCCGGATCGACTCGAACAAAAACCGAACCTGACGTCTCGTGAGAAGAGCCGCCGCAAGCCGACACCCAGACAGCATGTCCACCGCATCGGGGAGCGTTTCGAACGCTTCGCCGCCGGCCCCGCGCAATGCCCAAGCACAGCATACGCGCACGTATCAGGCCTGCATTCCGTGTAGGCGCCGCAAAGTCCGGTGCGACCTGGGCCCCGTCGACAACCCTCACGACCCACCGTGCGTCCGGTGCCGTCGCGAGAGCAAAGAGTGCTTCTTCTCCGCGACCCGCCGCAAGAGGAAGACGGATGGCAGCGGCGACTTTGAGGAGATCGACGACTACGAAATCCGCAACGGCCGAAAGCGAGTGCGCGCCGACGATGGCACGCCAGAAGCCCGGCCCGCACCCCTCCAGATCAACGGCGCGAACGGCAGCACATATGTCTCCCAGCCTCTGACTCCTGGTGGCTCTATAGGCCGCTACGAGCCCTTGCGCCGACCGACGACCGCTACGAACCCGTCGCACAACGAAGAAGAGGACTTTAAGTTGAGCAATGCGACCGCGGCCATGCTCCAGCAACACGAGGTGTACAGCGGCCACGATGCGCTGAACCTGCTGTTCGAAGCAGCGGGGCGCACCGGCGATATAACTGAAGGACACCATAGGGCGGACAGCAGTGGGAGTCTCCATCGCCCAGCGTTAGGTCCCGGCAGCACACCCGGCTCGCAGACGAACTTCGCGAGCCCGCAAGCGACTGCGACACACGGATTCCAGGCGAAGAACCCGTCGCGGGCCGCTGCAGAGCCGTCGGTAGATCCGAATATCTCGCCGCCGTATCCCGCCGTGCCGGATCCACCGAACGAGGCTACCTTTGCTGAAGCCGTCAAAGCCTGGTCGAAGTTCCGCTTCGTCCGTGCGGGCTGGCTCACTGCTAAGGAAGCTGTGCGATACATGGACTACTTCTACACGTACCTCTCGCCGTTGACGCCGATCGTGGTGCCGGACTACCGCGACCATGCCCTTCACGCGAAGATGCTCAAAGAAGAGCCCATGCTCGTGATGACCTTGCTGACCATTGCGTCCCGGTTTAGGACACCGGAGCATCCAAGCGGCCCTGGCGCACTCTCGCGCTCCTACCTGATCCACGAGAAGCTTTGGAAGTACCTTCAAGGCATGATTGACCGCATGATATACGGACAAGAGCAGTTTGGTGGAGGCTTCTGTGGTGCGGGGCAGCAACCCGGGTCCGACGTGAATCCGCTCTCGCGCAAGGGTCTGAGGACGCTGGGCACGGTGGAGAGTCTCATGCTGCTCACAGAGTGGCATCCACGCGCTCTGCACTTTCCGCCAGGTGACGATGACGATGAGCTGGTCACGCCAGATGACCTTTCGGACGGTAACCCCACGGCAATCAACGGGCCGCTATCGGACCTCTACAAGGGTGTCGGCGGTCAACGTATCGATAGCTGGCTCGAGCCCTGCTGGCGAAGCGACCGGATGTGCTGGATGTTGCTAGGAAATGCCATGTCTCTGGCCTTCGAGATCGGTGTCTTTGACGACACGAGCGAGGCCGAATTCGAGGAGGCAAACCGGCATCTTTCCCACGCGACAGTCAAAGCGTACTTCCGGCGGAAGAACCATCTGAAGGATCTGCTCGTTATATACGTGACACAGACTAGTGGTAGGTTAGGACTCAGTTCGATGCTTCCGAAGGTCGAGCGCGCGGAGGACCAGCTTTTACAGAGGACGCCGCTGGAGTTATACCAGGAGCGCATAGCTCGCATCAAAGCACCCCCGCCCCAGTATGGCATGCGGCCGGATGGACAGCGACTTCCGTTAGAGTCGATTGCTACCCAGGAGCGCCATGCTGTTCAAGACCTGGTCCTCGATTTCTGGAACCGCATTGCTAAGATCATGGAGATGGGAAACCTGAAGCTCTTTCCGAATCGACGTAGGACGCGGGAGTTGTTGAAGTCGGGCAAGTACGAGGAGCTGTTGAAGACCTTCCAGACCCCGCTCCACGACTGGAAGCGCTGCTTTGACCAGGCCCCGCAAGGTGGGTGCTCTTTTGCTTGTTATTGTGATGTCTTATCTGACTGTGAAAAGTCCCAACGCAACTTCGCCATGTCCTGACGATCGAATTCGAGTATACGCGCGTCTACCTGAACTCGTTAGCTCTGCAGGCAGTCGTCGAGCGGTGTACTCACAATACGCCGTTGCAGTCGCATGCCCAAGTGAACGGCGCTGGTCCAGCGAACTCGCGCAGCTCCGATGGCGGAGCAATTCCCTTCAGCACACTGGTGAAGTGGTACGGCAACGATAGGCACCATATCCGCGAAGTCGTCGACGCAAGCCGCAACGTCCTCAAAGTGGTTGTCGACGGTTTGTTCCCGGACTATCTTCGCCACGCGCCCGTTCGCACCTTCTTCCGCATCGTGTCAGTAGCCATAATCTTGTTGAAGACGTTCGCCCTGGGAGCAACGGAAGACGAAGTGGCCATAACTCTTAGCCTGCTGGACCGCGCCGTCTACGCGCTCCGCACGTCCATCGTGGACGACGTGCACGTAGGCAACCGCTTCGCGGACCTGGTCGACACGCTGACTCACCGCATCCGCGGCCGCTTCGTGCGCCTGGCTGCCAACGGCTCATCGGGCATCTCCCGCGCAGGTAGCCGCTCACCGCCGCGAACCCGCGCACAAACCCCCATGATGCCACCTCCGCCTCCGCTCCTGCCGCACCAGCAGCACCTCGCGCCCCCGTTCGGCGGCCTGTCCTACCATCAACCTACCGGCTCCTCGGTGCCGGGCTCGCCTTCCCTCGGCATCAGCGCCTCGGGCCGTGCGACGCCGATCCCGAATCATCCTCTCTTCGGCATATCCAGCGAACCGTATGACCCGAATTCGAACAGCATTTCCATCATGCCGCCACCGAGCTTCAACGTTAATGGATATGGTAACGGCGGGGGTGGGAACTGGCAGACTCAGCATTGGAGCCAGGCTGGTGGTGCGAGCAGTGCTGGATACGATCAGGATTGGCTTGCGCTGCCGCTGGATCCGCTGCTTGATCAGTGGGGTGCCGAGATCAATCAGACGGCCATGGGGCCTGATGTCGGTGGGCTGGATATGCTCGATATCTTGCTGAATATGGGTGGGCCGCCAGGGAGCGCCTAGCCACGGCTTCGACAGACTTCACCGTCTCGAACCCCCAGTGCCCTTTCACTGCGGGTCCACGACACGTCCTTGGGACATTTCTACCTATAGGTACGTGATTTTCCACTTCACTCTCTTCGCACGCAACGGGCGGATGCAGTATGACTTTGCTGCGTATGAGATACCCGGACTTCGGTTCTATCTATCTTTATTCAGCGGCGGCCGCGTTTTGTTTTTTTACCTTCGAGCGAGAGCCGGCGAGCTTCTCCGTTCTTTATTTTTCCCGTTCATAATGTTCTTTTAGCGAGGATACGGCCTACTGGGGATTGTTTGGCGAACGGCGCTTCGTCAATTCGTCAATTCGTAAGAGAAAAGCGTGCAGAACGCTTTTGCTCGGATGATCACTCGGTGTGGTAATGGAGTAATGCTGGGTTGGGTTTTTCAGGGGGTAATGAGTCCCCGATATGGGTATAGGGATAGTCATGGTTTATGGATACGGTTCATGGCTTATGGAAAGGCTGATGGATTACACTTGAACGTGAGACAGCTATGTGGGGAGGGAAAATGGGATGATATTCTGGAGCCGTATTTCAGGTACAATTCTCGCTGAGGCTACGCCTGAACCGCTTAAGTTCCTTCGTTCCCTTCTCCGCCAGCTTTGCCATTCTCCTCGCGCGCTGTTCCCACGGTGATCTATTAGTATGTCTTCATTCATATCTGGAGCGGAGACTGCGTACTGTTGTCTTCAGAGACCTGCAAGCTGGCTCTCCCCCGCTGCGTAGGGTCGGAGTCCGTCGTCTTCGTCTCCGGCTCGGATTTCTTGGAAGCGGGTTGCTCTGCATCGCGATATTCTGGAGTGGGTTTGTCCACCGCCGCCGCCGCCGCAGCAGCAGCAGCAGCGTGCTCTGGGTGCTCCTCAAGAGCTTGACGCTTCATTTGAACCTCAGCAAAACGCTGTGCGAATGTTTTTTTCCCAGTATCGAGATGATGTCGGAATGTTGACTGCGGCATCGTGGTGGAGGTTTGGCGGAAAGTCTGGGTTCGTGGCGAGAGGTGGGGTGTTGATTATCTGTGTTGTTTGGTCGAAGCGGTGGGTAGTAGGGCGCTGGTTGGCTGGTGGCTTACTTATGGTGGGTATGCTGAGGGTTCGCTTGATTGATAGGTATGGAAGGAAGAAGAGGGGGTTGGAGCTTCTGGAGGTGTTTTATATCGCGTTCTTCGTGAGTCTTATGCGTTGCGGGAGTCAAGACTGCTCTGACTGGCGCTTCTGGGTGAGTGAGTGAGTGAGTGGTGCTTGTGCTTGTGCTTGAGGGTCATGTGGTGTGCAGTGTTCCGACGTAGGAGGTGCATGTAGTTGAGGCTCATGCAGTGTGTAGGCTTCCGACGTAGAAGGCGTTAATACGGATCTGTTTTCTGAATTCTGGTATGCTTGCTCATGTGGTAAGGGTCGTGGGCTTCGGAGTCATCTTTTTGCGGAGCATGTAGATGAGTTGCTCATGTAGTAGGAGTCAGTGCGCTCGCAGTCACCTTTTCTCGAAGTATTTAAATAGACGACGGCTCTCACTTCTCCTCCTTCTTCCTTTCTTCACACAGCGCTCGCTCCAGCATCAGCAACAAGATATTCTATACTCAAAACACTTCTACTTACAAATCGATCTACGATCTCCAATCCTACGAACATCATGGCGACCCCGACGACCACCTCGCAGGCCGCTACCAGAGGCTCGAATAAATTCGAACCCAGCGATAACTTCTTCGAAGTCAGAGAGGAAGAACTAGGCTGGACCACGGTGTACGAGATAGCGAAAAAATTCAATGGCTGGAGGCAAGTGCCGCCCAATGTATACAGATCCCATGGGCACAAGTACTCAGACGAGGAGATGTACGGGTACCTGGGCAGAGACATTGAGAGGGACGGGCCGCTGACTGAAAACCTGCAATGGGTGACAGCGGATGGGGAGAGTTTGAAAGAGTATACGTTGAATCATGGATGGAAGGAGGGGCAGGGACCGCCGCTGGACAAGTGGAAGGAGGTGGCTAAGGATAAAGGCTATTGGAGGGAGCTGAAGATGACGAGGAACCGTAGGTTTGTGAGCGCATACATTGCGATATGTGTGCTGACGAAGACGCAATGTACGTGGTGATGTTGATGCGTGAAGAAGAGGATAGGGAGGAGAAGCGAAAGGAACTCAAGGCCAAACAAGCAACGGAAGGATCGGAGTGATGATTTTGAGGACCACTTGGGGACTAGACTGGGTCGGTTGTTTCGTGTTGATTTAGATAAATGTAGAAATGAAATGGAGACAGGTCACTGGTCAGGATTCGTTGAAGTATTAGAGTCCACGTTGCTGTGATGCACTAATTGGTCAAGGGTACCGACGTCACACCGCTAGCGCCATTTCTCGTTCAACGTCACCTTATCCAGCTCCCTTCGACTTCTTGTCGCTACGTTTCAGCACATTTCATATAATATTATTCAGTGCTCTCCCAAGCACAATGACTCGTCCTGTAGCCCCTGTATCCCGATTATCTGTCTGCAATATTTCCTCGAAATGACCAGAACTAGGATACACGATCTCGGACACCAACACAGGGCCCTTGCAGGGATGCCCAGAGCGCGGGAGCGGTCAATAGATGGTCATTCCGCTCGAGAGAGTCATCTTGCTGCGCTCTCGGTGTTGTCCAAGAGCGACGGCCCGCATCTACTGCTTACCGCATTTCCTTGAGGCCTACTCAATTAGCGGAATAAGAACGTAGGCCGTAGCCCCCTATGTCCGTATGGGAATCTCGCCGGCTGTCTTTCGAGGCTGCCAACCCCGTTTAAGCCTTCCAGTTCTCGTACGATGATGGGTGTCGCAAGTCTATGAGTCATGTGGGTAGCGACATCGCGATGGCGTCGAACCAACAGCGAGGCCCGGGATCCTTAGTGGTCGATAATGTAGTACGACCATCTGACTGTTTTCATGCCATGGCTCACCTTGAAGTACCAGCATTGCGTAAATTTGCATCGAGTCATGTTCTTGTTACCCCACGATGCTCCACTCATCTTCATTCATTCATCGACGGGCCTTCAACATATACACCTCAGCCTACTCAATTACGAGAGTCGGCGATCGACTTAAGGCACGTCATACTCCACCGCACAACTCCAATTACGACAATTACTCCATCCTTCCTCTGAGCGAAATGTTTGTCACGCTCCTCTTGTCCAGTTTGGTCTTCGTCATGGCATTGGCTCTTCCCGCCCTTTCGGGCAATGATGTCGGGCCTCTCCTTGTTGGAGAATATCCATGTCAGCAATGTTGTTTCGGCCTGAATACCATCCAATCCTACAAGAAGTCGAACAACTTGACTTGACTTGGCTCGACACCAACATGACGCAGAGTCTGGGCTCTAACGGCAAAGCTATCGGTCTAACTGCCGGAATCGTGGGGCACAAGGTTTATTAGTCCCCCGACATCAACGGGGGAGAATCAGTCAGTCGGGGTGCGAGACCGGGAAGGTGGAAGGGGAGAGGGTGAGTGCTTTCCTTAAAGAAGCTATCATATCTTCACAAAACCGCAGAAGGCCCATGCCTCATGTGCGTTCTAGTGCAGTAAATCGAACTAAGCACCGAATACCTCGAATCTCCGGTAACCAACGACTCTCGGAAACCAACGCCTCTCGCAGGGACGGAAGGACCTTTCATCCTTTAATGAAGTGCTCGGGTTTGTACCTCATCCATCGATTATCTTTGAATCCAAGCTGAAGAGTCTCTTCACTGTCATGCAGTAACAATTCTCTTACTTCTGCGCTCTCTGCCTGCCTACCGTCTTTTTTTCACCAAAACTTTAATCTCTCACCCCTTGTCTAGCCGTCTCGCCGTGAATTTAGACCCATTACCCCGCCTTGATCGGCCCACTACAAAGTTAAATTTCCCGAGCCAGCACTTACACGCCTCGCCAGCCCGGTCACCTCCGTGCAACCGACACCTCGCTTCTTCTCATAAAGTCGTCAGATCAATACTAGCTGCTAGGAACCTGCCTTACAAGATGAGCTTCAAGCTCTTGCTGGCGCTACTCTCCATGAGTATGCTCGCTGCGGCTTTTCCCGCTCTACCAGATATCACTCCAACGATGGCTCCCCTCGCTACACCGGACAACGCCACCACTGCGACCGACAAAAACTGGACAAGCGGTATATGCCGGTTCCACCTCAAACTGCGCCAGATTTGCTACCGAAGTTTTCCCGATTACCACCTCCAGACCTTCGCAGCCTTCACCAACTTCAAGGACGGCGCCGGCCACGAAATTCAAGACTTGACCGGTGCCACGCCAGACTCTACCAACGTGGACTCCAAGCCCGTCTTCGAGATCCATAGACCCGACGGCTTCTACATGCGCTGGAAGTACTACGAGTGGACGTCCGGAAAGACCCTGAGGGAGAAGATGACGTTCGCGTTTGGTGGCAAGGACCATGATGATCTGTCGAGCTGCAATAGGGGCGATTGGACCGAGAATAACAAAGATCTTGGAATGTATAAATATCGGTGCATTCATGAGCCTAAGATGAATACAGAAATGAGGGTAAGGCTTTCTTTGTGAGAGGTTCATTGATGAGGCTGACTGTGTGTGGTAGACTCGAGATGCTGACTGCACGTTCGCCTGCTGAAGGCCTTATGCATCACCAACACTTTGCCATGGCGCGTCATGATCTGCACGTCATCGCTGGCCCCTACGGCAAATGATAAATCTGAGTTGATTCGGCGGTTGTCCTACAAGATAGATCGCGATCAAAACAAAACTTCGGTCGTCCTTCTTTTCGGAACACTCAGTTTATGGGATCAGCCCCTTCATATAGAGGGTGTGGGCTGCGATTATATACATCATGCTTTGACGAGCTTCAGCATGGCTCTTGCACAGGTACTGGTGTCCAATTAATTCTCCATGGCCTACGTTTCTGCTCCTATCATCTCCGGTGGCTGTCCTTCCGCAGTCAGACGACTTTGCACTATCCTCCACTTCCGCAATTGCGACTGCAAACACTTACGCCGCGTACTTATAGAGGGGATATACGGAGGTCCTGGGGTATGCGCGCGCTCGGTCGTTGCTGTGGCAAAATGTGAGAACACATTTGCTTCCGCATAGAGCAGACGAGCCGCCCGGATCCGAAATGTATCTGCTTGTAGCGCTGACATGACAACAGATGTATGGCCCTGCACTCCAATCTTTCCATGATCCGTTCCATTTCATCCATTTTTGAGAGTTCGGCAGGCGAGAGCTGTATCAACGTTCATAAGTCGAACAGAGCCAGACCCCGGCTAACGACGCGCTTGCTCTATTTTATAGCAATGGGTCTAACACAGCGCAATCAACCGATTCTCCTTTTCCTCATGGGAGAAGTATAATTCTGCACCGCTTCCTTTTGCCGGTACCGATTTCGTTCACTCTTCTAGGGCGCATAATTCGGACGTCGAGTACTGTGTGGAGAGTCGTCAGGCTATTCTCCGGTATAACGCCTTCATCTCTATTTTAACTGCAGTATATCTGATGCGGGGGGTAGAGCTTACAGGCGTCCATGGACCATTATATTCTCTGAGACCTCGTTTTCAAGGCGTAGGTCGCCTCGCTCACGCTTTCACTTGAGCGGAGAAAAGGCTATCGACGGAAGTTCGGCACGAATATTTGTGGTTCGCCGGGGCCGGTCGTCGCACTACCTTCACCACAAGCACACGAGAGCCCCGCGGCTCATCTATCCAATATAAGCCCATCTTCTCCCCAGTCTCTACCGCTCCCTCCTCACTCTTCTCTACTCCGGCCCTGGTCATCAGAACAACCGTTCGAACCCTCAGCCACGACCAATACAATCACTTTATGTCTCCATCATTCAACATGATCGTCAAGATTCTCCTGCTCCTTCTTACGACGCTGGCCGTGGCCTTCCCCAACCCACCGCCAATGAACGGCACGGAGTCCGTCACCAGCAACACTACCGGCATTATCTACCCTGAGCCGTGGGATGGTGCGCAATGCTACGCCACCATCTACGTCGAGCAGCGGTGCCGCAATGGGGGTCAAGGAAGCAAATCGCACATCCAAACCTATGCGCGGTTCGTTATCTTCGACAACAGCTGGCGTAACATCGAGGGCCTGACCGGCGACATTGGCTACCCAAACCTGGTTGATGTCCACAGTGTGCCGGATGGTGTCGGCCAGATCTGGGGACCATTCGGCTTCTACTTCCGCTGGAAGATGTACATTGAAAGCCACAAGGGCAAATCCATGGACAAGATGACATTCCATGCACCGAGGGACGACTACCCCAGGAATGACGAAGACATTGCGTGCAACGACAAAGACTGGAGCGTGCCTTCCGGAGACACTTCGAATCCCGGGTTCTACGACTTTTGCTTCAAGTACGAGAAATGGAATAACAAAGGGAGGGTACGTACCGCATTCATATTCCCCAGTGGCTTGCCTGATGCTGATATCGTACAGAAGCGGGAGAACACCTGCAATTTCAGTTGCTATCCCAGGTGTGGTGATAGGAAGTGCAACGTGGTGCCTCCTTGGTGAAGGCGTCCCGAAGGTCATCTAGCTCAACTAAACCGCCCCCGATTGGGTGACTCTTTGGGAGCCTCCGTGGTGTATCTTCGTTCTTTGTGGATGCAAGTCTGGCATCGAGTGCCACACCGAGTTCAGATGCGGGGATGCAATGGAGGGCACGGGACACCGGGAGCCTCGCGTCATTTTCATCAGGTTTTTACAACAGGATATATAGGTGCGTAGTATGGCGTTCATGGCGTCTGGCGTCTGGCGTCTGCCGTCTGCCGTCCGGCTTTGCAAACTCAAAAGACTACTCTAGAGGAAGATGCAGAACCCCAACTCATTTACCTACAGAGACTGTTAATCATAGAAGTAAGCCTAATGTCCAATCATAATGACGATCACCCGGCCCTCGTGCATTTCCTTCGCGCACATCTTGCTTGCTTGACCACACACCGCCCTGGCCTGTTTCCGGTGGGCATCATCGGTGGCCACATAGGCACTCTTTTTTCTTTTAAATGAGAACGCAATCTGTTATCCTTACCGCCGGTGGTGAGGCCCCTGTCCCTTCCCTAAACGCGACTTCCTCATTTCCTCACCGCCTCCATTGTTAGTCTGGAAGCTTTCGAGCTTGGACCACGGAGTCGGTCCGGGCTACACATAAGGACGGCGACTGCTACGTCTGCACTTTTCCACCTCTCCCACGCAGAATCGTCTGAAGAGAAACTGTCTACGCTCACCAGGTAAGCCTCCTCTTGATCCTACCCCGCAATACATGCAGCACCACGTCTCAGTTCTGGCTTTGCAAAGCCACTCCTGAGACATTCCGGGCCGTTGAGGCGCTCCATCCGCACCTTCTCAGCCTGAACGAGGCTCTATCTTCATCCACTAATACCTCATCTCACCGCAGCAACCATGCACATGCTCGCTCTCCTCACCGTCCTCTGGGCGTTCCTCACTCCCATGGTCACCGGCTACGCTCACGGCCGCTGCTCCTTCCACGCCCAGATCAACCAGTTCTGCTACAAGCACCCTGACAACACCTGGGACACCGCAACCCACCTCAAGATGCCCTACATCAAGGATAACGACCACAAAGTCATCACCGTGCCAGCCGGAGGCCAGCCGGTGCCGGTCGCGGCCCTTGAGGGATGGCGCATCAAGGGTCTCGACAAGGACTTGTGGACGCGTTGGGAGCCGTATGGTCCGCCGTTGGGTGGCAAGGAGGCCTTTACCTATGGCGAGAGCCAGTGCATGTTCAACAGTGCGGACGGAAAGGACAAGAATAAGTGTGGGGACTGCAGCTGGGGCAAGTGGACGAAGGGGGACTTGCATTGCTCCGAAGGCAAGATTCCGTTCGATTGGCGAGTAAGTGTCCTTTTCCCGCGTAAGTATCTAGAATAGGGATTGACTAGCCTGAAGACCTCCGACATGGATTGCTCCTTCAACTGCTGAGCCGGCTCTCGGCTGCGATCGATGTCTTGGAGGGGACTGTCTCCAAAGGCGACCCCAGTGATCCGCCTTGCTATGGCATCTCTCTCTCTCGACATGGGATGAAAGCCTACTTCCTGGCGACCTGAACGATGGGTAGATCCGGGGATATGGGATGAAAATCGGAGACTAGCTGCATGAATGAAAAGTATCTGCCTTGCTTCGGTCACTCGAGCCCCCGTGTGACGATAGGATTGGTGCGAATGCTCACCTGGGCACTCACCATGTTTGGTTTGTCATGACGCACTTTCTGTAAGAGCATTTCATTCCAACATTGGACCTTCACCCAACAGATTAGCGTGAAGCCCTTCAACGTACAGTACTCTTATCGTGACCCCACCCATAGCTGCTTCCTTTTCAAATCGCGCAGCTCCTCCGCTCTCCGACAGACCACACAACCAACTTGTTCGGGCGGCCTTCTTACTCAACACATTCCATCCATATCCCAATTGCAGCTACAAGTACTCCAACAATGGTGCTCAAACTGCTCACACTCCTCGCCATCGGTGTCACCGCTGTCGCAGCTACCCTAGCACCTCTCCACCCGCGCGACACCGCAGACGGCAATACTTGCACGTTCCACGCTAGCATTGTCGAAACCTGCGCCTCCACTACGCCGGTCACGTACGCCAATATCCCTAGCATCCGTAAGTCTTCACAGCTCCTTGAAGCCATCCAGATCCATCTTTACAAAGCCCCAGTCCCTCGCGCCCTCTCCAGACCAAGCGACTAACTTCAATCTCCCTCCAGACACTCCCTCCGGCGCCAACCTCCCCGGCACTTCTTACCTCCTCATCGCCTATCCCAACCACGCCACCGTCAAGCTCTCTGACCCCACCGGCGGCATTGATAACGTTCTTTCCGTCGAGCAACAGCAAGGCGGCGTCGTCAAGTTCGGCTGGGAGTACGGCCTCTCTCGGGATGGTAAGGCGCTGTATTACTGGACCGAGGACAAGAATGGCTGGAACGGCCTCTTTGGGTGCGACAAGGTGGCTGGCTGGAGCGGGGAGAAGCCGGATTGTGGGGGCGCGAGGGGCTCGAGGACGAAGGAGATGGATTGCTTCTTCAAGTGCCGTCCGCCGACGTCGCTGCGTTAGGCAGGAGAAAGTGGATGGTGAGATGGCGTGGTAGATGTAGATCGGGACGGGCTCTGGATAGATGGAGTTGATTGGACTTATCGCGGGGATTTTGGCCAGGAGACCGGTTCAAGTAGAGAGGCGAATACACCGGGGACTCTCCCGGGGATATACTCCTTAATCACACCCGTGGATACCTATTGGGAAACCTGAAGAGCGGGCACCGACCCGGCTTTAGCGGCTGCTATGAATGCACTGTTCCCGAAGGCTCCTGCTCCTCTTATATGGCGAATCAGACGGGTGAAACGCCCTCTGCGGCGAACGCTCCTTCTTCCGTCGGCCAGATGGCTCTGCACGTGCACCCAAATCCCCTCACTTTCACCATAGCCAGAGCCAGAGCCAGAGCCAGAGCCAGAGCCAGAGCCCCAAACTTTTTAAGCGCCCCACTCTCCTCGACTCTCTGCTCTTTCCGAACTCACCCTGCCGCGGATAGCTAAAGCCCTCAACTCAACTCCGGAACCGTCGCTCTTATTGCTAGGCGCATCTACGGGTGAGCACCTGCCTTCGACTATTAATCAAGAAAGCGCTCACACCCTATCAAGCACCCGAGATATCAATCGCGATGACCGTCATAATGAAGCTCCTCTCGGTCCTCCTCTTCGCTATGGCGGCCCTTGCCGACCCGGTCACCACCTTCATCCCCGGCGACACCGCCGTTCCCGACGACATCAACATGGGCGCTGACGACGAGGGCGGTAAATGCGGCGTGAAGGTCCAACTACGCCAAGATTGCATCATAGGAGGGAAAACCTTCTACACCGGCTACATACACTGCCTCACTGACACGGCGAACTGGTGTCGCCTCTTCAATAAGCCGGATGGCGGTCCCTCAAAGCCCGCGGAGATGAAATTCGGCTACAACGACACGACCTACTACGGAACCCAGCTAGAAGAGTGGGCCCACTGGCTGAAGATCGGACCGGTCAAGGATGCGAGGCTCCAGTTCGGCTACAACGCATGCAATTGGGATATGTTCAAGGGAGGCGACTGCTCGAGGTGCACACACGGCGACTGGTCGGCGAAAGACCTGAAGTGCGACGAGCAGGGAGGTGGGAAGGTGGGAAGTTTCAGAGTAAGTTGCTAAGCAGCTGCTACTCGATGGGAAGATGTTGCTGACGAGGGTGTAGACTATGAATGTCACCTGCACGTTCGACTGCGATGGTAAGGACCCGCCGACAAAGAACGCGAACTGATCTAGACGATCCGCTCCCTACCGGGGACGCAAAGTGCCAAGGCATCGGTGTCTGATTTCACTGTTTCGATCTTTGCAATGCTCCGTCGAGGCAAACGTTGGGCCTTGCTTTGGTTGTTCGGAACTGCTCCTCTTCACTGCACGTCCGTATGAGTCAGGGCTCGGGAGAACACACGCCCTCTTACTCACGGCCGTTCTATACCTGGGAATATATTAGGCTTCATGGTCACCTCAGTTTCACTTCTTACCATAACTCTTTGTTCTCTTTGTGCATCATTATCCACAACAAACTAACAAAGCTCACCACAACACAAAATCGACACATTCATACCCTTCCTCACGTCGCACTCTCCTACTCAATATTTAACTCCAGTGGATTACTCGAAATGGTTATTATCACGCACCTGCTTGCACCCCTCCTCTTCGCGATCCCGGCTCTGGCAAGCCCCTTGACCACACACATCACCCCCGCCACCCTGCTTTTCACACCCTTGAACAACACCGCATCGGACCTCACCCGTCGCGACGCAACCAACACCAACCATGGAACATGCACGTTCCACCTCACCGTCCGCCAAGACTGCGTCCGCCTCGTGCGCCCCGACATCCACGGCTCCGTAACCGTCACGCGCGGCACAATCCCCTTCATCGCCGACTGGAACAAATTCAAGCACTACACGAACGACGCAGCGAAGCCCACCGAGCTGGACTTCGACCGCTATTCGGCGCACATCGGGTGGAAGGAGATCGAGCCTAACATGGTGCGCATCGAGGGCATGGACGTCGGCGGCAGGGTCCGGTTTAGCTACGGGTATAAGGCGGGGGACTGCGCGTGGGGGGAGAATGCGCCTGGCAAGGATGGATGTGGGAGGTGTAACGTGAGCGGGTGGACGGCGGGGGAGTTGGGGTGCGAGCATGGGCCGACGGGGCCGAATTGGAGGACGAAGGATATGGATTGCGAGTTTAGGTGCTAGGGCGTAGGCGCGACTGGTGTGGAGAGTTGTGAGCGGCGAGACATGCGATGTTCCGTCTCATTTCGCGGTAGAGGTCATTGAAAGGCCGGGTTACATGAGGTAGATTATATGCCTCCCTTTTCGTAGGTTAGATATCTATAATAGACCGCTGTTTGACGTGTGAGATGCTGTTACCTAAGCTTCTTTAGCCTATGCAAGCCCCTGGGAGAAGAGAGGAATTGAATGCACCTTAGGTGTCTCGCCCTCCGGCCCATTCAAGAATCCCACCGTGCAAACGGGCCGCGATGGATGTCCTGCATCGTTTGACTTACGGATGTGACGTAGCGACCTCAATTTTACTCCTCAAATCCCCGCAGCTACCGTTCACTAGTCCGTGTTTCCACAACCTCTAACCTCTTGCTAAACGTCAGCATCTTCTACCCGCTGCCTTCTTCAATCACTCCTGCTCTTATATCCACTCTCAGACTCCTCCTCACCCTTCAGCCAATATGCTCATCACCTACCTCCTCGCACCCCTCCTCTTCGGGCTGGCGGCCCTCGCAGCTCCAGCTCCACTCACCGCCGACACGACGCTCACGCTCACCCTCTCCAACGACACCGCATCTGACCTCGCCCCCATCCCCATCCCCGGCACCGGCGCCACCGCCTCCCACGGCCAGTGCTCCTTCCACATCCGAGTCACCCAAGTCTGCCGGGCCATCGAACCCATCGAGCGATACCGGCACGTCACCGACACGATGGGCACAATCCCCTTCATCGTGAACTACGACGGGCACCGGCTGGTGCTGGCCGACGGCAAGCCGGCCTTCTTCCCGCACCTCAACGACCACACGTACCATCTGGGCTGGCCGCAGGTGGCGCCGCACGTGCTGAATGCCGGCGGCGTCGTCGAGGGCGACAAGGTGCTGTTCAGCTTTGACGAGTGCCACTGGAGGGAGGATGCGCGCGGGGGCTGTGGACATTGCAACGTTGGCGGGTGGACTGCGCCCGACTTGCAGTGTGAGAGCGAGCTGGGTCCGCCGAGGGGGCCGTCTAGGGTGAGTTTGAATCAACGGTTGCGAGTGTGGATGAGGGGATTTTTTGCTAACGATGTGGTGTAGACGCATGATATGGATTGTTTCTTCAGTTGCTAGACGGTGAGCTCGAGCGTTTACTGGTCCCGATGGGTGGTCGATCGATGGATTCGCCAAGCTTTCGAGGGCGGATACGTGGCAAAGATAGCTCGAACGGCATTCCATTCTGGGTCAAGGAGCACCATCTGGAGCTAGCAGATGTCGGCTTTCTTTCCTCAGACTTGTGTATGGGGGTTTTGGGATGCGGGGATCGCCCAGGGTCGGGCCGGTCATGATTGCCTCCAGGTAGAGAGGCGGATCTCCTTGTCTAGGTTCCGAGTCCATCTTATACAGCGAGATCTTGTCTAATCTTCCAGACCTTTCTTGGGTAATGGAATGAACGGAGTGATCTCTTTATTGCGGAACGCTAGCCTAGGAACAGGTATCCGGAGGTGGTGCGCGGGCTTCAGACATACGAACGCGGGGAACCGCTCACACGGCCTGCTCGCCCACGACTTCCACATCACCTCCCTTGCTCTTGCTGCTTCCCCAAGCTCCGTGCACCCAACTCCTACACTCCCTCTTACACCCCCTACAAACCCACCACCTCGGCCCCCCACCGAGAATTTTCTCGCACCCCTTACACTTCAACCCCTCCTTCCTTCCTCCGTGCTTCAATTCCCACTTTGTCCGTGTCTCCCGCCTCTCGAGCAGCCCCTTATCCGTAAACACATTACACTCCCTACAAACGGACCTCGGAATATAGGGCAATTGCGTTTGCCGTGAAGAATAGTAGGCGGTAGAGTTGAGATAGCGTTGGAGGATGTTTGGTGTGGCGGTGACAGGCGCGCAGCGGCAGATACGGGTATCCATGTGTCGGTTTCGCGGGGTTGGAGGGAGGGTGGATGGGGATGTGGGGGAGCTATGGACGGTAGAAAGGTAGCACGGTGTGCAGTAGGGGCGGCAGTTGTCGAGATGGAAGTAGAGGGTAGTCTGTTTGAGGGCACGGGAGTATTTACAGCGCTGTGGGCGTTAGAATAGAAAGACGGGCCGGATTGGTAATGGACAGGATCAGGGATGGGAGGGAATAGGGGAGCGTGACTTACGGTACTCCTGCATATCTGGTTATTGCAGACCCAGCATTGCTTTTTGCCCTTGTTATGGCATGCATACATCTTGAAGTGGGTCATTCGCTGCTCATATTCGTCTGCTGGGAGGACGGCTTCGCGGACGCTCTTGGATACTAGACCGAGATTGACGACGTCCACGTAATGCAGGTGCTGGACAACCTCGATCAGCACATCGTAGATGCTCAAGAACTCCCCGAGGTTTGTTGGTTCACCCAGTTCTTTCGCCGTGTACTTATCCGTCTCCCCTTTCCTCTCGATCTTCCTCTTCAGCGCATGCATTTGCATCTCGCCCTTCTCTTCCAGCCCCTGGCCTGCTTTGACGCCATATCTCCGCACAAGCCGGACCTTGGATTTAACAGAGATGGGTAAGCAGCGGAAGAATATGACTGGGATATAGTAGAGGAAGGCGACAATGAATGCGCCGATGTATTTGGGGAGGTTGATGAAGCCGTAGAGCATGAGCTCGAAGAAGCTTTTGGACATGCCGTGGGCTTCCCTGTAGCTGAAGAGGCAGATGCTGGCGGTGGCGATGATACTAAATAGGGCGATAGCAGAGTAGAAGATTCTGAGTTGGTTTGTTTCAGTAAGAGCCACACAGGAGGATAGCACTTGATGAGGAAAGGAGCGGAACGGAACTATACTTACGAAATAACAATCCCATACCTCCACTCCTGTACGAAGGACTTGCACATGTGGAACGGGTTTGTGGCGGTAGCGTTGAGTCGTGCGGCTGCCTCGAAGAAGCTCTCATTTGCTCCAGGTGGTAGTTGGAAGGAATGTGCACCGGAACCTTTGCAATGTTTGATGTCGTGCGGAACGTGGCCGGTTTGGTGGTGAGTGGCTATCGATATGAATATTGCGATGACGAAGTCTATGATCCCGAAGATGATGTTGACGGGTGGAGGGACGAAGACGGAAGGGAGCCAGGCGGCGAAACTCCAGTAAAAGGCAAATCGGCCCTGTGTGGTGTTAGTATCCGCTCTCCACCGAAGCTCAGGATTCATATCAAGACCCGAAGCACCCCATCCCTTTCTGGCCGATATGGTGCCTTCTGGTGGTGTTGCCTGTCACGAGGTAGAGATTGAAAAAGGTGACAGTCTTGACGATAATGGATATCTTACCCATTTCGCCGCGATCTTCTCCCCAGCAGCTATGGATGGGCTATAGAGGCCTCCCTGAAGCTGAGTGTTCTTCTTGATGACATTCCAGTGATTCTGCGCGTAGCCGTCGTAGATGCCCAATGGAACAAAAATGGCAAATCGAAGGAGGCCGCCAAGCATAAGTAAGCTCGTCCAACCAGCGGCTATGCACGTTAGCATCTGAAGATAAAGTCATTTTAATTATCTCGCGCAACAGACAGCAGTACCTCTGGGGAGTGTTGATGGCCTATTCGGCATGATTGAAAGATTGGGGTTGAGAGTGGGTGAAGCTTGACAAGTGGCCAAGGTCCGCAACGGCGAAATAGAGTAGTTCGCTGTTATTATGCCATTGGAGCTTCGAGCGAGGGGGTACAAGATCAGACTTGATATCTAGTTCGATGCGCTCGTAACCAAGCCGCAGAGGAGGCTCAGCACGTGCGCTAGACAGAGCTTTAACCAAGGCAGTGACCGGCAGGCCACTCGCGATATCGCTCGTGAAGTCAACGCAGCCTTGTCGTTGCTTCGCCACGAAAATAACGAGCAGAAAGTTGGGCTGCGTAGCCTTGCGATGATTAAGTCGCGCGGTGAGGTATCCATGGATGGGTGTGCCCACTGCGGGGAGGCAGCCACTAGAAGAGGCATCTCGCCAAGATCCGGTGAGCAGCAAGCCCATCAGGCTTCTGACACGATTCCTCGCATTCTCTCGTCTGATACGATGTGGAGCCAATGCTTTGACGGATGGCTTTCATTTGCTGCAGGCGCCATGCTAATAGGCGGGGGTGCTTGCAGCTCGCCTAGCAAGAGAGACGCATGAACGCTGTCGACATCCGGCGGACCCAGCCATCCATTATTCCAAGCAGAAGGAGAGGTATAGCAAGAGACGAGCAAAAGTGCACTTCAGATGAAAGGCATTGATGAGATGAGGTCAAAGCAAGACCCAAGCGCTCTTGCCGCCAAGGCGATCGGGCCCGCTAGCGCCTTTTCTCCGCGGGTCGTCACTCATGGCAACGGCGCTTGTTTATCGGCATGCCAACCCACCTCGATCGCCCGTTCCAGAAGACCCAACGCCCAATGCAGGCCCACAAAGCAGTTCAAAATTGTCCTTCTCCGCAATTGCCCATTCCTAGCTGCATGCGCTTCCTCCTTCCCTTGCCTCTGCCTGCATCTCTAAGCGCTGTGCCGGAACAAGCTATCCGCATCCTGTCTTGACCGCATCAGTTACCCAACCACTCTCTCTCTCCTGCGAATCCGTCTCAGCTGGTCTCGAGATGGAGGCGCTGCTGTCTCTCGCCTTCGACAACATTGCGTCGAAGGATACGCAGAAGATTCGCAAGGGGCTGCGCCAGATTGAGGGCATGCTTGCACAGATATGTCTTTCGAGTGGAAAGTCGAAACCCTCCACGCCCGGCCACCGACGAAATGCATCTGCGATAAATTTGGGAGAACAACAACAGGCTTCGCCGAAGAAGCTCGGTCAACTGGCAGAGGATCCAGCGTTCCGGGAGTTCTTCCGGTTGCAAGAGGGCTTCGAGTGGAATGTGTCGACGCGGGTAGCAGACTGCCTTGAGCGTCTGCTCGGCATGACAAGTAGTAAGGGTTCTCCTCTCCACTCACGCATTCGGAGGATAGCTAAAAAGTACATGAACAGACGGCCAGAACGATCTCCTAATCCTCTCCTCCCTCTCGAACCTACAGGGCCTCCTCCTCCTGCATCCTCCATCACGCACGATCTTCGGTCGCGAAGTCTACATGAACTTGCTGCTCGACCTGCTCGATCCCTACAACTGCCCGGCCATACAATCCGCGTCCCTGCTCGTTCTTGTCACAGCGCTGCTCGCAACGCCACAGAACACACGGACATTCGAGCACATGGACGGCCTTCTCACCGTAACGAGCCTCTTCAAGGACGACGAAACGACACAAAGCGTAAAGGTCAAGCTGCTAGAATTCTTGTACTTCTACTTGATGCCTGAGGCACCGGTACCTTCCGCCAGCGCACCGAATACCGCCGTGGGTCTACAACGGAGTCCAAGCAAACTAGCTGGCGCGTTCGAGAGGCGGAGTAGCACCGTCAGCGGAGACGATGGCGGGGGAGCGGCAAGAAAGAACATACGGACCCAAGAAGAGAAGCAGCATATGTTGGGGAGATATCTGAACAATGTGGACGCATTAGTACAGGATTTGCAAGAGAGCGCCCCGTTTCCAAACGTGGCATGCTGATGGAAGCAGCTGGGGAGGACAACCGACGACAACCACACCTACACCCTCACTAGAGAGCCGCGATGGCCCAAACCATTTCCTTCTGCTTGTTTATCTTCTTTCTACATTTCTTCCTGTCCATATCCACCGATCCCGTCTACCCATACTCTTCTTTCCTTCGTCTCTACCAGCATGGCGTTCGAGGACCTGGAAAACTGGTAATTGGGCAATCTGTCGACATCATAGCTGGCGCTGTTTCCTTTGGATGCATCTTGGTTGATGGCCGGTTTCCAGGGCATTAATGCATAGCGTGGGCGGTTGTGCGCTGTAATATCAGTTTCCTTTGGGAGTCTCTGTTTGATAGACTGGGGATACCACTGCTCCCTCGTCAGGGCATCTCTCGTACAAGTCATCTCTTTCAATACATTGTTAGGCCTCGAGGCTGACAACGCATCCAGCGCGCATGGGATTGCTTGTGAGCGCCAGCGACGTGGTGACGGACCAAGGTGCCTGGCTGTCCAGTAACTTGGAAAGTTGACGTCGTGCGATTCGCTACCCGAACATGCTGACAGATATGGGGAGTTTTAGCCCGCTGTCAGCGTTTGCTTTGCGAGCAGCCGCAGGCGTGATGCAGATGCAGCTTGGTCAGCCCACTACAAAATCACCCGCACTGTACGGGAGCCGAGGCCCCTGGCCAGGCTTTCCTGACGTGCAGCATCATTCGACTGCACAGAACATGCTGTCGCAAGACGATTCGCGAGATACTCAGCATGGCAAGCAGATGCGCGCGCCGCGACGGACGAAAAGCATCACCACTGCGCGGATACGGCAAATACGCCCATAGTCGCGGAGGGTCGAAAAGCCGAGCCCGACAGGCAAATCATCGTTTCCGGCCAAATCGGCCGCTAAACTCGGAAGGGAGTCGCGCGAGCACCAACGCTCTGGTCGCGTGTCCTGTGCCCACCACTCAACCTTTGACAACCTTGACAACCCTGACAGATCCCCTCAGGCGTGACCGCACGCCGAAGCCTCATGCAGCCGCAGGCGCCAGCTAGAATCGCAAAGCGAGCGCATGCGAGCCGGAAGACGCCTGGAGGCCGCAATGGTGAGTGCGAGAGAGGCCTTTTGCTGCGCCTGCAGCTGCGCCGTTCGGTGAGTTGTGGTCACGATTCCGAATGGACTCATGACACATTTGAGCAATTGGCCACGCAGTCAAGCGGCGGATAACCGGCCAATCTGCAGCAGCGACGGTGCAAGAGCGCTGGAGCCTCGTCCGAGGAGCAAGCCACTCCGCCTTCCGACCTTTCCGGCGCTGACTTCATCTCGCCTTTTCCGACTGTGGGCTCCGTAGTCACCTTTTCTACCTCTTGTCACGCTTACATCTTTCCTCCTTCTCTGTTCCCCTCCTCTTCTCTCCTCTATCCTGTCGCCACACATTCTCAGAGTTCGAGGGGATTGGCTCTTCCAGGGAGACAGCAGATATTGCCTATCGCGCAGACCAGGGTTGGAGCTACCCTTGTCTACCCCACTGGATCTACAGCTCAGGACACTAACAAAGCGCCGGGAGCTTAAGATCCTTCTTTACCGCCTCGCGCTCTCCTGTCTCTTGATATTCTCCTTCTCTTCCTACCTTTCGCCGTCCAAATAGCTATGGGCGTTGGAGCCTTCATCGAGCCACTCGTCGTGGTGACACTGCTCTTTGGTGGCACATGGGTCAACCGGAACACCAGGTATCGCGTATTTGACCGCCGCCGATCCCGAGTACAGTCGCCACGCTCGTCCTCCCCAGATTCCATTGAATCCGGTCGCTCCAGCCCACGGTCTAGCGCATCTCTGCTCGACGACCATCGCGCCGGATCGCCCTCCCTCCTCGCGCCACAAGAACCGAGCTGGCGGAAACGAGAGATACGGATACTGGGATACAGGAAGGAGGTCGTGTCGCCGAACACGCGGAGATTCGAGGACTACTTCTTGAGCAGGCTGCTGAAGAAGTTCCCGTTCCTGGTTGAGGCTTGGTACTGGGCGCTGATATACTGGGTAAGTCCCGTCCTGTTGGCGTGAATGTCTCGAGAGTTTATACTGACACTGCTGAAGGTATACCAACTCGGTCGAGCTTTTACAGCTCTTACTCTGGTTGAGGAAACCGTGGACGTCGCGCGGCAACATGCTCTTCAACTCATCCATCTTGAGCAGCGCCTGCATATTTTCCTTGAGCTCGATGTCCAGCACTGGTTCTTGAAGCATCCGTTCCTCATGCACTGGACGAACCGGATATACTCCTTCATCCACATCCCGGGTACTATTCTCTTCCTCGTCTGGCTGTACTACTACACCACGACCCGCAACCGACTGGATCTCCCCTTTGCGAACAAGCCCGTCGAAGAAGCAGACGGCTCGCCCGCAGGACCGCGCCTTTATGCTGCGCGCCGGAGGACGATGGCTGTCTGCAACCTACTCGCGTTCATCGTATTCACACTGTGGCCGTGCATGCCGCCGCGTCTGCTCTCAGATCCGGATGTCCCGGGGGACATTGGCAAAGAAGCTCGAAGCTATGGGTTCGTGGACACCGTCCATGGCGCGGAAGGAGAAAGCAGCGTATGGACGCAAAACAAATTCTGCAACCAATACGCCGCGATGCCGTCCTTACATTTCGGTTACTCGCTCCTCATCGGCCTCACGGTCATGACCATTCCTCTCGCGTCGCAGCACCGCCGATCTAGGACTCTTTCCATCCCGGTCACCCGGCGCCGCAGCCTCCGCCTTCGACTACTGTCCCCGCGGCGCCTCGTGTGCCTGCTCATCGGCCTGGCGTATCCGACTATCATCCTTATCGCGATTGTTGCGACAGCGAATCATTTCATACTAGACGCCGTTGCGGGCGCGATGGTCTGCGGTCTTGCATGGACGGGTAACCGTGTGTTATTGAACCTCCTGCCGCTAGAGGATTACTTCCTTTGGTGTGTAAAGATCCACAAGCCAGAGCGGAGGGTCGCGTTCTCGGACAGCGACGACGAGGACGCGGGATGGGGCCAGGACAGGGTCGTGGTGAAGGCTGCCGTGAACCATTAATGGAGCGGCGGCATCTACACCGTCAGGTGACTAGACGTCCCTTCCATCCGGCCGCGATAGAGAAAGAGTCGATGACGTTTAGGTAATGGCAGCGGTGTTCTAGAAGACCCCATCGACTACCTGCAGACGGCGTGGGACATGGTGTTTTGGAGGACCGGGGTTTTGCATTCTGCATAGCGTCCTGTTGCAACGACGGAGACGCCCCTAATGATTTCTTCGTTTCTACGGTGAGAGATACCCTTTGAGTTGTTTTCGTCCTACGGGATTCACTCGCTGTCTGTGGTGTAGTGTAGTGTAGTTAGCATGAGCGACAGCGTAATTGGTGGCCCAGTATATGAGTGCGGCCCTAGTAATACAACCTCTCTACACATTTTTTTCTTCCCGCTGGCGCTTACTATCCAAGGGTGGGGAGTGGGAAACAGGATGAGGAGTTGGTTTTGAATGAATGGATAGCATGAAATGAGCGAGTAGCATGTATGCATGCGAGGTAAACGACCGTGAGAATGCGATCGTTGCGCTGAGAGAAGACAAGACGTCGATATAAAGCTGCGCTGCGCTGCGCTGACGGTTGGTAGTGCGTCCACTCTCCTCGCTAATCAGCCCAGCCTGAGCCTCTATGGCGCCGGATGTGTACGCCGAGCCGCGCGTGCGCAGTGCAGTGCGCGTCACTTTAGCTGTTCGAATGCGCGAATAATACTATGGGAGGTGTGTAGGGAGGTGCTTGCGAAGGGGCGGTTTTCGCGGGGTGGTGCGAACGTCGGGTTGGGGTGCGTATGGAGTGTGCCAAGAGGAGGAAAGGTTGCGAGGCATGGTTGACGCTTTGTTTCTATCGGAGCGTAGACCGGGACGTTATGTACAGTACAGAATTTGCGTGTGTGGGCTTAGATGTAAGGTGCGGGGTGCATTGCGGACGCGAAAGCCCTCTGCGAAGGATAGGCGATGGAGATGACGATGATTCTCGAGGGAATAAGATTGCATGAGAGACGGTGGATGGAACACTGACTGGTGTCTATCTGCACGGAAGGAAGGAAGGAATGAATTATAATGAAGTTCGTTTTGGAGATTAGGAAAAGGAAGAAAAGGCACGAAAGCCAGCAGCGCAAGGAAGCTCAGTGACACATAAAGCGTACTCACGCAAACATGAACAAAATGCTGCAAGGTCTTCAAATACGAATCCCCGATATGTACGTACGTCAAAACGATCCAGCGTTTTAGTCGTCCTTGCATTTACCGTCTGCAATACATCTAGCACCCAACATGTCCCCCTAACAGATAGCACATACAGTACAACAGCGCCACAGTCAGCCCTTCTCCAGCCACTCCCCCAACCACGGCCCCAAACACGCAAAACTATACTCATCCAGCTCCGTCCTCGCCCGATCCCCCCACTCAAACCCCTCAGGCCACCACTCCCTCGTCGCAGCCTTAAGCTCTACATGCTCGCCAATCCTCACGGCGGCATCCAAATCGCCCACAACAACCTCCTCAATAACCGCCTGCGCATTCCCAGCATCAGCCCCAAGCGTCAGAAAGATATTCTCGGGCCGGAGATCGCAGTGCACAAATCCCAGGCTGTGGATGTGCCGCATGCCCGCGTAGACGGCGGCGAGGATGTGGCTAATCTGACTGCGGTGGCGGAGCAGCCCGCACGAGACATAGTGGAAGAGATCGCAGGTGTAGCGCTTGTAGACGATGTCTGTGACTCGGCGGTTTCTGAGCCGCCGGTCGACGACGACGCCGAGGTACGCGCACACGTTTGCGTGCGGCTGTTTACCGAGCTCCTCCGCGATGCGGATTTCCTGCATCGTTAGCTGCGCGTATGCCTCAGGCTGCGTGAGGATGCGCTCCCCGCTTAGTATGTTTTGCCTTTTGGTGAAAATAGCGGACGGGTCTTGCGAGGGGGAGGGGAGGAATTCCGTCATCGTGAGGGGGTTGTAGGGCGGGAAGAGGTCGGAGACTTCGAGGTGGGTGCGTGGGAGCCGCGCTATGCCGAGGGGCTGTGTGCGCTGGACGACGTGGATTGGACGGGAGGACTGGCCCCAGTAGATTTGGGCGTCGGAGTCGAGGATGAGGTAGCGTGTTGTGCCGTGGGAGTGGGATTGGAGGACGAAGAAGGCGTATGTTTTGGCGTCGGTGAGGACCATGGTGGGTAAGGCCCTAGAGTCCAGTGCCTGGTTGCAGACAATAGGAGGAGAGTTGTTTGGGTCGAGATCTGAGGCTAGAATGGAAAGGGGTGGGAAAGGGGGGTTGCGACAATATAGAGGGATCTGTTCGCACAATGTTGACGGTCGTGCGTTGTAGCCAAAGGTGTGCGGACGGCGCGAACAATGTCCGAAATAGTGCATGCGTTGACACAATGCGGGGGTGGAAGAATGGTAATTGGGGTAGAGAGAAGGATGATAAAGTGCATTGAGACGGGAAGGTAGTAACGACAAGGTATTGAAGCATTGGTAAATTCAAACGTGCGAGAGACGGAGAGAGAAAGAGCGCGGTATCCAACCAAATGCCCTGAAGCATCTCTGAGACATCGACTCACCTATCCCTCACAATCGAACTATGAGCATACTCTACCGGCGTCGAGTGAATACGCCCCATCTGCCTGTCTTCGGCCTCTCTCCTATTCAAAATATGCTCCATCCTAGAGTGCCTCAGTACTGACCTTCACAATCGTACGTCACCACGTCTCACTCTTCCAACCAGCACCAAAATTCCGCTAGTACCAGCTCCGCCACGGACAAGGCAGCACACGCTGCCTGCTGCTGCACGGCGACACGGGATCGGCGGAGTTGGACGCGAATCACGAGGCTACCAAGCCACCACGCTGTCTTCATCAAGAAGCAGAACATCCTGTCAGACCATTAACGCATCCATGAACAGTCCGACGCGATCCCAGAGGCTGGCGCAGAAGGAAATGGAAATCGGCGAATTCTGTGCAAACGCTCGCATCCGAACATACGAAGGACCTAGGCTGCGCTACGACTCCCTGTTGGATTATGGGCTTGGAGCTTCAACGAGTATCGCGCACGACCGATACGATATAGATCTCGACAACTGCATAGCCAAGGGGTGCTTCAAACGCGACCAAATCGGAATCACTCCCAAAGGCGTACAGGCTGGTAGATAGTATCTCCCGTGGCAATGGTAGTGTGCATTGTGTCCTGCCTCCGCAGAACATCTTCCTTCGTTCTGAATGCCCTTTCCACCCCGTTTTGAAAAGAAGCTGCCATTGGAGATTCGGGCGCGACAGTGGGGGTCGGCAGAAAGGTTGAACTGAAGCATGCCGATAGGTGGTGGTATGGCCCGACGGTATTGACTTTGGCGACACAGTAGAGATTGGTGTTGGTGAGCATAGCGTCAGTTGTCTAGAAGCTTGGCTTAGCGTGGAGTAGACGGGAGAACGAAGATTCTGTGATTGGAAAGGAATCATGTTTATGTATTGGACGATAGAAACGGCGAGGAAACGACATCTAGGTAGAGAAGGGACGATAGATATAAGGGTAGACTCTCATGCACTATATGGAAAACTCGGCCCGACGTGGTGCATCGTAGATCCGAGTGGGCACCTTCACTCTGATATTTTCAGAGTGAAAAGGACAATTGAGCAGTCAAAGTGCCGGGCTTGTTTTCTCCCTGGAGTGGTGGGTATTCGAGTGAGACAAAGGTGTTCAGCGGCTAGCGACCGTGGGAAGGCAATCCTGCGTAGCTAGTAACTCGATGCCGTACACTGGATATGCTTGCATCCGCGAATTGAATAAGGAGTAGACATAGGTCTTCTTCAGCTGAGTACTGATGGCGTCCTTGGTGATGCGAAGTGAGGCTCACTGTAGTATTACTCCACGGGATCCACAAAGCGTGTCGTGAGGGATACAATGGCCGCTTCGAGGAGCGGAGAGATGGATGTCGGCTGTCGTTCCGAGCACCTTCATGGTGAAATAGCGCAGGATCGGTGTAATTCCGGTTATGCAAAGAGTTCCGAGTCCGCCTTCTGACTCCGAGTGCATGGGAGGTCAAGGTTGGATGTTCGGAGTTGGAAGGATGAGAAAAGCCAACACAAAGCAGCCCCACAGCGGAATGGCATTCCAAGGTTGATATATGTGAAACCGCTGACTGATATGCAGGCTCTGCAGTTTTATTCCCGGATTTGGAACGGGTGGCCAGGACTTGTGTGATCGACTAGTGCACCGAGGCTTCGTGAACCAGATTTACCGTGTACCAAGACACAAGCGAGTACCGGCGTCGTGAAATTCTGTCATAACATCAAACGTCGCGATGTCGCAACATCAGCATCTCTGATCTGATGCCGGATCCATTCGCCCTTTCGGGCGCCTCCGACGGACTCGATGGCGGTGTCGGGCTTAAATCGGAGGGCCAATGGCTGCGCTCGAGTAATAGTTATTGAAGGATGCAGGAGCGAAGAGTCTGGAGCCTCAACATGTGGGTTCTCGGACGCGAGTACAGCAAGGTGCTCCGGCCGGAATGCCGACCGGCAAACCGACGGGGAGCAGCCGCGGCGGAGATGAGTCAGGCCATGGCCGTGGCCACGAGCGCCAGCCTGTTGTCCTGCTTGGTCGACGTAGTCTACTTGCGAAAATTTTCGAGGCATTACCTAAGGGCTGCGGCTTGGCATACAAATGGAAATGTAGTCGACGGCATCGTACGCTGCGGCAGGAGTCGCACGGCGAGCAAGGGATGAAAGCAGGCAATCTAGGGCGACGGAGAGACGTCAGGAGGACACGACAGGGGCCGACGGGCGCCCTGAAGTAGGCGGTAAACAGCGCAAGAAGGGAGCTCTCCGTGGAGATGCTCAAATGCTCGACCCCAGCTTCGCCGTTTTCAGCGACCACAGCGCCATATTGCGGGGAACAACAACTCGATCCTCGTGCCCTTGCGCGCGCCAATGACGAGGCCATTCGCCGAGCGGGTGCTGTGAGCCGCCGCCAGTAGATGAGCACCGCGCAGAGAGTGCGATCCGGGATGAGGTGTGCATGATGTCTGGATGAACAGGCGAACAGCAGCTGGAACACGGCGAGCAAGCCACGTCGCCGCCCCGCCGTCAGAGGTGAGAGATTGCAGCCTCACAACGCGCGACAAAGGCGAGCGCTGCTTGAGCTGGAAGGTGAGCGCTGATTGAGCTGAAAGGTGAGCAGGTTGAGGCCGTTGGCTGGTGAACGGCGTGCGTCGCTTCCCGGCAGGCGATCACGAGAGCGGCAGGCCGTGCGCGCCTGCCTCCTGACCCAAAAATTGCAGCCACTAGTAGGGTGCCCCTTCCGCGCCGGGCATAGCGCCAGCCTGCATTTTGTTGCGCCATGGCATCACTCAAATGCGTCAAAGGGCACCACTCATGAGTTTCTCTCATGTAAAGACTCGCCCTACGTCGCTTTAAAGACCTGTCACGCCCTGGAGAGCCTGGAATGACCGCCTTCAATTCTGTGCGCAGAGTTATGTTTTGCCCGCAGCGCCTCAGCCATCAATTGAACACTCACAAAATCAACTCGTAGCTCAGACTCTCGCATATCGCCCGCCGCCACATCATTGGACCAGACCAACTGTTCGCCGCCGCCCAGAACCACACGCATCATCCCGCGTTCCCCAGATTTTCATATCAGCCATGCCTGGCCGACTGCTTTCTCTCGTCAGGCCCGCGCCTGCGTCATCGGCAAACCACGACACGCTAAAAGCCAACGACATACCGCAACCCCTCTTCCCGCCAGTGTACTCCGTCGAGCGCCCGACAAATACAAAGGCAAAGTCGCAAGAGTCGCTAGTCATGGAGGCGTTTAAGCGCCACAGCATCGGCGGCCGCCACCATTCAGACAAGAAGAGTCCCAAGGTCGAGCCGCAGGGATGCGCCACCATGAACATGGAGGTCGAGTCGCCGCCGCTCGTCTTCTACAACAGCCCGCAGACGTCGACAGGCGCGCTCTTTTCCGGGCAGCTGAAGATCGATGTGCATGAGCCATTCGTGACGCTGGAGAAATTCGAGATGCGCCTCCTTGCCATCGTGTCAACAAAGAAACCCGTGTCACCCCACTGCGCCGACTGCACCACCCAGACGACCGAGATCCACAAATGGGAGTTTCTGAAAGCGCCCGTGTCGCTACGCCATGGCGACCACTCGTTCCCGTTCAGCCATCTTCTTCCTGGGCATCTACCTGCGACGACTCACGGGGCTCTGGCCAGCCTCGACTACTACCTCGACGCAGTAGCCACCACATCGAACAATGGAAACATCACCTACAAGCGCAACCTTGACATCAAGCGCGCCATCTTCCCCGGCAACGAGAAGCACTCGATCCGCATCTTCCCTCCGACGAACCTCACCGCTTCAGTGAAGCTTCCCCCGGTCATCCATCCCATTGGCGACTTCCCCATTGAGATGCGCCTCTCCGGAATTACACAAACCAAGAACGACTCGCAAACACGATGGCGCCTGCGTAAGCTCAACTGGCGCATCGAAGAGACGCAAAAGTTCGTCTCGCCTGCCTGCCCCAAGCACGCCAACAAAGTCGGTGGGGAAGGCAAAGGTGTCCTACACGAGGATATCCGCGTAATCGCCAGCGAGGAAGTCAAGCATGGCTGGAAGACCGACTTCACCGAGGGCAATATCGACGCCGAGTTCCGCGCCGCCTGCAACATGGCACTAAAGCCTCTCTGCGACATGGAGAGCCCCAACGGCATGAGCGTCAAGCACAATCTCATCATCGAGATGGTGGTCGCTGAGGAATGGGCACCGCTCAAGAAGCTCAGCCAAGCTACTCCAACTGGCGCTGCACGCGTTCTCCGCACCCAATTCCACCTCTGCCTTACCGAGCGCTCGGGCATGGGAATTTCTTGGGACGAGGAGCAGCCGCCCATGTACGAAGATGTCCCTGCCAGCCCGCCGACGTATGTCGACGACTTCGACGTTGCTCATCTCGATGATGACGACTCCGGCCATCTCCACCTCTAATTCCAAAATCTCTTTATTCGCAGCGTCGAGCGAGCCGGCTCTTCTCTATTCCCGATTTTTCTCCGCATCACGGCCGATCGACGCGCCTTACGATATCATATCCCCTTGCGTTGAAATGGTTCTCGACTTACGGTTGACTGAGGAGGATATACCCCTTCCTGTATAGTGGTTGTTCTATTTGTCTATATGCATCTTCGCTCTTACTTCTCCTTTCTCTGATTATATGCATGTACATACAATACCATCAGCGCGGCGTTCCACGGCATCACATGGGCTGGACATCTTAAGAGTCGAGCCCAGGAGCGCTCCTCGATCTTCTCCAGCATGGAAGGCGTTTTGAACAAATAATGGGCGGAAAAGTGCTTGCTTGGCTTACCTACATATAGTACCTAATCATTACTCGAGAAGAATGACAGAAAGTCCGCTCGCTTCTCGAAATCGCTCTCGCGATCCCGTTGGCGTGAAACGTGATGGAGGTGTGTGTGGTTATTGGTGAGGTGAGCGGAGTCGCACTGAGTCAGGCCACCTACGACAGGGTAAAGCGCAAACACGATGTCATGTGATGTGTGCGAATCTATGATCCGCCCCTGCCAGACAAGGGTAACGGATCTAGGACGATGCCAACGGTCGTCGGTCAACTCCACACCGCACAGCACAATTTTAACATTTTTCTATCAGATCAGAAGGAGCCTCTCAGTAATGTAGCACTACTACGCGTAAGGCTCCACTTTCTTCCCCACATTACACCTCAACATCTCGGCGTACCCCGACATGCCTGACATACCATCAACATCAACGATGCCCACACCGCACAAGTATCAACCTACCTACACACTTCAATACTGCGCAAGCACCCGTTCCGTGCCGTTCTAGAACCTGCATCCGTCCGGCGCTCTCCTCCGCTGCTCCGCTACCGGCCAGCCTCTCGATCTAAGTTCCCGAGCATGGAACGAACTATGTGTCACTAGTCGGTACAGTACATGCGCCATACGGTATGGCCATGCCATGTCCGGTTCCCACGCGATGCAGGCGATGAACAGGTACCCGGCAGTAGCCGTAGTCGTAGTCTGCGCGCGCCATCCACAGTGTTGTAATGATTTCGGCTTTCGCAGGGATGATTTCAAGAGCAAAAGGATCCAATCCTTCTGCTCTTTCAGTTATGACGCCTTATATATCCGCTAACAGATGATTTCGCATCCACGGTGTGGGTTGGGTTGGTAGGCGGTGGGCGGGATGCACTTTCCATATCTGGGCATCGCGGGGAGGGATGGCATGACGGGTTTGTTGGTACTGGTACTGGATATGGGATTTTCTGAGATGGGGAAACGCGTTTGCGAGGGGAGGAGCGCTGCTTGGGTAAGCTGGGTCGAGGACAGCGGTGTGGCATATTTGAGAGCATAGGGCTGGTTGGACATGTGGGGATTGAGTAGATGGTAGGGCCTTGGAGTGAGGGGTAATAATAATAATAATAATAATAATAAGAAGAAGAAGAAGAAGAAGAAGAAGAAGAAGAAGAAGA